ACCAAGCGCCTATCTAGGCAGAAGCATAACGATTTCATCAGATAACTAGGCATAGAGATACCACCTCCTATCTAGTTATTCTTTTTCTCTTTTCTCTCATTCAGTTCTCACTTTACTCTTATTCTTATCACATATCGAGAACTAAGGGGGTATGTCAACATGTGGATATTATAGGGTCACATAACGAAGGACCCACTCATATAACCCCTCTACATATATAGATCTTCTTCTATAAAGATCTAGCAGATTGATCCTCAACGATCTCGCATATAATTACCTACCTAAACAAGAGACTCTTAACACTCTAATTCTGTTGATTTATCATATGATCCTTTGCTATGTTTCTTACGATATAAATACTGCTATGTTTCCTAGTTAAATTGAATCAAGTTTATCATCCTTTATGATCTCTCTTCTAGATCAGTAGTACTCTTCCACAATCGTGGTACTTCTCCTTCTTAGAAGTGCGCACGACCGATAGACTCATAACCGTGTATTCAGACACCACGTTAAGTATTTACCCTTATGCACACTATCGTCTTGTGTGTATAACCACGACTTTATGGTTACCGCCTAGAGTCCGATAATATCTTATACGCTTTAAAGTTTATCTATATATATATAGAGATATATAGATACTAGACGAATTAGAAGACCTACGTACTAGTACGCTTATTATTAGGACTTTTCGTATATTTATAGTAATTATTATATATTTTAACCTTAAGACCGTTTAGATAGATATTATTAACGCTTTCCTAAATAGCGATCTTAAAGAAGAAGTATATTACTAGTATCTACTAGGTTTAGGACGAAAGACTAAGATCCTTTATCTATATAAGGTAGTATATAGTCTTCGAATCGCTAGTAAGAGATAGGAAGATAACGTAAAAGAGGTACTTCTCTTACTAGGCTTTAAATCCTATCCTAAAGACCCTACACTTTATACTAATGATTATATAGTTATTATAGTATTTATTAACGATTTCCTAGCTACTTACTACTAAAGTAAGAGATTATATACTTACTAGATAAAGTAACTTCTCTTATAGCGCTTTAAGATAAAGAACTATAGTAAATTTATCTAATTTATTAGTATTCGAATTATATATAACTAATAGTAGCGAAGACCTAGCTAAACTAATTAGCCTATATTAAAAAGATCGCTACTAAATTTAATCTCCTAGATAGAAAACTACCTAATATATTACTAGTTAGTAATTAATATCTTAATCTTATTATTTCTAGTTAAATTAACTAATTAACTATTAAACTATACTAATAAAAATATAGTTTAATCTTTTTCCCTACTATATAAACTAGACTAAATACTACTTTTACTAATTAGCTACTAGCTAAATCTCTTATATACTATAATAAGAAGTATCTAGCTATTATTAACTATCTAATTTCCTACCTATATAGGATAAAAGACCTAGCTATCTACTTTAGTAGTAGCTAATTAGATTACTAGATCTTTATTACTTCGTCTAATATAAGCTTTACTAATAATCTTAATAGGAAGTTATTAGAAGGTTTTATCTTCTTATTATTTAGTAGTCTAATTAAGTAGAAATCTTATAAGTAGAAGATAATTACTATATTAATTATAGAAGCTAAATTACTAGCTATATTATATATAGCTAAATAGCTATACTAGATTAAACGCCTCTTTTTATTTATCGAATTTAATACTAACTAACTAGAAGTATTAAATTATAATAATAAGTAAACCGTTAATCTATTAAATCGCGAGAGATTAATCTTTTAGACTAATCTTCGTTACGTAAATATTAACTATTTATAGATTCGTTAAGAGATATAGATAAAGCGCCTATCTATCTAATAGATAAAGACTACTAATATACCTACTAATAATCTTACTAAGCGCCTACCTAGATAGAAGTATAATAATTTTATTAGATAACTAGGTATAAAGATACTATCTCCTATCTAGTTATTCTCTTTCTCTTTTCTCTTATTTAGTTCTTACTTTATTCTTATTCTACTATTATATCGAGAACTAAGGGGGTATATTAATATTATTATATTATATAGTTATATAATTACTTACTAAGCCCTTTTCCTTCCGATAAACTATATTATTATTTTCCTACGTAAAACCTATTAGATTAATCTTTAACGATCTTATATTGAATTATATATTTATATTAAATTACCTACCTAGGTAGGAGACTATCTAATACTCTAATACTCTATCCTTTCTTATATAATCTTTCACTATATTTCCTAGCTAGATTAAATTAAGTTTATTATTCCTTATAGTCTCTCTTCTAGATCAGTAGTACTCTTCTATAATCGTGGTACTTCTTCTTTATAGAAGTACGCACGACCGATAGACTTATAACCGTGTATTCAGACACTACGTTAAGTATTTACCCTTATGCACACTATCGTCTTATGTATATAACCACGACTTTATAGTTACCGCCTAAAGTCCGATAGTAGGTAATTTAATACGAGTTTATAATTTAATATAAGATCGTTAAAGATTAATCTAATAGATCTTATAGAGAAGATCTAGATATAGAGAGGGGTTATATAAGTAGGTCCTTCGTTATATAACCCTATAATATCTATATATTAATAATATTAGAAAATAGGGTGGGTCTAGGTCTATATCGGCTAAAAATACACTATAGGCATCCTTAGCTTTCATAAATAAGGATATAAGGAACGTCGGTACGTCAGGACTCTGATGTTTCACTAATTACCTAGGTAGGGTTTACGGCCTTTTATAACCTTTATTAAGCATGCTAGTACCACTAGGCTGATATATCCTATACGGGTAAGATCGCTTATAAAGCGACTATATATACGCTTTAGTACTATAAAATAGCTAATATCTAGAGATTATAAAAGATATAATAAGTACGTAGATATATAGAGTAGTATAATATCGTTTTCTATATAGATTCTGTCGAATTAGGGTATAAGGTAGCTACTATAACTATTAAGAATTAATAGGCGAAATCTACCACGTACGCGGGTATTAGTGTATAGTATAAAGATCTTCTATAACTAGCGTAGATGTCGGCCAGAAAAGTGGGTCATTGTACCATTAGGCCAAAAACGTACTTAAGCACAGTATTCTGGCTTTATCTGGACACATAACCATAGGTCGTCGTTCAGGGGCCGTATACCCCCCACATACTCAGGCTGACAGTAGACTAATCTTATCGGTAGTCTAACCGTTATTAGAGACCTTAAATCGCTAATCTTTACGTAGATTATTAAACTAACTAGATATATAGACCTTAGCCTAAAAGATTATATATAGTGGAAGCGAATAGCTATCTACGTATATAGTTTCGATCGTACTAACCTATTCACGATTACCTAGTTATAGGATAGATCTCCGCCTATAGTATTCTACCCTAGTAACTACCTTCTACGTAGAGATTAGGCCTATTATAAAGCTAGTCTTATCGAAATTATAGATACCTCTAGTTATATACCCTTCTTATTAATTATACGCTATACGGTCGTAAACTACTCCCGAAGCGATTTCGGATCTTCGTTTAGGGCTCGTTAGTAATCGTATCTTCGTGAGAAGCGTATACGAAGCTTAGGGCGGCGGTTAATAAAGATTAATAACTGTCAACATATGGATGTTGTGGGGTCACATGACGAAGGACCCACTCACATAACCCCTCTCTACGTCTAGATCTTCTCTATAAAGATCTATCAGATTGATCCTCAACGATCTTACATTGAATTACATACTCGCACCGAATTGCCTACCTAGGCAGGAGACTATCTAACACTCTAATACTCTTTGCTTTCTCATGTGATCTTTTACCATGTTTCTAAGATATAAATACTGCTATGTTTCCTAACTAAATTGAATCAAGTTTTATCATCCTTTGTGATCTCTCTTCTAGATCAGTGGTACTCTTCCACAATCGTGGTACTTCTCCTTCATAGAAGTGCGCACGACCGATAGACTCATAACCGTGTATTCAGACACTATATTGAGTATTTACCAATCCTTATGCACCCTATCGTCTTGTGTGTATAAACCATGACTTTATGGTCACCGCCTAGAGTCCGACAATAACTAATTCTTACTAACGGTAGTAGATAGTTAGTTATCACGCGTAGCTAGTAGGATATTAGCTATATCTCGTACTATAGAGGGTCTAGGGACTACCCTACGCGTATCTATAGAGATTATCTATACAGTAAGCGAATCCTCTCTGAATTAGGTAAGCTTATGGCGATTTAGGCGCTAGTCAACGCGAGATTATATACTAGACGCGCGGGTACGTAGTATACTCTCTAGTATCTTATATAACCTAGCCGCTACGCGAAGAGATTGAATTCGGCCTTCTTTTAAGTCGGATAGGGCTAAAAGGATCTTGCCCTCTTGATTAGCCAATTTATGGCTAGATTCAGTGCGAATTGGTGGCATAGTAGGTAGTTGAATTCGAAGGGTTAGTAGGAGGACGCGATTTTTGGTGGGGTGCGTAGGTCAACCGGGTGCGTAGGTCAACCAGGAATTACGTTATATAGTAAGGTATCTCCTAGGAATAGTAGGTATAGGGGAATCAGGAATAAGATTAGTTATTATAAGAATCGTTAGTAATAGAAAATTATATAGGTTTTAATAGAGATAATCGATTTTGAAATTCTTAATAGGTAGTGGGTAATCTAGTTAGGTAGGAATCATATTAGTAAAATATATTATAGCTTAATAATAGTATTATACTAGCTTATAGCTATAAACTACTATCTCTAGTTGATTTATTTAGATCTTTAAGGCTTATAACCTAATAAACTAACGCGAAGTAGAGGAGAGAACTTGGAGATAGCTAATATATTATAGATAGAAGAAGAAGACTAGCTAGCCGGAAGCTTATAAGCAGATAGTGGTCAAAAACCCCCACAAATCAAAGAGCGAGAGCGAAAGACTCCAGGAGCCCTCACCACACCAACTATTCAATCGGGTAATAGACAAATGTAGATATAGCGCAAAATCATAAGGAACCGCGCTTCATCCTTCGAGAGTGAAGGGAGTTATCACTGCGCTTTTGAAAAATCGCCTGATTACTATTACCATAACTGAGATCAAATGCCCAGACAGCCTGGAAGCAATGCATATCTACCTGGGCTTTCTGGTTATTGGCCTGGGCGTTATACGAGCTGTTGGCTGGGAAGAGACCGATGATATTATAGAAGTAGGCCTTGCGAGGTATCAGCATCTCATCGCCGATCTAATGGCTATAGCAAAGAATTAAAATTAAGAAACTCACGTCGACGGCACTTTGCAAGATACGAATTTCAGAGGGAATCTTGGTCTTGGTTGTTTGGTTGATGGATTTCAGCTGGGCTGCACTGCTCGATAAGGCGTCCATGAGCTCGAAAAGAGATTGCACGAACTAGCATCATTAGATATAAACGACTCCAATAAACTTCTCTTATATACTCGACCTACATTTGAGTATCCTTCATAGACATCCTGCTCCTCTGCCTGGTCGGTAATGATCGGCGTGTTCGTCATAAATTTTACATCTGTTAGAACCACAGCGACCATTGTGTCTATCTGGGTATAGATATCCTGGATTTCATGATGAGCCGTTATTCGAGACCTAAAGGACCTGAAACCTCTACTTACCGAGATTGGACCAGGGTCCGCAGTAGAATTGATTGCCAACACAAGATTCTTGGCGGCGAATCCTTGCTGTGCTAATTCATTGAGAGAGTTGGCAATTTCACCCGAGGTTAAAGTAGCGACCGCCCAGCGCGTGCATAAGCAGAGGACCGCGACCAATGAGAATAAAAGCCGAGACATTGGATATAGATGAGAATTGGTGATGGAATAAAAGAATGGAATAAGAGAATGGAATAAGAGAATGGAATAAGAGAATGGAATAAGAGAATGGAATAAGAGAATGGAATAAGAGAATGGAATAAGAGAATGGAATAAGAGAATGGAATAAGAGAATGGAATAAGAGAATAAACGAGTGTCGTGGTATCTTGAAAAGAGTGGCAAGAATAATGATCCGAGAAAATGACAATTTACAAAATAAATCAGGACCGTCATCATAATATATATACCTTGTGATATCAGAGTCGGAATAATATGTTCCCCTGACTAGGCCTAAAACGGACCCTGGACCCTTTTAAATCAAACTTGTCAAACTTGTAATAAGTAAAGTTGTGTACGTTTGGGCAATCTAGCGGTCGCCGGTCCGGGTTTCAGCCAATCAGTACATTTTGAGATGAATCGCGGTTGGCTCCGCCTACGGGAGGGCTAATTTCTGCCGGTTCACACCATCAAAAATTACGGAAGCGTCGATAATGCCTTACTATGCCGAAAGCAAGGCCCGGCGCGAACTGGCCAGCTTACGCTATGACTTCCGCACGTATAGCAAGGGGGGCAAACTGCGCGAGCGCGGTCGCCAAACCTCGTATAATGATAGTTACTAATCAGGCTCGGGGTGGTATCGCCCTCGTCCTATTGGCGTAGGCTCTCCCGTTTCAGATTATTAATTTTCCCGTGATCGGGACCACTCTGCCTGACAGAAAATTCAATCGAACAGGAAACGTTCCTTAATGAAGTCTAAACAAGAGAAACCGCTCAAAGTAAGGAACAACATAAATTCGATGTAGAACTAGAAGTGTCACTTCAAATTCAGCATCATATGAACATGAACATCAAGTTTACACACCTACAGAACCTATAAACCGGTAGTTTTTTTATGTACTATATACAAATCCACAACATGCGACGACCTTTACAAAGCCTACTCTATAAAGTCCATCGCCCCTAAGTAAATACATTCCATTATAGTATAATTAATCCTCTAATCTCAATACCTACGCCGAACAATGTCAAGTGGATGCAAAACAGAAAAAATAGAAAAGAAAACGCAATCAAGGTTGGAGCAGCGATCAAGGTTTCGCGAGTTGTTCCTTGCGATAGAAGAATATGCAGAGCACGTTGATGGATAGCATGAAGAGCAGACAGACCCAGAAATCTGCCTTTCCCAAGCCCACTGCGACACCAGCAGAGAAATCAGGGAATACATCACCAGGGCCTAACTTATCCGGTGCTGTCGCGCGGGCGAGGATTGTCGCAATGGAACCGACTACCTGCGTGGCTAGAAGTGTGAAGGTGATGTGAAACCGAGTCATTGTGTGGAGCAGGATCATTCCAAACCCTGTATTGACCTGAATCAGTTTGTGTTATGTTTTTATTTGCAGCGAGAGGAAACTCACCAACACCTTGAAGGGAATCCAGAACTCCTAGCCAGAGCCAGAGTGCTCTGCCGAGGATAGCTCCAGCTATGGGACCACCGGCCCATGGGATGTACGTGGCTATGTTGGAAGTGGCCCACAGCATTTGGGCCCATCGAGGAGCACCAAGACCGATGGCAAAGATCGGGATGAACCAGGCGTGCCTCTTGGAGAAGACATGAAAGACCCAGAGAGCTGCTGCCCAGACAACAATGAAAAAGAAGAGGACAAGGAGCACGATTTGCCACACGTGTGCATGCTTGCTGGACCAGAGGTAGAGCCAGTTTCGTCCATAAGGAGCCGATAGCCAGTAGTTTGATATGAACGCCATGTAGAAAAACCACTGCAAAATACAGCGTCAGAATCGAAATTAGCTCGAGCGAGAAATGGGAGAGACATACAAGAATAATGCGACGGCGAAAGAGCGATAGGTAGAATGTTGGCACTTGACCTGGTGCTTGTCTGTAATATGCAGGCAGTCCAAAGAACACCAGGGCTCCCAACAGCCACAGAAGACAGGCAAGTCCGACTCCGATCCCGAGCAAAGCACCCGGATTGGTCACGGCAAGGCTGAATTGCGTGGTACCCTTTTGATTGAGATTTGCCATCCAGCTACCCCAGTACCAAAGGAAGCTGATGAACAACTGCTGTGTGCCCTGAATGACGGTGGCTCTAAAAACCCAAGTCCTCAAAGGCGATCCACCTGGACAAGAAAGTCAGATAATTTATAATAATCCCCAAAAGGGTTGTTGCATACCTTCATCTCCAAAATTGAGAGCGAAGAAAATTGAACCACTCGAAGATGCAAACGAATACAAGCCGGTTCCCACGTTTTGTAGCCATGTTTGACTTGTGCTGTTGTGGATGGAACCGGCAAGGCCGACAAACAGAAAGGCAAACCCGTACATCTGCGCACAGTTAGCTTGGAGCCTCGTAAGCCAGGTCGAGTAAAGTGAGCGTACAAAGAACGGAATTGTCAACACATAAACTGAGGGGACTAGACGGAAGACCATCCACCATATGATCGAAGATGCAAGATAAATGGATGCTAGGACGTATAGCTTTTCGGCCGTCTCTCCAATTTCACCGTTCAGGAGTGTGATCTGGTACGAGTTCAAGGCAATAACTTGGCCCTAGAAGGATGTTGTTAACCTCTGTAATGAAAGTTTGGTAGGGTTCGAAAGTTTGGTAGGGTTCGAACTTACAATAGCGAGGAAGATGGAGTACACAGGCCAATCACCGAGCTTCATCAACATGAAACGCTTCAACCCCGTGGGGGGAACATAGTCATTTGGGAGAAGGAATTGCCTGGCATTTAAGTCTGCGACTGGACCAGGGATTGGTGGGGTCTCTGATCGACCAGTTTCATGAACCTTGAAGCGAAAGACAGAAGCAGCAGGCGACGGCAAAGGGGACTTGCCCAGTTTGACTTCGCGGTAACGATTGAACCAGTCCTTTTCACTCTTCTCGAGAAACTCCTCGATGCAGAGCTTGTCTTCGGAGTTTTTGCCATTCAGATCCGCAAGCTTCTTCACAAATTTATCCGCGTACTCGTTGTTCGCATCCGTGAAAAATGGATCAACTTTCTGGAGGTTGTAATGTTGTTTCTCCTTCACGATACCATCGACACTGACCAGACTCATCATGGACTCCCTTGCATCTCTTCGGCCCAGCAGACCGTCTTCTGGTCCCCCACCGTGAACTGGTGTGCTGGCACCGGATCGAGCAAAATAAAAATTAGGTGTCCCAAGTGGCGATGGACGAACACTGCCGTCCTCTTGGACGGCCCCAGGAATGGGCTCAAGATCTTCTCCGTCGCTTACCGAAGAGTAAACAATCCGCGAATCTGCGAGAGGACTGGTGGAATAGGGTCTTCGTCTTGGGTCTGTGTCAGAGTCGAACTCGTTGTCGGACGTGTTGAGATTAGAAGACAAATTTGTCGGCGAAAGGAAGTGTTCAAGGCCTGGTCGAGGTCCAGACAGTCTCATTTCAGCCGTGATCGGCCTGCTTGGCGAGACAGACACGGTGGAGCTGCGTGATCGGCTATGTTCGCGGCTGTTGTTCGAGCTCGACGAGACTTTGCGAACACTTTCTGGGACAAGGGTGCTGCCCCGGGAAATCCTCCATGAACTGCGATCATTGCGTTTAGAGTACTTGGCGTGCTTTTCGATTGAAGTGGTTTGTAGGATTTCCAGATCCTCAACCCATTGGGCTACGGGGAAGCGCTGCTTCCCGGATCGTGCACGCATGAGCGCTCGTGTCTCTTGTGACGATTTTAGGGCGTCGGTGATGGCCGTTTTGAACTGTTGGATGAGATGTTTGGTAGTCATAGACTCACTAGAACAGGTTAGTTTGAACATATCGTGAGAGAAGGAAACTTACATTGTGTACCACCATCCTGGCATCTGCCCAAGACCACCAACACTAAAGAAACATAAGTTAGCACTGTTGGTGGATTCAAGCCAGGTCGGTCTTACCGTGATCCCACGCCCAACGCTCCTTTCCGTCCGAATTCCACGGCCACCAGACCAAATGGTTCATCACGCGAAGGAATCAAGGCGAATTCAGCGCCGCTGAAAATGAAGGGCGGCAGTGCAGTGAACTCCGGTTTAGAATAGACCCGCCCCGGATAGAGCTCTATGAGTCGATTCAGTTTCAACGCGGCAAATCTTCCATAGAGATCAATGACTGGACCAATGCACATCAACTGGACCTTTGGGTGAGCGTCTAAAATGGAGGGAAAGATGTCTGCAATCAGATCAACGCCCTTTTGCATGGACCAACGACCGACGAATACAAATAGCTGGGCTTCTGGGTCAACTTCTAGCCCCGCCCATTCTTGCGCTTGTCTCTTGAGTGATGCACGACTAGCTTCAAACTCTGCATCGATGATAACGTCCTCGAGATTGTTGTTTGCGTTGTGATCCCACTCCGCGATGTCAGATGGATCGGGATTTGGCAGGGCTCCAATGTTCTTAAGACCCCAGAAAATAGGATATCTGGCGTACGATCTCTTGCCATATTTCTTGGAGACACCAACAGCGCCAAATCCGTTTTGGTGGATCTTCAGATAGTTGGCAGCTCCATGAAGAAGGTTAAACACCTCGCCGAATTGTACATACTTCTTCACCAACGTATGGTCAAGGTTATATACACTGCAAACCTCTCGGTTCTGTTGTGGAGTTTTCATTGGCCAGAGTCCTTGGAATTCGGCATTGTGCAGAGACAAGCAGCATGGAATTGTGCGAGGTAGAAGATAGAGGGGGCAGCAGCGCCATGGTAATCATTGATGTGATAGAGGTCGATGGCCGGAAATCTCCTGATAGCTTCAGCAATACATTGATTCCAACTGGAATAGAATATAGCCGAATCCAGGTCATCCATGCGGGCAGGGTACGGCTCTGATTTGGACTGAGCTCGGAACACAGGTGCGTCTAGCAAGACGTACGTGATGTTGTGCAGCCGATGGTACTGGACATCCACTTGGTATTCATTACCAAGAACGGTAATCACCATCGGCTCACGGGGATCATCCTTAGGGTAGTCAACTCCTCCAACACAAGGGACCACCCATATGAGGTCCTGCTGGGTCAGGTGTTTCCCCATCAGCTGGGCCATCACACCGAGACCGCCGATTTTGATCTTAATGCCCCAGTCTTCAATATCGTATTCCATCGTTGCAATGAGCACTGTTCGTCGACGGGTGTTTACCGTGGCAGCAACGACGCCTCCGCTTTCAGATTGGAGAGGGCCCACGTTGGTTAGAGCAAGTCCGGTATTGGATTCCCTGTCATTGGATCGATGGGTCACTTTTTGCAAGACGCTCGCCAGTGGAACGAAGCTTGATCTTTTCTCGGTGACACCAATTTGGTTGAATTTGACCTGGTAAAATGCCTTCAGGTACACATACACCGCACCGATAGCAGTGGCGACGGGCACAATCGCTAGTACGATAAAGATCGCCAGCTGAACCCATCTGGATCCCGTGGGCGTAGCGTAGACCTTAAGATCGCCGTCATTCACCGACAGTTTGAAGGAAAGGTAGGGTGAAGGGGGTGGGATTGTGACGTTGAACACATTGCTCAGCAGCGTGACTGGAGGGACCTGATCCAGAACGTTGTCTCCATCGATGTCCCCAAATACCTGTGTTTGATCAGGTATGCCGTCTTCGTTTAATCCCCAGGCATTGAATGCGACTTGCACGGGCCATTCGCCCATGAAGTGGATTTCCCACCGACCAGTGACATTGCTAAGAGCCATTTTGTTGGAATAGCCAGCGTCATATCCGAACTGGTTGAACTCGCCTTCGATGAAAAGATTTGGGAAGCGACGTGGGGGCTTGTATGCCCATTGTGTGTCTCCATGCTGCCAGTGAGCACTACTTCCAGTCAACTTGCTCCAGTATTGGGTAAGGATATGTTCTCCTTCCCAAGCCTGTTTCGCAGTGCCGGTCCAGTTTTTGCCGGGAATCGACGTGTTGAAGCCGGTGTATGTCATCCAGGCACTGAATGTAGCTCCAAAGTCCAGCGAGTATCGCCACATGTCCGCACCAGGGGCCTGTGGCGTTACTGATAATGGCTCAGTCTCAGACGACGGGTTGTCGAACAGTAGCGTTCTACTGTAGTTGGCCAACTGTGGCCAGACCATCGGATTGTCTATCTGTCCGATACGGAAAAGGAAGTGGTCGACGGACTGCCGGATTTAATTAGTATTGTGACTTTCTCGACCTCTTTAGGGAGGAATATACTCACACCCGTGGATTGATTTCCGTCTGCTGTGGTCACGTTGCTAAGCGTGACTCTGTGAACCCCTGGAAAGACATTGCTCAAGTCTACCTCGTAGCTGAAAACGCTAGTGAGTGCCCCCGGCCATGTTGCAACATCTGTCTCCTCAATAGATTTACAAGAGACCGAGGTAGTGTCAAGCTGCGGGCTCTCGTCGTTAAGCGCCTTGGACGTGATCGTCAGAGAATTGGTGATGTCCCTGCAATCCATTTCCTGAGAGAACTCGAAACCAATCCGCACCGTCTCCCCACTTGTTCCCTGGGGTACAAGTCGAGCATCATGCCCTGGGGAGAAGCGTGTTATATATGGGGAAGGCTGAACGAATTTATCCTTCGGAACAAAGGCTTTGAAACCCCAGGCTGGAATAGTGAGGTTGGCATGACATCCGTTGGGAACGTCAGACCCTTCAAATCTACATCATTGTCAATAACACGAATCAAATTCGGAGCAGTAATCATACCCAAGCGTAATAGAGCTGTTGGCCAGGGTCAATTCCTCAAACGGCGGGAAGAGGTTTTTGACGGTTGTTCCGGCGGGAAATGGCGAGATCAAGGCGTCTTTACTGCTGCAGTTGAACTGGTGCTCGACTGTTTTGTTGTCATTAGAATACACCAGCCAGACGCTCTGATTCCCCTGGCCTTGACCATCGAAATTCTGCGCATCCACAAAGCGTGATCTGATGACACTCCACATGCCAGTCTCGGTTGGTGTCCCATTACTGCCGGGAAGGTAGATGTCGAACGTCTGGTTGGACAATTGCTGCAGGTACCAGCCATCATTTAGGGCGGGATAGTTTTGACGCATCTCAAACATCATCTTGATGAGGCCTCGCACTGGGTGAGAAGGATCGCGGTGATCGAGACTGACGGCATCATCTTCACATCCGGTCAGGGAGCGGTCGAGCGGGAAATCAACGTATTTCGATGACCCCAGCTTGTAGCATCCGTGCAGCTGCCATGCCTGAGCAGATGACATGGGTCCACGACCGAAGATATAGTTGTCAGCCTGGTTGTCCAGTACGTAGAAATCCTGTTCCTCGCCCCAGGAGAGGATGGGGATTCCAGGCATAAGCAATGAAGCGACGTATAGGCCCAAGATTTGCTTTTGGGTCCCGTTTTTGATCCCTGGCCACCTGAAGACATCCTGATTCGTGACACCAAACAGGTGGCGAGGATCGAACTTGCCAGTGTTCGTGTTGACCATATCGTTCGTTTCCACAAGACCATTCCAGGTCTCCACAAAGTTGACTGGCGGGTCGCCTTCGGCAGTGTAGGAACCGTCTAGCCTGAATGCGATGGTGTTAGCTTGCGTAAACCGAAAGTAGTGAGAGGGAAAATGAACCCTAGAAACCGGCTCAGACCACGATATAATGTGTAGTGGAACGCCGCCCCGTCCAACGCGGACCTCTGCGCAGGTCTCAAGAAAAGATCCTCATCTGACTTGTCTGTCTTGTTCGTCATCATGAAAGATTCCGTCATATTGGAGATGGTTTGATTTGTCTGGCGACCCCGGCCGATGTAAAGCGAGCCAAAGGCGTTTCCCGCGACAATTTCTCCGGGAATATAGAAATTGTCCTTTCCCACCTGCTTGGCGCAATCCCGCATGTACTCGGACCATTCTCCAAGGGAGTCAAGGGTAGCTTGTAGAGCTTTGTCAACGCGATATCCGTCGATATCAAGCATGGTGATGGTTAGACACGAAAAGTGTTTGATCTTGGCTAGCACATCTGGCCGCCATCCCCGGAGACGATCCTGCACAAATGCGAATTTGGATATCTGCCCTTCCCATTCGGTGTAGTTTCCAAAGGCAGCAACTTCTCCATACTGTAGAGGTCAGCCATGCCCAATACCAAAAGAAAGTAAATGTTACCTGATCAAATTCACTTTCCCGGCATGAAGGGCCAAGGGTTGTAGTGGTCAAACCGGTCCCGTCATCATCCCAGAACCGAGGATACTCCCAGGGACATTCACTCTCAACTTCATTTCCAGGCTGGAAGTCCCAGTATCGACGGTCGTACTTCCATACATAGTCGTACTCGTTGGGATTGATCGGCGCGGACTTGTTCAGGAAACCTTGGAAACCGATAAGATCGCCCATTCTATCCGTAATCAGCAAACGACATCGGAGGTTGCGCAGATTAATCACACATACGTGACAAAGGTATTATCGAAAAGAACATAAAGCCCCCGTCGATGCGCCTCGGATATCATTGTGCGCCAGTCCTCAATTGTACCAAAGTGGTGGTCCAGCAAAGTCAGGTCAAGTGGGGAGTATCCATCCGCAGCCCAGGGGAAGTTGATATATGGTGTTCCAGCGAGATAGACGCCCTGAATATGGTTAATATATTCTTCACATTCAACTTTCCTGAAGCAACAAACGCACCTTGATCCCCATTCCTTGCAGATAATCAAACGTGTCGACCAACCCAAGAACGTCGCCACCATGGCGGAACTCGTTGGAGGTCAAGACATGTTCCCACTGTGTGCCATTCGCATTATCGTTACTCGGGTCCCCATTAACAAATCTGTCAAGAAATATCGTGTAAAGGGGAACCGCCAGTTCTCTGGCGAGGGGTTGTATGTGTGGCCATCCCACTGACCCGAGTAGTCGAGAGGGTTTGTCGCTGTCTGGTTCTGATTGAGATTCCAGTTTGCTTCCTCTGGAAGATATGGCAGGGATTGTGCAACCCGTATACATATTGCAACAATCGCAAGGTAATGGGTGATTGAAGCGAGCAACTCCATTCCGCACAGTGAATGCCACTATGGTGACAATCACAGAACACGCTGTTCGAGCCTCAACTGTAAGAAAAAAATACGACCACAAAGTGCATACCAGGAAGAGAAGGAAAACTCATAGGCACCAAGATACTGAACGATTCATAGGGCACGGATGCGCAAGAGAAGCATGTGAAAGATAATGAAGACTTCAGAGCTGGCCAGGCCAATGCAATAATGAACTCTGAGCACGAGAATACCAATCGCTGTTTTGTAAATCAGCATGGACACAGGAATTAGACCAACCACCGGAGACCCAAACCAGCCTTGCTGTACAGCCTCAACCCACAGCAATCCACACTCACGCGAAGCGGTTCAATGGTTCTAATTTCGGAAGGTGGATCTCAAGCTGACTTACGGCATATTTGGTGGGCATTGTTCGGGCATCTAGGCCAGGCTTAGGGCCCAGGGAGGAAGTATCATGTCTCATAGATAGGTAGATAATCTGACATGCGTCGGTATAGGACCTGTGGAGTGCTCTACTGTATGTACAGGGCTGACCCAACATACGAAGTGGGTCTTTGTTCGATAGCTTGCTTATATGGTGGAGAATGATCTCTACGTGTTTATTGCAAGGCTATACGAGTTTTCAAGACGACTCATGCAGTAAGTACATATATCATCGACCTTAAACTGTAAATTATCCCAGATTGGGTATCCCGCCTCGTTGAAGATAGAACACGTCATACCTGATACAGGACTGACCTATAAAAAACGTTGAGAGAGAAAGGTGGATATGATGATAAGGGCAAGGCTCGTTGTTGCGTCTCGTTTTTGTCCTCTATTGTTTTTTTTTCTTTTCTTTTGCTTTTGCTCACGGTCACTCCGTCCCTGCCGCTAGTTGATGATCGGCAATTTATGCACTTTCCGCTTGACCTGGCTTGGCTGAATTTGCTAATACTTCGCTGTCAAACCAATTAGTTGAAGGGCTAGATGGTCAAACAGTCAGCGTCTCAGCGGGAAGGCTGAAAACCTCCTTATCTGACCCCACTGATACCTTCCAGACCCACAATCGCACAAATCTCAGCTGTCATATTTAGATCCCTTATGTGATCACCATATCTCGTCATGGGAAACACGTATTATCATGGAATGACAGGAAGACTATTGAGTAAAGGGGAAAGGTAAATAACCCAACGCTAATATTACGCAAATCCTGTCCCAAGAAATCGGGCCAGATTCAATCAACCATGCGGCTCCTCCGCTCCGAGGACAGCAAGCTAAAGCAACACGGACAATGATCGTCAAATATCGGGTCCAGCCACCCTAGCGCGGCCTCGAGGGTAGGACAAGTCATTCCCGAACCCACCGGGGCCCGCTCATCTGCCGTCGGAAGCGATCAGTGCCCTCGATTCAGATTGGGATGGAGTGGGTTCGAGACGGGACGGGATTGATCCTACCGATCGGGCCGACAGATCACAATACACGGCAGATCATTAATCTATATAAATACGGTACAAGTTGGATCTATGTATATGTATTACGTATACGGTATCATTACACACGTCCCCTTGCTGTAGATCATTTCCATCCAACATATTACATAGTTACATGACATTGTCAATTAATTTAAGTAAGGCTACCTTTGCATTGTCTCTGACTCCATCCGTCATTTGATACTCCTTCAACCCCTCATGCAAACGCCACCCACAATGCGGTGGTGGTGGTGTAAGGTTTTGGTGGTTGTTGCTGCCATTGGGACAGTACAAGCGGCTTCCCGAGACCAATGGATCGGTCGGTCGGTCTACCAAGTGGTCACCGATCGCTTCGCTCGGTCCGATAACTCAACCACCGCTTCTTGTAACACAGGACTCGGAGACTACTGTGGTGGAAGTTTCCAGGGCATCATCAATAAACTGGATTATATCCAGGAACTCGGGTTCGATGCAGTTTGGATTTCTCCAGTGCAAAGCCAGGAGTCAACTCGCACGGCGGATCTCTCAGGTATGGATTGTCATCTTGACTTTCAACGGATGTAGAGAACTAACAATTGTCGGAATGGAAGCATACCATGGGTATTGGCCTAATGACCTGTATTCCATCAACTCCCATTTTGGTACCCCCGATGACCTCCGGGCGTTATCCACGGCGTTGCACGCGCGTGGCATGGTAAGTCCGCCGGGTGCCTTGTCTACCCACGAGACTGACCTGAAAAATTAGTACTTGATGCTTGACATTGTCGTTGGTGACATGGCCTGGGCTGGAAATGCCTCTACCGTCGACTACAGCACGTTTAACCCCTTCAATGATCAGAAGTATTTCCACGACTACAAACTACTTTCTGAGGACCCTGCAAATGAAACCTGTGTTCTGGATGTAAGTCCGCCATCGCCTGTTATGAGAGCATTGCTAAGCCTTCAATAGTGTTGGATGGGCGACAACACCATATCGCTTCCAGATTTGCGAAATGAGGACCAGGAAGTTCAGCAGATTCTGGGAACCTGGGTTTCACAGTTGGTTTCAAACTACTCCAGTATGTCTATACGTTTCATATCTCCCCCAACGGATTTAATAACAGATATTCTTTGTAGTTGATGGCTTGCGAATCGACAGTGTCTTGAACATTCCACCCGCTTTTTTCTCCAATTTCAGCAAGTCAGCGGGGGTTTTCACCATGGGCGAAGGCGCCACAAGAGACGCATCCGGATACTGCCCTCTGCAGCCCAGTCTAACCGGGCTGTTGAATTATCCGTTGTGAGTGGCTCAAGGAAATAAATAAAAGGGGCTTGCTGACACTTTTTAGGTATTTTATCCTCACGGAGGCCTTCAACACGACCAACGGAGACCTGAACAGGATCGTAAAGTCTATCGACTTCATCAGGACACAATGCGACGACGTACTAGCCCTCGGAACTTTCACATCGAATCAGGATGTCCCTCGCTTTGGCTCATATACGTCAGACATATCAGTAAGTTGACTGCATCGAGTATTTCGTCAGCACGTATTGACTTTTTCACTCCTGCTTAGCTGGCTCGCAACATTCTCACAATCAGCATGCTCGCTGACGGTATCCCCATCCGTATGTTGTGTCCCCCGATGGAAATGAAAGCCAGAGACACTAATAAAAACATTGCAGTCTACTACGGCGAAGAACAGCACCTCTCGGGTGGGTATAACCCCATCAACCGGGAGGCTCTCTGGCTTACCAAATACTCGATGAATTCGTCCTCCCTACCTTTGCTAGTCCAATTGTTGAATCGCATTCGATCGTATGCGAGCAGCGATGGAGAAAAGTACACGGTCGCGCCGAAGTCAGGCAGCGACTATCTGTCGTACCTCTCCCTGCCGATCTACAACTCATCAAACATCTTGGCCGTGCGTAAAGGATTTGCTGGTAACCAGGTCGTGAGCGTCGTATCCAACCTGGGAGCCAAGCCAGCCACCAAAGCCAGCACCAAAATCACACTTGGCTCGGACGGCACAGGATTCTCAGGCGGACAAAATGTGACTGAGCTCTTGTCTTGCAAAACATTTGTAACTGATTCAAGCGGAAATCTTAAAGTGGACCTCAGCTCGGATGGAGGGCCTAGGGTGTACTATCCCACTGAAAGTCTGAACCGAAGCACCAACATTTGTGGAGATCACACCCAAACATCGATAACATCAACGTCCTCAACATCCTCAGCAAGCTCCACGACTTCGACCAGCGCTGGGACTTCTTTATTCAGTCTGTCTTGGGAGATACGGACATTGATGATCACGGCTGCATTAACCACGTCCTACGTCTGTCTCCCTCTAATTCTTTAGACCGCCACTTCCTGTGTTATGATCATGCTTCCTGTACGACGTTTGTTTGAGTTTGAATTTGTTTTTTTTTTTGAGAGTTTTTTAGAGTAGCTTTACTATAGACTAGATACTCCGTATGTTTAATACTATTGTTTGCCTATTATATCTCGTGAATTAGCATAGAAAATAAGAGATATATTTGGTTACTTGGAAACTCCCTACCTAGAGCAGAATTCGACAGTCACCTTTGACTATTACAGTGAGTATAATATAGTAAGACCCTATAAAGATCTAGCTTATCTGGTGAATTTTACTAGTCATGACCGGTATTCATTCACGGCTGTAAGAAACGATATAATACAATAATAATATATTCCAAAAAGAAATATGACAATCTCGATATTCGAGCTCTATCGGTATACTCCGTGTTTACTGCACTTCTCAACGCTCAACTAGCGCTTACATTATATAGCCCTTGCTTAGAAATTCAATGGTTTATTTTTAAGGACCGCAGGTCACAGGTTGGTTTGGGAACTTGATTGGAAAGATAAGGTGCAATGCTCAGTTTGATGGACCCAACGCAACAGAGCGGGTCGCCGATCCAGAGGTTCAGTGCGCACTCTACGTGGGCACCAGGAAGGCCCCTGGAGTTTTCTCAGTAGTTTCTCCATACGAGGCTCAGCTCGTGTTAGAGGTCATATCCTGCTTCTGTGCAAGGCTTGGATTATCTCGCATTACATACTCCCAATGGGCTCAGCTTCAGCTGACAGTTGCTGATTCCTGTATGTAGATCGTTCGACAGACTGTTTCCCAGTCTATCGACCGAATATATATGAGGATTCTCCTGGGAGATGGTATGACATTCCCTCTAGCACATTCTCAAGAAATTCAATAATTCCATTCAATCAAAATGCGCTACTCATTCACCATCTACGCCCTGAGCCTCCTCTCGTCGGCTTTTGCCATCACCGTCACTACCCCGTCATCAAACACGGTGTGGGATTTTTCTACTGCCAAAACTATCAAATTCAGTAGTGATTCCAGTGATCCCTCGGTAATCAGCATCATCCTTCGAAACCAGGATGGCTCCTTCCAGACCAAATTGGCAGATAACGTCAAGACCTCTGCTGGCGAATACACGACCCAGCCTAACCCTAGCATTTCCAACGGGTATGTAGAAGGTTGAGTGGGTGGACAGAAAATAACAGTACTAATAATATCCTGCCGTGTTCTAGAGATGACTACGAGATCCAGATAATTGATTCTTCTGGCCAGCTCGCCGTCAGTGACATTTTCACTGTCAAGAAGGGCGCTTCGGATGATGGTACCACATCCTCGTCTTCTTCTTATTCTTCTTCCACCACCACCTCTACCACCACTTCCTCCTCCTCCACTTCTTCTTCCACGACATCCAGTACGACCACTTCTACATCCGTTTCCTCTACCCTTACATCCTCGGCGTCTTCAACAACCACGTCGTCAACTAGTCCTTTGTCTTCCTCAGGCATGATGCAACCCCACACGATCACAAGGCGATTATACTAATACAATTTCTTTAATCACAGGCTCCACCACCTCTTCTTCTTCTTCCTCGTCTTCCACGACCGCGTCTTCCACCTCTTCCGACGCTTCATCCACCAGTGCCTCCGCCACTACTGTGCAGTCAACTGGGGCTGCGTCGTCTCAGTTCAGCACTCCTAAGGGAGCCATGGCTGTACTTGGTGCCGTTTTCGCGCTCTTGCACGTCTAGATCATGTGCAGCAGACAGTATTCTGCCTGAAGCGTGTATACAATGGCCTTTCAAAATAAGCTGAATCAGTGAAAATATGTGTCGTTACTCTGTTGGATTCTCTTTTTTTGAAGTTTGTGTCGGGCTGGAGCGAAAGTGGATAGACTAGAATGATAGAATTTAATTTTCAGGGTTATATCAATTTGCTAAATCGGGTTGACCGGTGGTACTACAGTAGTTCGCAGTAGATGCATGCAGGGCGGGCACAGACGCTTACGTCGGAATTCTATACAAAAATAGTGTCGGTTCTAGACCGGTTCCAGGTATTGACTGGTATTAGGTATCTGACCAATAGAAAGGGGCCATCATAGAACGAGGCCAGTCGCAAGATATCGTCTGAATAAACAACATTAGGCCCCCGGTGTACCCTGTCCGCACCACACCGCTCCGGGTGTTGGTCCCCCGATACCCAACAATAATTCTATAGCCCAACGCAAAGTTTGAAGCTATTCAACTCTAAATTTATTCCTTCAAATTTTACAAATAAATACTACTGAACTGCTATTCGGATGCCACAGACAATCTGCTCGGAGTCCCTACAATCCCAGCCTCCTCCGTAGCTGAATTAGGAGTTGAAATCAAGCTTGGATGTGCTATCGTCTTGGCCTTCTGGACACTTGCCTCGAGATCTTTCTCCTTCCTCTTTGGATTGGCATTTTCGTAGTAAGATTACCGAATTTACCGACCCGTTGATGTGACCGGCAATATTTTGAACGTATGTACGATACAGTAGAGGCTAGAAGGCTGATCCCCTCTGCCAGCTATCTAGCCTAACGGGAGACCCGACCGATCTGTCGACGAGTGTTCGGCTAAATGCCCTCACGATCACCTATCCACGAATGACGTGCCTCGGACTCGGAGGCTGGCTTAGGTAGGCGGAGCACTTCCGGGCTGTACTAGAGATGACTAAGGTGCCGGGAGTGTTAACTAAGGTAGGTAGGTCCCCGGCTTACCGTTATTATGAGAGATTTGGCGTGGCATTGACGATCTCGCAGTATCTAGAGCGTTTGATAACCACGGCAGTATTAAATATAGATAGATACGACGACTCGAAGAAGGTAGTCTTTATTGTCTGAACACATCATCCGCCTGTTTAGATCTGAACATTACTCTTAGTTGCTAAAATTCATTTCAACTCAACCCTACGATCACATCATGTATCACAACATGTATATTTTTACTGAACGCCATGGGAAACTCTCATAGTTATGGCTTGGGTTCGAGTCACATGACTCCGTGATAAAATCATCGAGAGCGTACTGTCGAACACAGATGGAGCATAATACCGCTAGACCAAAAATGCTCCCTGGGCGACATTCTTAGTCATACGGGCTGTTTCTTGTTCCGACACGTACTGGCTGCCTCAGGCCGTTGCACCGTTCCGCTTGGAGAGTCCCCGCGTGCACTTTGTCGCCAAACCTTCCACTAAAATACTCGAGATTGGATGATCAGACACAAGTACCGATTTTGGAACTTGACGAGTAGAAATTCCTCAAAAACAATGAGCTCTAGCTCATTCATTCCCGAAACCACCAAGCCTTCCGACTTCGAAGACTTCCATGATGCTCTGCAAGGTGGGCTTAATACATATGATATCCTTTTGACTTTGACCGATCGGACAACTCACTATACTCCTAGGAGTAGGATCAGTGGGTATGGCCTCAATATTGAGAGCTTCCTCTCCCGAGGGCACAGCTACCTATGGCCCTTTCGCCGCTCAACACACGACAGTATCTGGTCTGATAGACGGCCAGTTTCTTAACTCTGAGGTCCAATCCGCTTCGGCGCCCGACTGGTTTACTCATTCCCTGGACAAAGATACCCAATCATGGTCCATGCCAAGCTCACTGGACCAGGATCTAAACTTCTCTGCGATGTCTGCGTTCCCAATATCATTTTCTACGCCACTAGGGGAGTCCTGGACAGAACAAAACCCAGCCACCGATTCTCCAGTCCCTCCCCTAGCCATATCTCAGACACATCAGAATCAAGCCCAAGTGGTAAGTATTAATTCACCTGTCGGTCTTCCTAGAAGAAGGAGCCGCTACGATATCAAGAAATTTGGGCGGAAGACGGACGCAAGGCCTATCCCCATCCATGCACCTACTTTTGACCCCTTGCAACGATGGCACGACTCCCCACCCGAAGATGAGCCAGCATCTATGTCTGCTATCATCCAGGCTGTGAACAGGTCGGAGAACATCAGCTCCGAATCCCCTCTGACTGGAGGACAACCAACAGCGACTCCTGATTCCTTTTCGCACTACCGCCGACCTGTTTCTGTGGCTAGTTCCAACAGCGGAAATAGTGTATCATCTTGGCATTCCTCTGGCTCAAGGCAGTCAGCATCGGCGAGAAACCCCCTGGCAGCGCAATCATACGATGATCGTCCTTCACGTGTCCAGAAGAGTACGAACTTGGCAAGAAACTCAACCATATCTAGTCAACGTCGAGTCTTCCCCTGCACGTTTTGCTGCGATACATTCAAAACCAAGCATGATTGGTCCCGACACGAGAGAACTCTTCATCTGAACCTAGGGGGTTGGGTATGTGCCCCTGATGGAGGGGCCCCAGTTTCCCCGAGCACCGGAAGGAGACATTGTGCTTTTTGCTCTTGTCTAGACCCATCCCCTGAACACCTCGCCCAGCACAATTATACGCAATGCTGTCGCACATTTAGACGGAAGGATCACCTTGTACAACATCTCCGGCTTGTCCACCGCCTCGATATATTGCCTCTTATTGATACATGGAAAATACCCGAGCCGGTTATAGCTTCACGCTGTGGCTTCTGTGATTGCCGTTTAAATGACTGGAACGAAAGGGTCGAGCATCTAGCAGCACACTTTCGTGAAGGCCTGACGATGAATGAGTGGCGGGGAGATCACGATTTCCCTCCATCCATCGCCGGAATGCTCACCAATTCTCTACCTCCCTATCTTATTTCGTCGGAATCAAAAACCGTGGTGCCCTTTTCGGCGACGAATGCTAGCGTTCAAGATCATTTGGCTCAGATCTCGCGACGAGCGCAAGCGGTGGAAGATGAGGCTCAGTTGACATCTTCGTTTCAGCATCTTCAGGCCACCGGTGAAAGGCCATTGGGCACATTCACGGAGCTTTTAACTCAACATCTTGGTCGGTATGCACGGCAACAGATGATACTAGGTGTTGTTCCCACCGATGAAATGTTCCAAGACCAAGCGAGGCGTCTATTATATGACTCCGAAGATTCATGGAATCAAACGATCGCAGATAATCCAGAGTGGATCGCTTCCTTCAGGCAGCAGCATGATTCGCAATTTGACATATTGCATGACCACGATACCACGGACCCTGAGAGTGGAATAGATCTCTCTTATCCGCGGGTGTAGGTCGTGCGGAGCATGGACTTTGGAATTCTATGTACACAGAGCAGAAACTCTCAACAATTATACCTACTCATCCGTAACCTCACACGCCCATGTGTTTTCCTCGTAACCAAACATGATATCTTTCATCCATTGGCGCATCATTGACACATGGGGAACGCTCTCTTCGGGAATATTTATCCCAGCCTCCCCATATTGGACATGGACAACGGGCTGCATGAAGCAGGCAGTGCCGACAACAAACGCACTCAACAGACTTCCATCACGGGAGGCATTCTGAAGATCAGAGACAGTGAGCATAATCTCGAGTACCTCTAAAGGTTCGCATCCGTAGTTAGAACGTGCTGTCTCGACAAATCTCTCCATTGCCAAGTCCAGGATACTCTGTCTGGTGACTCCCGCTAGGATAAGATGATCCGTCAATGGAGGAGTGACAAGCTGTAGTTTTCCTTCGTAATTCCGCCAGATAGTGAAGAAATTTGCGGAACCAGCCTCCGTAATGTATCCCTCCGATCCGAACAACCATAGAACCTGGTCAAAGCCACGCCTCCGAGCTTCACCTTGCATCGGTAAGGAAGGAGCATAGTTGCCACTGATCTTAGCGGATCCAGTACCACCTGGCCAAGAGCGAACTGCATCCTCGTCGCTGCACGGTAGGCGGAGGCCCTTGGATGGACCGGTAGAAGCTGGCCAATATGACAGCAGGATGACCAATAACGCCTCACCAGGTACCTGAAAGCCCAGGCTCGAATCCGATCCGATCAGAGTCGGGCGAATATAAAGGGACTCGCCGTGGCGGCCTTTTGGAAGCCATTTAGGGCCGTCGACCTCACAGAGCTTCTTGATCAGGCTTAACAGTTCTTCCGGATTGAACTCGGGGAGGCAGACGCGTCGGGCCGAGGCCACCATGCGTGCACAGTTATATTCCGGTCGGAAAAGGCGAAGCTTGTCATCAAATCCACGATGCACCTTGAGGCCTTCGAAGCAAGAAGTGGAATAGTGCAAGACACTAGCTGTCGGCGACAAGGAGATTGGAGCGAAAGGGACCATCTCCGGATCATCCCAGCCGTGCTGAGTTGTCCAGCAAGCAACAATCATATGATCAGTGCATACTCTGTGAGCAAGAAGATCCTCCGAATCGGGTGAGGGAACGGGTTTCAGCTTCGTAGTGAGGCTCAATTTGAGTCGAGATGCCTTGAGGGCGTTGGTAGTGGACCGGCCTGTAGCAGTGTCTATTTGTTGGAATGCTGTTGGGAGGAAGTCATTCGGATCGTAGGATTGTTCGGCCATTTTTTTGGTGATGTAACTGGAACGTATCAATTAGAATGAAGATATTTGAGGATGTACATATCTTCAAGGGTACACAGTATGGATTTTATATATATCGATTTTTGGGCTATTTATGATCAGGGCGCAGGCTTTGTGCATTAGAAGAGATTCACCCTCGACTAAAGTGTCAAAAGATTTAGCCAAAATGCATGGCGTGTGCTATGACTAGGATCTGTATGTCTGGAAATGATGACTGAGGACTAAAACACTGGAAACTCCGCGGATCGCCCCACAGGGCGCGGTGGATCCACGCCCACGCCCACGCCCTAGTCTTGGAGACTGCGGCCCGAGGTCATTTTATGTCTACGTATAGTATGATAGTACATTCCTCGGTTGGTTCATCGCTCTCCCGATGGAATATTCTACCCATTTCTGAGCCAGAAAAAAAAAAGGTAAAATGGTGGCAAGAGATAACCATTGGGCACATATATATCTTGTCCGTAATCAGCCCGTAAAAGAATACCGATCTAGATTTGCAGACTGGTCAGTACGCTCATTTATAGCCGCATATCATGTGTTCTATCACTTCCTCGATTGCCGCTCTACGGCCTCGCGTGCATGTTATCGGTCTTGGGAGCATTGGTACATTCGCCGCCCATTCCATTTCAGAAATCCCTTCTGGACCGACCGTCACGCTCCTCTTACACCGAAAATCACTCCTGCTAGCGTACCGCTTGGCTAATAGCCAAATACAATTTGAGTCAAGAGATGGGAAGAAGATCACTTCACATGAATACGATCTTGAGACCTTCTTCGATGGCCAATGGCATAGCAAGCTGTCAGGTTCTCAAAAGGACGATAGCTGGAAGGTGAATCGAGAACCGATCAGCAATCTTATTGTCTGCGTAAAGGCAACCCAAACAGTATTGGCTATTCGATCGCTTGCGGGTCGCCTGAATCGCGATTCGAACATCTTATTCCTCCAAAATGGCGCTGGTATGATCGATGCCATCAACGAACAATTATTCTCGGACCCAAACTCTCGTCCGAATTATCTTATCGGTGTGATCTCTCATGGCGTGACGCTCAACACGTCCTTCGACATCACACACACTGGATTTTCTGCAACTTCGATAGGAGCTGTTCCTCGTGGCTCGGTTGACACTGGGACAATTCCCAACTCGCAATCAAGATATATGCTAGAAACTCTCCCTCGGTCGACCACATTAAACGCTACCTCGTACTGTTACACCGACATTCTCCAAATTCAACTCGAAAAGCTTGCGGTGAATGCATTCTGCAATCCAATCTGCGCCCTCAATGATGCGAGAAACGAGTTCTTATTCACAGTACCAGAGTTGAGGCGGGCTATCCTCCAGGAGATCTCACAAGTCGTTCTGTCCCTTCCAGAATTAAAGGGGGTTGCGGGCGTCGAGGAAAGATTCTCCGTGGAGAGGTTGGAATCGACCGTCAACATGATCATCACAAAGACGTCTCAAACTACCTGCTCTATGGTATGGGATCTTCGAGCTAGAAGGGAGACTGAGATCAATTTCATCAATGGATCATGGAGTCGAATGGGTCTGAAAGTTGGGGTAAAGACACCTGTGAATGATGAGCTGGTGAGAAAAGTGCTAGACCGGGGTTCAAACCATTGATCTAAAGAGCCACATAATTCAGCATGACCAAAAGACGATTGCCATCCTATTTTAGTATAGATATGATCAATTTCAAGAGGGTATAGTTACTTTTCCCGTGGGTCAAATTCCTATCAGACGGTTATCTTGCTAAATATCCATGTAGTTGGTAAGACATAATCAAAAAAGAATTCTATCTCATGGCGGCAACATACGTACGGCCAAGAGTACTGTCTATGTCTGACCGAATCTTTGGTGATGGCGGGTAGAAATGTACTATGATGATAGAAAATGATATCCTAAGACCCAAAGGAGTGGTCGACACTAGAAAGCCAGCTACATACTCCGACTCGGGCTTTTCTCGGGATTGAAGCTCTGGATTCTTGAGATTTAAGTGGACAGGAAATTTAGCTTTTCCTCGGCTCCATCACACCCTGCAGCGGGAATCCATGAAAACTTTCAACCACAGAACGTTAGAGTGAGCGAGTGAGCGATATAATTTTTTTTTTCATGTTTCTCCCTAGCAGCAAGTGAGGTCTAGGAGCTGCCGAGACAAAACTATGGGAATTAAAAGAAGTTGTGGCCAAGTCAGTGGATTAGACATCGATTGTGGCGGCGATTGTGTGTACCCGCAATTTGTCACGCACCAAACTACTATACTTTACACAAAGTCGCGCCACACTGTAGCACTCCACACTGTAGAACTCGATAATTGATACTCTGGATCTTGTTTCTATTCTATTGGATTGTTTAAATTTCACTTCAGCCTCATACGACACGTCAAGTTTCTAGATGGAGGTAGCCAGGTAAGAATTCTGATCTATGGATATCTCAACCACGGGATCTTTGTCTCTGTAGAAATACGTGACAGGCCCATGGTAGTATGAATACGAATTAAAGATGATCGAAAGGCTGCCTAGACACGAGTCAAGAAATACAGGTAGGCAGCCTTCTTCATATCATCAATCTTCTCACATTCGACGACCTTTTCGTCATTGAAGAGTACCCATGACGGAGAGTCTTCGCCTGCCAAAGATTTGCGGATAAAGGCCACATAATGACTGTAGCATGTTAGATCAACAAATCCACATCGAGCGATAAAGAGAAACTTACCCTGCGTGAACAGATGAGCCTTTATGACACACGATAGACCGTAGTTGATACCGAGCAGGCAAGGTGTCGTATCCGAATGGGCCTTGTTGAGTTCGAGCGGGACCGTCGTTTTCACTCTCCATCTCATCGTCACCATCATCGGGATGGGTAAACACCCAATCCACAGCCCGGTTAACATCGCCATCAGTGGCAGCGAGAGCCCGCCGAGCACGAGAGGCATCAATCCCCATCTCACCTAGTTGGGCGATTTTGGACTCATCCTGTTCCACGGCCTTGGCCCCGCCGGCAGATTGATCCAGCACTAGAGGTTCATCGATATCTGGATCCTCCATGTGGGCAAAGAGCCAATTCATAGCAGCCTCCGGGTCAGAATTGCCAGTTGCGTGGAGAGCCTTTTCACACCGTGGTACGGGGAAACCCATAGCCAAAAGTTGATCAAGGACCTCCGGGTTGGGTACAAACTTTGCGCTTTCTTTAACCTCCGGAAGAAGTTCTTCATTGGGGTCATGCGCTCCAGTCAGGTATGGACCAAAGTCCATTGGCTCATCGCTGACGATAACAGGGATATCTAACTTTGTCGGTACCCACTTGACCAGCTCAAAGCGACGGGCATTGACAGCAAGCTCTTGGGGTAGAGTCTTGAATGTGGACCGCTTGGAAAACCCGGCTTGACTCTCGCATGCTGGACAAGTAAGCTCAACAACTTCCTCCGCAGTGAAGATGTCCAAGCACTCGGACAATGTCACCGATTCGAACTGATCTTTTTCGCCTGAGATACGACGTGCGGGCACTGCCACGGAAATATTGTCCTGTTCATCTACCTTGTAACGAACTTTCTTACACCCGAGGCATTGTAGGCGCTGCTCAACCTCAAATCGGAAGTTTTCCACGGGGTTGGCCAGGTCATCAGTGTGCTTCGAAAGGCTGACGGATTTGAACAGATGTAATAAAAATTCAAATGCATCTTGTTGCCTCATTGTGGCAAACTCCGGGTGACCTTGCCCAACGAGATACTTGAACATAGCTGGCATTAACCCCTTTTGATGAGATGAAGAGGGGTGGACTTCTGACGCGGCAGCAGATGCAATAACACGGGGATCTGGTCGAGAGTACCGGCCAGAGAGAAGGCCATCTGCAAGTTTCCTCAACTGGGTCTCGATATCTTGTGCTGGGACCTGGCAGACCGGCGGTTCCTCAGATGGGCGGTAGTATCGGCTCTGGAAGCCCTGAGTGGAGAAAATGCACTGCATCACACTAGAAAGATAGCAGCTATTTCCGAGGTTGGCTAATCCCGTGAAACCAGGGCCGTAAACCGGCACAAGCTCACGACCATCCTCGGTGGTCATGGAAAAGTCCCATTGCAAGTTATGCTCAACCTGCATTTCCATCAAACTTTTCTCTGTCTTCTCGCGTCCGGCCAAATAGATCCCCCAATGAGCAAGATGACTGGCAAGTTCTGGGTCCGTCCGTTCCTCATTACATTTGTAACAGTAAATGTCAGCGGACCCCTCTGCCGTGATTGATCCTAGTTTGACAGCAACAGCGTGGGATGTAGCGTCAGCGTGGGCAAGTGCATGGGAGTTTCCCTGAGCTCCTCCAAACTGGCTCCGCCCACACGCGGTATTACCACACTCCAAGCAAAGCCAAAGATTTTCTCGCAAGTCGCACGCTGTGCACTGGCTGGAATCTGCAGATTTTGATTAGTATTCCTTCCATGTTCCAGGGCCAGAATGGGGCAATACCTTTAGATTCTGCGTCGACAACATCATCTTGGACCAGACACAATGTATGCTCGCAAGGTACAAATTCTTGCTCCCAGGCCTTGACTTCTTCTCTCTTTGAGAAAGTCATTGCAGTCATGATACCCTCGATCACTGCAGGCAGGGTTCCGGTTGTCTTGTCCACATTTTCCCGAGGGCACGCATAGCACACCACCGAGGTCGCGATATCATAACGGTCTTCGTCCGTCTCGGCAGCGATAGCAAGTTTCGAAATTTTGGGGGGAGGTTCATCGCGCTGCAGCCATATAAATGAAAGTTAGAAAGCTGTTGTGACAGGAGGCTAGGGTAGAAGGCGGGGATTTAGCATTACCTGCACTTGCTTCGGGGTTCGCCGAATATTCAGCGCTAGCGCATGCCCGTAGCGCTTGAAGTGAAGCAAGGCGTGATCTCTGTCCCCAGCACAGCCTCCGTTGAAGCAATGAAGGCATACATTGAGACCGGCGGCATCGTCCTTGGAACCGTTAGTACCAGGATTATTTCCGGAGAAAATGGACTGGGCTGCGGAGATAAAAGATACATACGATCGAATCAAAGCACTGAGTGCAATCCTCTCGATAAACAGCCTGGGTAGGCCCTGGTGGGCTGAGATCTAGCTCTCAAAATTAGCGGATGACTCTCACGAGGGTCTGCACTCCGCCGGATCTCACCAACCTGAAGCGCCTGAATGGACACAGGCCATTTTTGAGGGCCAATGACCGCGACCCAGAGAGAGACGGATAAGGAGGAAAGTGGATATCAGAAGCAGAACAGTAGGAAAAGTGGAGGACCTAAGGTGTACGAGCGACGAGTGACGAGGGACAACAGTAGAGCAAGTCAAGAAGACAAGAGAGAGAGCAGGAGCTGCTGGCGTGGGGCAGGCAATTACATAATGACGTGGGGTAGGTCCAGCCCCGGTGGCGGAAGAGAGGGTCACATGACTGACCACTTTACGCGTTATTTTCTGGCTCGTCTCGGAACGCGTCGCGGATCACACAACCTTCGACCACCTCATCGCTGAGCATCTCTTTCCCCCATACCCCTGTGGATCTCCCATCTGGCCCTTTGACAAAAATTCTGTGCCAGTAGAGTGTGTATCAGGACCTTCAACCGTCGATCATGGCATCAGATGCGGCGTCACAGATCACCGTTGGGGCTCTCGGGTAAGTCCTTCGATTCACCAAGAAGATTACGGGGCCCTCGCTGCGAGTGTAGCCCGTTTTATGGTGCAGAAGCTAAAATTGTACAGGGCCATCTTTGATGAAACCAAGCCCCAGGTCCGCGAGCCGATCGTTCAGTGTGTACAAGTCAAGCCTCTGCCACCGCAACCAAACCACCCAGAACGGTATCGAGCCGTCTTCAGTGACATTGCCAACTATGTCCAAACCATGCTTGCCACCCGTAAGGCTACCTATATTTGTCTCTCAAACTGTCACGGGCTTTTGTTAACATGTCGTGTTTTCTCTCTCAGAGGCCAACCACGTGGTGACCGAGGGATCTCTGCGCAAGGGATGTTTTGTTCGTCTTAAGTCCTTCCAAGCGAATTCGGTCAAGGGTAAAAAGTGAGCGTGCTCCTGGTGATAATCCAAGTGCTTTGTTTTTCCTCGGTTGGCTGACCGTCTGCAACCAGAATCCTGATCATCTTAGACTTGGAGGTCTTGAAGGAACTCGGCGAGGCAGAGAAGATCGGAGAGCCCAAGCCGCTCGAAATCAAGGCCGAGGATGACGAGAAGCCCCAGCCAACAACAATTTCTAGCAACGGGTTCTACGGATCCAAACCTCCCACTGCACCGGCACAGCAACCCAATCGAGCCCAACCCACGCGCGGCCCCTCTTCCTCTGCCCATGCCACCATCTACCCAATCGAGGCCATCTCTCCCTATTCCAATAAGTGGACAATCAAAGCTCGCTGCACGAACAAGTCAAGCATCAAAACTTGGCACAACAAAAATGGCGAGGGAAAATTGTTCAGTGTGAACTTGCTCGATGATAGCGGTGAAATTCGGGCTACCGGATTCAACGATCAGTGCGACATGTTGTATGACTTGTTCCAGGAAGGTGGTGTGTACTACATTTCTAGCCCTTGTCGAGTCCAGATTGCCAAGAAGCAGTTCTCAAACGTCAACAATGACTATGAACTTACGTTTGAGAGGGACACTTTGGTCGAGAAGGTAAGTGCAGAATGCCGCTTGGCACCCAAGCAACATGCCGTGGAATATTAGTTGACCCGTATTCGTTACAGGCCGAGGACCAGAATGATGTTCCTCAAATTCGCTTCAACTTTACCACTATCGGTGATTTGCAATCAGTGGAGAAGGATACCACCACCGATGTCATTGGAATTCTCAAGGAGATTGGCGAAACATCCCAGATTGTGTCCAAGGGAACTGGCAAACCTTATGATAAGCGTGAGCTGAACTTGGTTGACAACACTGGATATTCTGTTCGCTTGACTATTTGGGGTGCGAGCGCAGTCAACTTCAATGTCGCCCCAGAGTCCGTTGTCGCCTTCAAGGGAGTCAAGGTCTCCGACTTTGGTGGGCGGAGTTTGAGCTTGCTGAGCTCCGGCTCGATGGCTGTTGACCCGGATATTGGAGAAGCCCACCGACTAAAGGGCTGGTATGATGCACAGGGAAGAACGGAAGCGTTCACTTCCCACGCATCACTCTCCGGCGCCACAAACTCTAACATGAAGGCGGATCCCTTCAAAACCATTGCACAGGTCCGTGAGGAACAGTTGGGCATGTCTGACCAAGTGGACTACTTCTCTCTCAAAGCAACCGTTGTTTTCATTCGACAGGAATCTACTTGGTGCTACCCCGCCTGTCTCTCCGAAGGCTGCAACAAGAAGGTGACAGAGTTGGATGTTGGCCAGTGGCGATGCGAAATGTGTGACAAGACTCATCCACGACCGGAATATCGGTACATCATGCCGATTAGTGTTAGCGATCATACGGGCCAGCTCTGGCTCAGCTGCTTCGATGACACTGGACGATTGATCATGGGCACTTCCGCGGATAACCTCATGCAACTCCGCGAGGATGATAATGATGCATTCCAGGCAGTGTTCCACGAGGCGAACTGCCGCACATGGAGCTTCCGGTGCCGAGCTAAGATTGACACGTTTGGTGAACAACAACGGTAAGCAGTCGCAACTAATCATTGGGGACAAACCAAGCTGACAGCTAGTTAGGGTTCGATACCAAGTCTCGTCCGCCAAGGCCATCAACTATTCCGAAGAAGCTTCTCGTTTGGCAGAAATCATCAACTCTTACAGCCTGGACTAGCAAGTCCATACGATCGGCACTTTGTTACCTTGACATGATTATCTGGCAGAATTTTATTCCCCAAACTAAATGTTGTTCTGAGTGTTTTTGAGTGGGACCCCGTGTTATTGTCGTTATGATCTATTTTCCATAAGCTATCATGAGTCTTTTGCCAAGGAACTTTTCTGGACTAAATTGTAAATGCGATCTTTGTGCTAAAAGCTCTGATCAGAGTGTCTTGACTAGCTTGATGATACACTTGAGTTGGTAGATACAAGGTCGACTATCATATCATAGTGACCTTCGTTAGAGGAACACCGCATGACATTCTAAAAGTCGGCATTGGATTTGAAAGTATTGTCTTTAAAGCAACAACTGGATCAACAACTGGACTCCCTTCCCCAACGCTGTCCTTCCCAGACTACAGTTTTCCCACCGATAATTCCCGGGGCTCTGGTAGCTTAAATAGCCTCAAAGGCCTTGACTGCATTTTCAGCTGTCACATGGGCACTGGCGGGATTGGCGCCGGTAACAATCTGCCCATCGGTAATCGAAAAGGCATCCCAGGGACCAGGAGGAGAGATATCTAAAGAGCAGCAAGTCAGTATCTGTCATTAATCTTGAATGTCTTAGGAAGCCTCACAGGTTGCTCCACAGGAGGCGGCCGAAGCCTCGATGGTCTGTTTGTTCCATCCTTGAATAACCTCCAGGATACCGTGTTCCTCCTCGCCGCGGTTTGTAAATCCGGTCACTCGGCGGGTCGCAATAATGGACTTGCCAGTGGCGGGGTCAATAATTCCCGGGAAGATAGCACCACCGTGGCATCTAATCAATTTGGGGATAACGTCAGCGCATGACCTCCATAATAATCCGGAACATTAGACTATACATACACGGCAGACACGATACCACCCGCGGTGAAGATCTTGGCCGCAATATTCTGCAGTCCCTTGGCATCCGGATAGTCGATCAGAGATGCATGTCCTGCCGAGGCAAAGAACAGGCCATACTAGCCCCAAAATGTCAGCAAGGCCTCCTCTAAAAAACGGTAATTCCTACTAACGTTGGCTGGGTTAATATCGCTTGGCTTCAACAAGTTATCCAACTTGGAACGGAATTCACTCGAGTGATCCTCCCACACAGCTCGGTCGGCATCGTTCAGCCAGTCTTTCTGCTCCGAGAGCCAATCCGGTTGATAAGTTCCAGTCTCAGAGACGAGATCGACTTCAAAGCCAGCCTTGCGGAAGACCTGGAAAGGGTGCAGAGCTTCGGTAATGAAAAGGCCTATGGGGAATGTTTAGCTAGTGGAATCGCAGATAAAAGACAATTCAACCTACCAGTCTCTTTTCCATCCGGGTAGAGGACTGCATGGGCAGAGGTGATGGCAATGAGAGCTTTGCGCACAGGAGCCATGACGAATTGATTCGAGAGTAGTGAGTTTGAAAGAGTTGCTTTCAGATTTACGTCGATGTTTGTGATCGATGATGTTGTATAGCCATGTTTTGAGGGGGGGCGGTGATGATTCTTAAATACTTGAGATCGCCAGTACTTTAAAGGTAAAATATTAAGAGCTCTTAATCCGGCGAAGACAATCCCGTAAGCGCCGTCAATTGGTCGAAAGACCTAGAAGAATGAACGGAAGCGCCGATTAGCAGGGACGAGGCCCAAGTCCGACGGAGTTTCGCCCCAATTATTCCCATAGGGCTTAGGATAATGTCATCTCGAAGATATAATTATGCCGAGCTCCACTTTTGCTATGTCAACTTCTCGAAAAGTCTCCGAAGGTGGTCGGACACCGCACTGCTGGGGCGATTGGACAATGCTAATACTTGAATAGGGAGAGCTGGAACTTACCTCGGCCACTTACTGTATGAATATGTTGGAGAAGTAGATTGGCGGTATGACGAAGCGAAAAACCGCGTATATGACCAGTCCAAATTTTCGCGTCAATGCCCCAGCGGCAGCTATCATTAATCGAACTTTGCTCTAGCGACTACTAGCCTATCTGCATTCAAGTCTTTTGGGGAGAAGTATTTTTCTATGGTGCTCTGCAAAAAGCAGTCAAATTTAGGCTATATCTGATTACACCAGTTAAAACCGCCGGCCACGCCACTACATCGAAATACATCATCATGACTCCTTGTTAAACTCTAGATTTCTTAATTGAATGCGGGGCGAGATTAAGGTTTTGATGACCAACTCCGACGGAGATCCCAGTGGATTATTAAGGCAAGCCCCCGGAGGTTGGGTTGTTCCGACTCCTGTAGGTGCGCCTACTACATACTGTACAGTACTATAGATCTGATCTCACACTGAAATTGTAAGCAAGTTGAATTCTGTCGACTTCTATCCTAACACAATCCACTACCGACCCTAGGGGATTGTGATTCCTAAAATGGCTTTTTCCAGGGACGCAAACAAGTCATGGATAGAATGTCTCTGATAATTGTTGAGAAATTAGAGCAGTTGTCATTCTGTTCACATGTTTCGTTCAGTTGTTAGTTCCAGCGACGCATTCAAGGGATTTGTATATTGAATCCGATATAGTCTCAAGGCATCAACTGATTATTGAGCACTTGATATGGCCTAGAACCAACACTCTTTTCGCGTTTAAATAGTAATATATGGCTCCAATATGTATGGTATTTCTTAATGCTCATGCTTTAGTCTAAAAATGGTTGCACATCCGGGTTACTAGACCACAACCATAGCTGACTAGCATCGGCGAAGCTAGGATCAACAAAGTATGGGTTACCTCCCGTCCACGTTACTCCAGCTGCCGAGTCCATCGAAAGCAAATCTAGGTCGGGGCCCATTGAAAAGCCCGTTCCATCAAATACCCCATCCCCGATCCCGTTTGGATCAGATATCGAGGGTTCTATATTCATAGACAGGAAAATCAATGAGAATGGATCATAATAGAGTGTTCAAGAACCTAGTTACCTTGGAAATTCAGAAGGGTTTCCGGCAGAACCGTCGAATTTGCCTCATCGAGCGGATTATCTTCAGACTCTCTTGATTCGTATTTATTCGCGTTCTGTTCACCGATTTGAATTTCATCTTCGCCCGTGGTTTGCGCGATAGATGGAGAGGATACCGTCTTATCACCCCGAATCAAAGAGTGTTCGGAGCGCAACAGGACCGTCACCAAATCTTCGAGAATTTTCACACTCTGCGCCGAAAGCAGGTGTTCATTCAGGACGGGATCGTGTTGGAAACGTAGAATGTTCATAACACCATTCTTTGCAGCTTCACTGGTAGCTGATAGAGGCTCTGAAATCGCAAAAGCGCATAGAACTACACCGGCAGTGAACAGGCATATTCCGACGTGCATGGCAGCATGTGTTTTCCCGCATGCGTGCAGCACATGGCTATAGTCGTTCAATTCGGATGTTCGAAGTGCGGACTGAAAAAGTTGCTTTCGGGACAGAGCGGACTTTGGTAGATCATCAGGCAAGTGATCCGTATTAGAGACTCGAGAGCCGGACCCGAAAGAAAGGCTGCGATGGAGAATGATTTGGATGTTGTCGTATGTCAGCTGAAGGGCCAGTGCTTGCATCTGCAACAAGGACGGGGTGTCCTGTGTACTTTTGCCCTTGTAGCTCTCTAGGCGTAACTTCTCAGGCAATTGTCTTTGCCACGAGGTAAGCTGGGCATGGATGCTCTGGACTGACTCAAGCCGATTTGTTTGTAGTCTTCGCGCTAAAAATCGGCCGACGATACGATACAATCTAAACTTCCATCGATGGTAGTCTAGTTGTGCCGTTTGTCGATGCGGTTCTTCCTTGTTGGTCTTGATATCTGATACCGTATTCACATCGCAGTCAGAATCGTCGATACTGCAGGGCCGTCCAAATGCTATTGCCGCATATCTAACAAACACCTTTGATGTGAGTAAGGGTAGGCGATAGGTGGATTAGACAAGAACAGACTTATCGAAAACCTCCAGCGCTAACCATGAACGCCGACGGGATTCTAAACGAGCCGCCGAGATCCCCGTAAGTGTGCCTTCTCGATGTAGCCGGAGAACCTGGGCAATCTTAATTCCGCTTCCAAGGATTCCAAGCCCGGCAGTTGGACGACCGTTGAAAAGATGGAAACTCCCTAGAAGAACGCAGATTTGTACGGCCTCTTCATCAGCTGAGCTAATAATTCTCAAAAATTGCTGTTCAACCCGTACGAGGATATCTTTCGACAGCTGCCGCATGTGGGATCGTTCGTGGGGCTCTCTTCTTCCGAGTGATGAATAATGAGCTCCCAGACCCAAAACAAGTAATGTAATCCAAAGATTGTTGTTATCTTCAAGTGATGGCACATGGGTCGAGGTCATCAATTCTTCGTATCGTTGTCGGAAGTCCTCTTCGTAAAAGACCTAGCCAAAGATGCATCAACTTAGTGCACCTTATGCGATCACATGGATATCGAAGTACCATCATAAACCAGTCAACGGTCGAGAAAAATGTGTCGACCAGGTAATCTAGAGTCTGCTTTGATGGGAAGGATATCCCAACAGCATCTCGCCACGGCATACTTGGTGATGGAAACGAGATTGGCAATTTCTTGCCTCCTGGTAAAGCCGAAGTGTCATATTCGACACCGATGACCAGTTTTTGTCCCGAGCCCAACTAGAAACATTTTAGATTGCTGCTTAAAATTACCATCCACAACCAGGGTCCTCAAACTTACTCTGGTGCTCACATCCATGATACTGCTTTCAGGAAGGATAACCGGCTCCTCCTCTTGGGTTGAGATTTTGGATGAAAATGGCCCGTTGATGATCTGAGGGTCCGAATTGCGCGGGTATGCTGTCCCAGATCCATGTCGAGGGATACATGGCACGCCTGCGCGATGGCATAAATGACATGGTCGGGTGGGATCACACTAGTGACAACCCGGGGTGAAAGAGTTAGTATCCATCTAGGGCTTCTTCCAGCTAACCATAAAGATGACACACCCCCAATTTCCGCTGATGGCATCTCTCACAGGCCGACGACACTTTTTGGCGCTTTCGAGGGGCATACATCTTTCGTGAGAGTTGGAGAATGCAAGTCCGTCGGAGTGGAGGAGGGGGCAAATGTCCTTGCGGAAGGGAGCACAAGAAGGCGATCGGAGGTGTTCCGTCGGGATTGTAGATGGAAGTTGCTTAGATATTTACGGGGAATTGGTAGAAATACCTCGACAAGACTCGAGAAACGAGAACTAATAATAATGCTAAAATACCAACGTCGCAGGCTTAACTTCTTATACGACTGGAGACTGACACTATGGGGACTTGGCGCACGGACCAGTTCCATACAATCCCTCAAAGGCGGAGCTGGCGGTGGGTATGGGCATTACTTTTTTTTCCCGATGAATTTTTTTAATTCCGCCCCGGGGTTTTCGCGTTTGGCAATTGGCACTCCAGTCCAATTCTCATTCATTACCCTAGAGACTTGCCGAAAAGTCTCCTTTTTTTGAAATCCAGTTTACCTGTTTGCGACTGTGTCAGACGTGACATCACAGCACTTCACCATGGCCAAGAGAACTCACAATACCGAGTCAACAGAGTTGCGCCCATCGAAAAAGTCCAAGTCCGACGATAAGCACTCGGAGAAGAAAGAAAAGAAGGACAAGAAGGACAAGAAGGAAAAGAAGAATGGTGTCGACCAAGTGACCGGCAGTTCATCCGATGAGCAGACTGGCTATACCCAGGCTTCGGCGCTCACTGATCTGCCCCAGTCTCAGATCGATCAATTCCTTGAGGAAAAGGTCATCAAGATCACCGATTCGTCCACAGAGCCTATGCCGCAGTTCCGCCCGATCATTTCCTTCGATTACCTCCCGCCCTGCGACACGGATCTGTACGCTCCATTGAAGGCATTCCCTGCCCCGTCCCCCATCCAAGCCGCTACCTGGCCCCTTCTCTTCGCTGGTCGTGATGTGATCGGTATCGCAGAGACTGGCAGTGGCAAGACCCTTGGCTTTGGCTTGCCCTGTCTCAAGAAGCTCTTGGATTCTAAGCGGTCCAGGAAGCCTTATCACCCCGCCGCTGTGATCATCTCGCCCACCCGCGAGCTTGCGATGCAAATCTATGATCAGCTCGTCAAGTTCTCTCACGTGGCCAAGGCCGACGTGACATGCATTTACGGAGGTGTCGGCAAGGATGAGCAACGGGTGGCTCTTAAGACTGCTGCGATTGTGGTCGCAACCCCCGGTCGTCTGAAGGATCTCCAGAATGACGAGTCCGTCGACCTCAGCAAGGTCAAGTACCTGGTCTTGGACGAGGCTGACCGCATGCTGGACAAGGGTTTCGAGCAGGATATCAAGGATATCATCGCGCCCATGCCAGTCTCCAGGAGACAAACAGTCATGTTCACGGCCACATGGCCTCGATCGGTCCGAGACCTCGCTGCCACCTTCATGAGCTCCCCAGTCACCGTGACCATTGGCGGTGACCCCTCTGCGGATCCCCGTGCCAACACCAGAATCAAGCAAGAGGTCGAAGTTATGGACGGCCGCGATAAAGAAAACCGATTGATCCAACTACTCAGTCGGTCCCAGAAAGGCCAGAACCCGGAAAAGGTCCTGGTCTTCTGTCTCTACAAGAAGGAGGCGATGCGAATTGAGAGATTGATCAAGATGAAGGGCTTCAAGGTCGCTGGTATCCACGGTGATTTGAACCAGTCCGATCGATTCCGCAACCTTGACGCTTTCAAGACCGGTGCTGCTACCGTTCTCGTTGCCACTGATGTCGCGGCCCGAGGTCTGGATATTCCCGCAGTCAAGTTGGTTATCAACGTTACCTTCCCTCTTACCGTTGAGGACTACGTGCATCGCATTGGACGAACCGGTCGAGCCGGAGCGAACGGTCATGCCATCACATTGTTCACTGAACAAGATAAGGCACTTTCTGGCGGGTAAGTCATAAACATGGAGAGAAAATCTATGCGTTGTTTATATTCTTTTCAAGTTCGTTTACTGACTTCATCTCAACAGCCTGATCAACGTCCTTAAGGCTGCTAAGCAGGATGTGCCAGAGTCCTTGTTGAAGTTCGGCACCACTGTCAAGAAGAAGCAGCACGACGCATATGGTGCTTTCTTCAAGGACATTGGCACCGACAAGAAGGCGACCAAGATTACATTCGATGACTAAGTATGAGACTGAGGGTGGATATTTCACAACTCGATACAAGGTTTATTCGGATTTCGTCCTTTTTGAGCGGGAAGATATGACTTGCCGCAATTTCGCCAACTGCTCTGCCACGTATTGTTTCTCCATATAGAGCCTGTTTTTTGTTATTTTTTTCTTAGTACCCGGTGTCCAAAAAGCGCAGGCAGTTGGTTTTTGACTTACACTAAAAGCCCATAGACACCACTGAACAAAATTGCTGGCATGATACCCCCACTAGGCTCCAACATTCCCTGCTTAGCCACGATTGTGGTTGCAATGGCCCCGAAGATATAAGTAATAGGACGCATGCTCACTTCGCTGACACGTATGCCATCTCCATGTCGGTAGAGATAGGTTCGAATGAAGGTATAGCTCCACAGAGTTCGGACTGCCATATTGACAATATTGGCTAGAACAAGTCCATATGCACCCATGGAGCCAACCTCCAGGAACAAGTAGGCCGCCAGGGCGTAGCAGGTAGAGAACGCACCCATCCAAACAGTTTGATTTCGGATCTCTCGGGCGTTAGCCGCTGACGACACGAACGCTTCAGTGATGCCATTAAATGCCAAAAATGGGATGTAATAACAATAGAGTGACAGCAGATCGCCCACTTTGGTCGATGCCCACTGTCGTCCGCCCAATATACGAAGCACCTGTGGAACCATCAAAGGGCCCAATGGAAAGATGAGAATCGAAAGAACTTGGTAAGCGCGGAGGATGTCGATCAAATGCTCTTTTGCGGCACGGACTTGAGTCTCGTTCCGCTTGCCTTTCTCGTCAGGGCTAAGCAGGGTTGAGAACAAATTTCGGCTGCTTTCTTCCAGAGGCTGGAATATGATACGGGCAACAAGGCCTCCGTAATTTGCAGCCAATGAGTAAATTCCTTGATCTTCCAAGGTAGACAGGGCGGCGAGCATCATTGCATCACCTTGAGTGAGGAGATGCTTCACCAAAGATTGGAGGAAGACACTAGCAGCCAGCGACATAATTGGGCGGGGGAATAGCTCCCAAAGATATTCCGAAGGGTTACTAGAGGTGGTTAATGACGATATCTTGGCTTTTACATATGGAGCATCCTTACCTGGATCGGATTTTAGAGAGAAGAAATGTGAAACGCCTCTCGTTGGCCTTTCCAAACATGGTCCAGCAATAGCCACAGATAAGAGCAATGGAATAACTCAGATGACCTAGGGCAAAAGGTAGAGCACCGGCAGGCTGGTTGATGCGAGAGGCACATAGAAAGCTTGAGCAAGTAACGAGGCTGCGCAGAAATGCTGCCGGCATTTCCACCGCTGCTCGCTTCTCATACCACATGCGTTGCTGAATTACCGCAAAGAAAGGCTCAATGCAAAGCTCCAATAGCGAAGCAAATCCTGTCACGGCCACACTTGTCTTGAAAAACGGGATATCTGCTGCTTGTACAGGAGCAAGATACTGATAAAGCGAGGTGACAAGTATCGTGAAGGGCAAGCCAAGACACAGACTCAAATAGGACACATTCACCACCGACTGAGATGAAACAGCCAGCTGGTCCTGAGAAGAAGGGCCATCCGTTTTCGAGTCATTCTTGATCTCTGGTGGTGATGTTGACACTGGTGTCAGGGGTTGTCTTTGGATAGCCAGGCGGATGCTTTCCCTAGAGAAATACAAGATTGTAACTTGATAAAGCTCCAATTGAGCAGCAATTCCCAGAACAATTGGTGATAGGGTTCGTAATATTAGCTGATTGGAGGCAAAGGTGAAAATCCTCGATGCCAGTTGAATCATGATCAAGAACGTTGTGCCTGTGGCAGAAGAGGCCAGCATGTTACCCATGCGGGCTTCGGTGGGTTGTGACATGACGGCTTGTCCACCGGATCGCTCTCCTTTTGTTGCGCAGGGAGAATAGATAGGGACCGTCCCTCTTTCTTATTTCCCTTTTTAGTCTCTCTCGAACTGTAGGCCAGAGCTTAGATGGCTAGAGAGCTGATTATAGTTGATGGTTGAGTGGTTCAGTTGCTCGAGGGCGGTCAAAAGGTGCAGATTGAGGGAAAGTGCTTCGATGTGATGAGCGAATGTCCAAACCATTCTAACATACCAATTTAATTTATGGCTAGAGAAAAGCAGATATTTCAGATGGAAATGGTATCCTAGCAGTATTCATATACCTGATTCCATTAAAATACTTGACAAAAGCGAAGGAACACTACGTGTTTACTTGTACATGCTGGGCAGGAACTCTTATACCACACCACACCACAGAGGGACTATACTCTATGGGACCCCTCTAGGATTCGTGAGAGATCTGAAATGGATCAAATTCAAAGACAAAAGAGGCTCCAGAGACAGGCAAGCCGCCTATACAACATGCTCTTTGATCTACGGTGTACAAATATGGAATACAGTTTGTCGCCGGCGACAAGAGGTCTGAAGGCTATTGGTCGGTCCGGTCATGGTACTTCTCCTTGTCGAGACAAGAAGTCAGCCCAAATCCTTGCTGTGCGACCTTGGTCTGCTTGGTCCAAGAGTCGCAAGAGTTTGACCGTTTGCCGCGCGAATCATTTCCACCGTGCCAATGCCCCGAGGATTGGCCAAAATGCTCTTAGAATGGTGGGAGGTAGAACGGATAGCCACCGTTCTTGGTCTTGAACACGCTGAGCAGGAAGCTGTACGTGCCGAAGAGGACACCAGCCCAGATCAAAACAGCCACCTGCTGTCCCTTGACATCCTCCATGCGCGGAACCTTCAATGCAAGAGCAATGGTTGCGAATGAGAGGACAGCATCTGTACAGAAAACCATGGTTAGCAATCGAGAGTATGGGAAATGATACTCAAGGAAAGACTTCAACTTACAGATGGCAGCCACAATTTGGGTCTCCAAGCCAAACTGGTTCTGGAATCCACCAGCAAAGTAGCTGATTCCACCATTGCCGTCACCAGCCACGTAAGGGACCTTCCGAATGTGATTGAACATCTGACCGGAAGTGAATAGAAGAATGGCGATCAGGCTGACGGCGGCCCAGAGGTTGCGGTTCTGAATGATGGGCAACACGTAGGGTGAAAGCACCGTGAAGAGAGTGACGGCGCCCATGAGGATGGTAATCGCCGAAACGATGCGCATATAGTTGACGGGTCGAACCAACTCAGGCTTGGGGCCGTCAGGTAGGTGGCGGTTGATCCACGAGTAGAGCTGGTCGGCAGAGATTGGCCTGGGATTGCGAGGGCAGGTTAGTGTATAGTTCCCAGACAATTGTCCATCCGTCCGAACTTACCCAGTAAAGTCGAACCTCGCGGGCTCGGATTCCAACTTGGCGAAAGGTCCAACGGTAGGAGGGAACAGAAGGATGACGGGAGCGGTTTGAAGCATGAGCTGTTTTAATTTATGGAGGCTTCAATTAGCCATTGAGTTCTTCCCCGGTGTTACGAGAGTGTATTTCATCAAGAAAACTAACCTTTTGGAAGACAGCCTTGCCCTGATCGAAGTCAAGAGTACCAAAGACAACCTTCAGGTCATCCGGCTTGTTGCCCTTGTTCCAGCTCTTGGCAATGAGGTTCCATTCAGGATCAAATTCACGGCACATAGCGCAGCCATAGCGAACATCCATAGCCGTCAGAATAACGGCCGCATAATAATCTCGAGGGGCGTTCGTCAGCTCCTCGAAGGCGGCATTGTCCAGATCAACTGGTCCCGAGCGCGAGAGGGACTGATATTTTTGGAATGTGTCTTGAGTGGGTTTCGCGGCGAAGACGCCGGAAATGACCGAGAAGGAGAGGAGTAGCGTGGACCAGAGCTTCATGTTGGCATGTCAAGAGGAGCGTGGTGGGAGAAGATGGAAGCTTGGAGAGTCCACGCAGCTTGTCCCGATCCGCTCGGTCGACCTGAAAGGTGTCCCCATCCCGCAGGATTATGTAAGGTCCCCGCTCAATGCAGTGGATCTAAACACCGACGCGTGTTCTCCGTTCGCCGGCCCGATTTGCGACTAGCGACGAGCTGTTGAATTGAATAGATCGACGACCACTCACATTGTGGAATTTGATTACTCGAGAATCACCATGGCAGGTGCTTCAGAAGTGTCCCCGCTGGATGTATGTACTTGACCTTCTTTTGTTTTGCTCTCGAGACTAATCAAGCTAGTGCGAGTTGTCTATCAAGACAGTGCGTCTTGAGAAAGAATATGAAAAGGCAATCGCGGACTCGGCGCGTCTTTTGGACACCGAGCGAGACCGCGTGCGACGGATGGAGTATCTGCTCCTTCAATTCGAGCGCGATGCCCTACAAGCGAAGCTCGACCAAGCCAACGACCGGATACATGGATTGACACAGGCCGAGTCCGAGGCGCGTCTTCAATTGGATGAAGCTTTCCAAGAAATCGATCACCTAGACCAGTCTGTCCAAGCGTCATCCAGCGAGATCCAGAGGCTGACGGTGAGTTGCTGCCCTATTATGGGAGTCATTCTAGTATCACTATGCTAATTATCTTATCTACAATAGGAAGAGCTTTCAACACGTAATAATACCTCAACCGGCTATAGCACCCTACAAACGGAGAAGATGCAGCTTTCCCGAGAGTTATCCAACACCAAGTCAAAACTAGAGCGGCTACAGACTCAGAATACCTCCCACCAGGCTACGGTGGCCGAGAAACAGGCAATGGAGCGGCAACTGAACTCGGTGGAACTTCAACTGGAAAACGAAAAGAATTCGCACGAGCGGGCGCGAGCGAAGAGCTCCGAACAAGCGACACAGATCACGAGCCTTTCATCCAAGATTGAAGAGCTCCAAAATGAACTCGTAAGAGAGCAACGAGCAAATAAACAACGCGAACGAGACGATCAACAGCAGAATGGGGGATGGGAGAAAGAACGATCGGTACTGGAGGGAAAGATTGAAACGCTACGCAAGCAACTCCGATCGACCAAGGACAAACTCCACGAGGCCCAGCAAGACTTGCTGCAACGGCACATCATCGCTCGCGGTAACGAAGTGGAAGGCGCCGAAGCAGGGTCGCGAAGAGTTCCCCTCCAGCGTCCGGGACCCAGCGCAGAGTCTCATGGCGTTGGTATGACCATCGCAACGCCGGGAGCTGTGAGGGTACAGGAAAAGCCGAAGAGGCAATCCGCGCTGCCGGGCGACAAGTCAGCATTTTCCATTACTCCATTCCTGAACCGCACTGGCCCCGCGCCTCGTGATACTCCGATCAGCTCCGACGTGGATGAAGATGAAGTCAAGCAAGCAAGGAAAGAAAGTCGGGCTGCGATGCGTAAACCTAGCGCCGTTGATGAACCGAATGATGGAAATTCCTCCCCGGGCGAGCAGCCGCCCCCTAAAGCGAAATTAGCCGCAGCGAAGCCACGGGCACGAGCTGCAAAACCTGGCACATCAAAAGGTGCACATGATTCGAACCAACCAGCGAGCCGTCCCACCAGTAAAGTTCCCCTCAAGGCACCCGAGGAACCATTGAATGATCCTCCCCCAGAGCAAGGACAGGCGAAGACTAAGAGGCGGAAACTCGGGGCTCAGCGAGAGCGTAGCCTGTTTGAAGATGAGGATGAGGATGATATCCTTGGCCTCCGCAAGCCTCGAAAGTTGGCTCTTGGTGGTGGGCGACAGTCGGTGCTTGCGGCGCCTCTGTCCACTTCCTCGGGAGGAGATATACTAGCTCGTGGTGGGGGATTTGGTGCAGCTAGGGCATTTTCACCTTTGAAACGAGATCGTATGCGATAGAGTCAGTAAGACTCAACGAAGACATCGATACGATAGTCTTGATCTTCCGTGTATATAGTGGACTACGAAATCCCTAAGCTTCAGATCGCAAGAAACTTCAAGCCCATCCTATCAGTCACAAGTCGAGCTATAAACCAAGAGATGATACCTGAGCCACCACAAAAGATAATTCAAGTTACACGTCAGAAGACCTTTAAAAAGATAGAGTCCAAACTTCCGCTGTATACTCCACAGTCCCCACCCGCTAGGCGGAGTCGCGTGACGTTCGCGTTCTGCCGGCAGAACATTTCCCTTTTGCTTCATCCACGGTTCTTCTCCATGAGATCATCTTCAAAAGTTAACGTCATGTTTGGTCTCTTCTCCATCCGGCCTCGAGCCATTGGGAGCTCCGGACTGTTTAATCAGATCCGGAAAGCCTCATCCAAGCGCTGGCAGGCCCGTCAACAGAAGGATCAATTTACAAGAGAGGCAGCAGTGCAAGGCTTGAAAAGCCGAGCTGCGTTCAAGTTGTTACAGGTACGGAGCACTATGATTTCCCCAGGGGTCATACTCTACAATGCACACGCTGTATCTTCTAAGGAATGAGATTCTAATGAAAGCAGATAGATGAAAAGTACCGGATATTCCGGCGAGGACAAACCATTGTCGACTTGGTATGCTCTTGAAGTCCTCAAGACTGGTCAGGGGAAAAGACAGCGAGACTAACACGACAACCTCGACCAGGGTTATGCGCCAGGATCATGGTCACAGGTAAAACTTCCAATCTCTTCATAGATATATGCATTCAGGTGGATTAATGCAATCATCTAGGTAGCCGTAAGCCGGACACAACCGAATGGTCGAGTACTCGGCGTGGACATCATTCCCGCACAACCACCAAAAGGAGTCTCCACAATCCAAGGAAACTTCCTTGCGCCTGAAATCCAAGAATACATCCAAGACTTCTTGCGCAACCCGAACCGGGGTCGACCCCGCCAGCCCGGGGCCATCGACGATGCCAGTTCCAGCCTGCTTGAGCCAGCCGACGTAGCAGAAGCCGATGCAGCACGACCCGACGATGCGAAAATGGAAAGGACGGTGGATGTGGTTCTCAGCGATATGTCTGCTCCCTGGTATCAGACATCCGGTTTTTGGAAACGAAGTCTAAGTAATCCCTATCACAGGATGATGAACACCAGCGGAAATAACTTTAGAGATCACGCTGGGAGTATGGTAAGTTTCACCCTGACTCAGGTGCCTGCTTCCTAGAGCGGACCTGCCAACTCTGCGCAAACGTTGAACTAATTTTCTTTTCTCTTCGGAAAATAGGACCTTTGTAATGCTGCGTTACAATTCAGTTCCAAGGTCCTTAAAGCAGGCGGGCATTTTGTCTGTAAATTCTACCAGGGGGCGGAGGATAAGGAATTGGAGAAGCAGCTTAAAGATATGTTTCAAAGGGTTCATCGACTTAAACCTGAGTCATCACGCAGCGTACGCCTTGTCCATATTCCTCAAAACTCCACCGATCATCGACTAAACAAAAGAAATTGACAGGAATCCAAAGAGGCCTTTTTCGTCGGGCTTGACCGCAAAGCGTGAAATAAAGCCGATTTGATCCGCCCTCCAATGACGCCAGACAATATTCAAAGTAAAGGAATGTTGTTTATTCACAGCATCTCAATCTCGTCATTATCTGAGGCCTCGTCCCATTCAACGTCGGCCAAAGCTGCCTCGGCTTTCTCTTGGACCTGATGATCATATGTTAGGAAACCAAAGGAAGTGGAACTCGGGCATCACACTATGGGGTTCACATACCTCCTTGAGTCCGCTCAGTTCCTCCACGTACCCTCGCTCGTTCAGGGCCTTTCGCACAAAGCCCCAGCCTTGTTCTTTGTATGCATCGGTCACCTTATCCGAACAAGCGCTACAGGACGAGTAGCTCTTGCCGGTGACGGTGATATTTTCAAAGTTTGCGAGGAACCCTCGAATTTGATGTGGTACAAGCCCCAGAGGATGGTCTCCTCGATCATCGCTGCGGGTCACTGGGGCTGGTGCTGCGGCGCCCTGTGGATGCTGAAGGATCGAGACGAGAAGTTCCACGAGGAGCGCAGAGGCTATTGCGGCAACTCCTGGGCGAGTGACGGTACATTGTTGATCGAGAGTTTGATCTTTGATCGACTATTCTGGTGTTTAGCCTGGCATCAGCGCAAAGGAAATATGGATCATATCTTACGTTGGCAGGTGCTACAACGTCATTGCAGAAGTAGCATCCAAGATCCGCCGGTTCATCTGCAGTCTCGGAGATTCCGTGACGCATGACAACGAAAGAATCGAATCCCAATGCCGCATTCATTACAATCTTCCCCGCTGCCTTGCCCATCACCGTCGGTAGCCATCGCGACTCTCGAGTGTCCATAAGAAGGAAGATGGCATCATGCTCGTCAATGAGTTTCTGGAGAGCTTCGAATTCTCCTCGCGTCGCGTCCTCGTCAATAATCGGGTGACCAGCCATGGGCACCGAAAGAAGGTGTCCAGATGTCTCGACCCCCGGATAAATCTCCTTCAGGGCCTCTGATGCTCGATGAGCTTTCGGTGCACCGCCATTTAAGCAGTCTGCAAAAGTAAAGAGGGGCTGGCGGACAGGGTTAGAGAATGAAACAGTGCCTTTATCCACGAATGTGATTTTCTTCACTCCCCATCCCTAAAATAGTGGTAGTCAGTCTGACTGAATTTGAAGTCCAAGCAAGGACTGCTACATACCAACAAATTACGGGCAACATAGCTCCCGAGAGTGCCAGCCCCGAGTAAAAGACATTTCGTTTGCTTGATCTTCTCGAGATTCAGCGACGGGCTGATGCGCCATTTCATGAGTTTGAGGTTGAGATCGACCGACTGATCTGCCAGCCTACATGTCATGGATATTAGTACTTGCCAACACCACTCTTTCTCCAGAAGTAGGGACTGTACCTCGTAGGATCCATATATTCTGTTAGATTCACGATCCTCCCTGCCAATTTTCCGGCTGGGTTACGCTCCCAGCCAGTGATTTTGGGCATTTGGCTGGTTGTTTCCTGAGATTTTGCAGTCGGGCTTGCATCATCTCCGACAGGCTTCGACTCAAGACGAATCACCATGCTGCGACCCTGATCACGCTTTGCTTGGACGTCGCGATACCGTAGAATCTGCACCCGATCCAGACCCCACCGCTGCTTTACTAGAACCAACAGATTGCGAAGCATCCAGCCAGGCGCGTTCTCATAATTGGAAGGATCGGCGAAGCAGACATACTGGTCCTCGGATGCTGCACCTGTGAAAAAGCCTTTCTCGTATTCCGACAGCTCAGCAATTCGCCAGGGGCTCCCAGATGAATTGCCAGATGTTCTGCGCAGTTTTCGGGCTAAGAAAAAGCCACGCTGTCGACTATCGACTCCATAACTCCATGTTTGCACTGCATCCACCAAACAGGCGCTATCTTGAGAAGCGAGGTATTCGCCCAGAGGTGTACTGGCATCCTGGGCCTGACGAGATTCGGCCGAAGCCACTGGGACCCAGGAAGGATCGGAGTGGATGGCAGGGAATGCAAACCAGTAGTAGAACTTATATTTCTTCAAATCGGCAAAGGATAGAATGATGAACGACGATAGCAAAGACGGACAGGAGTAGATGGTACCGTCGTTGATGGCGTCCCAGATCTGTGTGTCCGCGGGTTATTAATTAGCTGATGTCACCTAATGTCTAGCGGAGCAGCGCTCGTACCGTTTTCCCAGCCTGGAGAATCATTTGCGGTTTATCCATGTTGCGATAATCCTCGATCGTGTTGACATTCTTGATCATACCTTCTGCACGGTAATAAGCCGCCGGTGCTCTGCGCGCGCGAGTCTTGTTAGCTTGGAGGAAGTCTATAATCTACATGTACTGGCTAGTTTTCGCGTGAGACTTACTCGGTGGTCACCAGAGCATTTCCATGGATCTGAATCCGACAGCTCGCATTGTCTGCATCGGTGGAGCGGATCTCATAGAGCCCCAGAACGGATCGGGCGGAGTCATCTAGCTTATCGTGGTTGATCTTATGTGAGGCGAGTGCCGTATAGAACGGCAACTCGATATCGGACGCATATGGCGCGTACTGCATATCTAGAAAAGGCGAAGGAGGATGGGAGTTGCAGGCCTAGGGCCTAAAAGAAGAGAATAAAGTAGAGATCAGAGTTATGTTCTTGATGCTGGTGCGGAGTATACCAGTCGAGTCGAGTTGGAGAGAAGAAGTGGAGGAACGGGAGGTGAAAGTGGGGGTGATGTAATCGTCGCGCGTCCCAAAGAAAAAGGAAATAAGAAAATAAAAAAAAACCGCGTGACCAGCCCTCGTGGAAACAGCTCAGCTCCCCTCAGACTCACGAGCTCACCTCTCTTTCCGGTTCATTTGGCCCTTCCTTCTCTTTCTCTGAGGTCTTGTGGTCTGTGGGCTAACAAATTACCAGAATGCTTATCGGCTTATGCGGAGGTAAAGTAGAAGACTCTCCCCTCCCCGCTCTGACGCCTAAATTAACATTTACACTCCTGAAGCTATCTGCGCTGGCAAGCATGCTATTGCCGAGTATTTGATCGAGCATGAAGGCTTCCAGCTTCTCGAGCTGGCAACCAAACCAACGCAGCATATCACTGACGAGCCCGATGACGACCTCCGATTACAAGCCTCCGAAATCAGAAAGAACCGCGACCGAAAGGAGCGAGATGCCCAATCCGACCTGGTATTTGATACTCCAGAGGCCTTATTGGACTTTGTGACCAAAAGATGGCAAGAGAAGTGGGTGACTACCGATATTGCAGATGGCTCGACCCTCGACCGATTTCTGCTGCGGCCATTCTTCCTCTTGGTGAGTGTAGATGCTCCCGTCAGTCTTCGCTGGAAACGATTCTCGGACAGGTTCGTGGCCCAACACTCCAACATTATATGGGGATGAATAAGCGTAGTGGAAAGCAGACAAACTTATCATGGTTGTATGATACAGGTGCTGGCGAAGACAACTGGACCCTCCTGATTTGGAGAAGTTCGTGTTGTGGAATGACCGTCATCTATATGAAAAGGACATCGGACGGGTCTATCTCACCGATAGAGCCCAAGTGCGTCTTTTCAACTCCTCTTCGTCCCTAGAGGAGCTCCACAGTTCCCTCCAAACTCTAGACCTCGCCGATGAACAGCGCCTGCGCCCGAACTGGGATCAATACTTCATGCAGCTTGCCTCTCTTGCCGCACAAAGGAGCAACTGCATGAAACGTCGAGTGGGATGTGTACTGGTTCGAGAGCGCCGAGTCATCAGCACTGGCTATAACGGAACGCCTCGGCACCTGCCCAACTGCAATGAAGGTGGATGTAAGATACTTGAGATCCCTTTCGCCCATGAATTTTCTTCTCCTTTCTCAGGCAATGACGTGTGACTCTGTCCCGCTAAACGTTGACTAGGTCCCCGGTGCAATCGTGGTGATGGTGGTGGAGTCGGTCTCTCCACATGTCTTTGCCTCCATGCCGAAGAGAATGCTTTGCTGGAAGCTGGTCGAGAACGTATTCGCGAAGGCGCAATTCTCTATTGCGATACGTAAGTCCCTATCTAGCAGTGATCGGTTGATGATTGCCTCGTCGGTATCTCATGCGGTGAACACAGGTGCCCGTGCTTGACTTGCACAGTCAAGATTACCCAGGTCGGCATTTCCGAGGTGGTGTACTCGCAAGGCTACAATATGGACAAGGATGTAGGTTTGCATCAGTGGCAGCCTATCAGATCAATCGTCGTTACTAATCTCATTACTTCCAGAGCGCTGCGATTCTCGAGGCGGCGGGCGTGAAACTGCGACAATTCAGCCCTGTAATATTTCTATTCCAGTCTCCAATGATCAATGATTACATGCTAATTACCCCTCCAGCCGTCGAATGGGTTGATTTACTTGCAAGGCTCTACCTGAGTCATCAATTAGGAGGTTTGGACCCTCCTGATGGTAACGATAACGACGACGAGACGAGATAGAAAGTCAGAGACATGATGCATTTCGGTCATTTTGGTGCATATGAAGGGTTACATCTGATGCATGAGTACAAAGCGATCCGGTACTATCAAGTTGGATATTGAAAATCCATTTCGGGAAGAGGAGACGACGGGGATCATTGGAAATAATCATTACACAGACTGCATAGGTTTCAATAAGAGCATAAGTACATTTAGGCTCAATATTTGGGAGGACTTCCAGGATTCTCAGCGATAGCCAAATTGTGTGTCTGTATGACTCAACACCTTAAATACCTAAGTTAGCGGGGCAGAAGGTGCTACGAGATGCTCTAAAGAGCTTGTGTCTCAATAGATCGCGTACATAGTGCCAGCCATAGTCTTATGCTCTTGAGTTTGGACTTATTAATAAGGTAATCGGCCCTAAAGCAAAGTATAATTATCTAGTAACAATACTGTTGGAGACATTCATGATAGTAATAGAGCATCTGAATATATCAAAACACGAGACATGCTCGTGGATCCGATCCGTAGGACCTGACTAACCCAATGCGGTAATATTTCCCCACAACTTTGTGCCGGCAGAAAAACGAAGGGCGTATGACTCAGCGGGGTGAATTTTGGAGGGGCTCTTGAATGACTCCGATCTTCCCCTCCAGCCTTTAAATCTTGAGACTCGACCCTCATACTTTGTACGTTATCGTTGTGACTACAGAGTCCTTTTCTCACAATGCCGACCGTTCACCTTTTGGACTACGTCGCGGGTAACATCCGCTCGTTGGTCAATGCGATCAACCAAGTCGGATATGAGGTGGAATGGGTTAAAACCCCCGAGGATGTGAAGAACGCCGATGTACGTGAATCTCAGAAATTGGAGCAGATAGCTGACTGCCTGTCGACTCTCAATTGCTCTTAAATTAATTGATTGAATATCTGGAGACTGACAATTCACCTGTGCATGACAGAAACTAATCCTTCCCGGTGTCGGCCACTTCGGCCACTGCCTCTCACAATTGGAGCAGGGCGGGTTCCTGGGCCCTATTCGCCAGCACATCGAAGCCGGAAAGCCTTTCATGGGAATCTGTGTCGGTCTACAGGCTCTGTTCCAGGGCTCCGAGGAAGATCCCAACGTCCCCGGCCTGGGCGTCGTTCCCATGAGCATCCAAAAATTCGACGACAAGTCCAAGAGTGTTCCACACATTGGGTGGAACTCGGCGATGAACACAGAGATCGAGACGAAAAAGCAGAGTTTCTTTGGATTGAGGCCGACCAGCAAGTACTATTACGTTCACTCATACGCGGCACCTTACCAGCCCGGCGTGCTCGAGGCAGACGGCTGGTCGGTTGCCACAGCCACATACGGCGAGGAGGAATTTATCGGTGCCATCAGCCGAGGCAATGTCTTTGGTACTCAATTCCACCCTGAGAAGAGTGGTGTGGCTGGACTACGCGCCATCCGTGCTTTCTTGACCGGCGACCAATTCCAATCCCTTCCCCAAGAGCTGGTTGCTGGTAAGGAAGATGGATTGACGCGCCGAGTCATTGCCTGCCTCGACGTTCGGGCAAACGACAACGGTGATCTCGTCGTGACCAAGGGCGACCAATATGATGTGCGCGAGAAGAGTGGCGTGGATGCGGGTGGCCAGGTTCGCAACCTCGGAAAGCCCGTCGAGATGGCCAAGAAGTATTATGAGCAAGGAGCGGACGAAGTCACCTTCCTGAATATCACATCCTTCCGCAACTGCCCCGTAGCGGACACACCCATGCTGGAGATTCTCCGGAGGACATCAGAGACGGTCTTCGTGCCCTTGACCATCGGTGGAGGTATCAAAGACACCGTTGACACTGACGGCACCGCGATTCCAGCGCTCGACGTTGCGACGATGTACTTCAAGTCCGGTGCTGATAAGGTCAGCATTGGGTCCGACGCGGTCTTTGCCGCCGAAGACTACTACAAGTCCGGTCTGAGCGGACGCACAGCCATTGAGACGATTTCAAATGCCTATGGCAAACAGGCTGTAGTGGTGAGCGTCGATCCTAAGCGGGTCTACGTGGATCGACCGGAAGACACCGCTCACCACACTCTGAAGACTGCTTATCCTAATGCTGCCGGTCAGAGCTACTGCTGGTACCAGTGCACGGTCAAGGGTGGCCGGGAGACTCGCGACATGGATGTGCGGCAATTGGTACAGGCCGTGGAGGCGATGGGTGCTGGAGAAATCCTCCTCAACTGCATCGACAAGGACGGCAGCAACAGTGGCTTTGACTTGGAGTTGATCAACGACGTCAAGGCTGCCATTAAGATTCCCGTCATTGCCTCCAGTGGAGCTGGAGTACCGGGTCACTTTGCAGAGGTGTTCAGCAAGACGACGACTGATGCGGCATTGGGTGCAGGCATGGTAAGTTCCATCAAGATTTTGAGACTTTCGGCACATGTGAAGAAACTGGCTGACATGTTCTGATATTTTCTAGTTCCACCGTGGAGAGTATACTGTGAGCCAGGTAAAGGATCACCTCAAGACCGAGGGCTTCCTGGTTCGCCAATTTGAGGCCGATATCTGAGATGTCTTCGTGGAACGACTTGAGTAGCCACTCTAGCTTTTATATAGATAGACTTTACGTTGAATGAACATATAGACAAGCCTTCAGAAGTCTAACTAACTAGGTACAGCTGTACTGTAACTAAAGTTATCAAAGACTTCCGAAACCGGAAGCCGGTCGGGTGTGCCCCTCGATGACATAATCAGGGCGGTGAAACCGGCGGCGTCAGGTGAACTTTTCCGGTCGCCACTTCACCTCACCACCTCTCCTCTTCACCCTCCGACCTCATCGACCTTATCGCATCATCAACCTCACTAACATCATCCTCCGATCCACCCGGAGCGTTACAGTCTCTTCAGAATCACCGTATCTGTGGATGGCGCGGATTTCCGAATAGCCGAGTCCCCGAGAAGCCGCGACTGACGCCTACTACCCGCACGTTCTCAACGCGTCTCGTGGTGCGATCAAACGTGCTCTTCCCAGACGACGGAGTTGGCTGCTCAAGAGAGTACACGAAGGATTGGAATCGCTTTTCCTATTGGTGTCTCTTGGCTGGCGACAAGTTTCTTTGTGTTTTGACTTTTTCTATCTTCGACGAATTGTATCCATCAAGTGTTTGATCTTCCATTTGTATGCAGTGTGACCGCTCACCTTTCAGCATTCAAGAGAAAGATTCATACTCAATCTCCTCTCTCGAACATTTCGATAGACCAAGAGCCTATCGATTCTCTACTTTTGCCCCATAAAGAAAAGACTCAGACCTTCGACACATTTCCTTTGTGTCCACGCAGTGCTTCAACCCGGAGTTTGTCCACTGCTGCCTTATTTCCCTCTCTTCTCCCTGACACCATTTCCCTCTATTCGTCGTACTTCTTTCTTCCCCTTCTACTCCCCTGCTTCTTCCTCTTCTCCGAGCCTGTGCCTCTGTGATTGAGGCTTCCCCCTTCTAAGTACGAAGGTTTGATCTGAATCCGAGAACAAGTCCCTCAAGTTTTCCCCTTCTTTTTTTTCTTCTCCGTCTCCTTGCTTGCATTCGCACACATATTTCCAATACAATGTCATCGTCAGTTCATTTCAAATTCAAGTCCCAGAAGGAACCCTCACGGGTAACCTTCGACGGCACTGGTATTTCCGTTTTCGAACTCAAGCGTGAGATCATCAACCAGAGTAGATTGGGCGATGGGTCTGACTTCGAGCTGGAAATCTACGTCGAGGATACTGGAGAAGGTAGGTGACACAAGCCCCCCCCGGTCCAGGTCATACTGCACCAGACCTTGAATATCAAATCTAACCAACAGCCATAGAATACGATGATGATACCACCATTATCCCCCGGTCCACCTCCGTCATCGCACGTCGACTCCCCGCAGCGCGCCCTGGCAAGGGTGGCGCAGCTCGCTATGTCTCTGGCAAAATGCCCGTCAACGCTCGCAACGCCTCCCGTACCGAACCTTCGACGAATCGAGCTGTACCGGGGATGGGCGGATCAGTGACCAACAACGTTCTGGAGCTTAACAATGCGCAGACTGAAGAAGAAAAGATCAATGCTCTATTCAATTTGCAAGCTAGTCAGTGGAAGGAGCAGCAACAAGAGATGGCCAAGTAAGTTCATATCCTGTGGGATTACGGATATATCGACCATGCTAACATTCTCCCCCAGCGCGACCCCTGTTCCCTTCGGCCGTGGCAGAGGAAAACCTGTCAATGTCCCCGATCACCCTCCTCCACCTGGGTATCTTTGCTACCGTTGCCGAGAGAAAGGTACGTTTTGTCTCCATGTGACTGCAGTTCCCAGCTCATCACTAACATTATCCAACTAGGCCACTGGATTCAAGCATGTCCGACGAACAATGACCCCAAGTTTGACGGCAAATACAGGGTCAAGCGATCCACGGGTATCCCCCGATCATTGCAGACCAAGGTCGAGAAACCCGACTCCTTGGCACCGGACGGGTCCAACGATGACTCGAGGAACACGGGAGTCATGGTGAATGCCGATGGAGACTTTGTCGTTGCACGGCCAGATAAGGCAGCATGGGAGTTGTACCAAGAAAAGGCCAAGGCTTCGGCAGCAGCCGCAGCTGAGGCGGCCGCAGCAGAGGAGAGCAAGGTGCTGCAGGCTCGAGGTCTGGAATGCCCGATTGACAAGAGGATGTTCTTAGAACCTACACAGACCCCATGTTGTCAAAGGACATATTGCAATGATTGTATCACCAATGCCTTGATTGAAAGTGACTTTGTCTGCCCTGGTTGTTCTACCGAGGGAGTCTTACTTGATAACCTTACGCCCGATGATGAGGCGGCCTCCAAAATCAAAGCTTACGAGGCAGAGAAGACGGAGGCTAAGAAGGAGAAGGAAAAGCAACCCACTACTACTACCTTGGCACAGAATGGACAATCAATGAACGGTAACCCTGCTGCCGCCGAACAAGATCTCTCCAAGGATGCGGAAGTGAAGGAGCGTTCTCCGTCTCACCAAGGAGGAGATGACACATCCATGCAATCCAAGAAGAGACCTGCTGAGGACGAACCAGTTCGTGAGAAGACGGACAATGTCGACTATGGTAATGTGTCCAAGAGGCAGAAAAGCGAGGACCAACCCGAGACGACTGGTGCAGGCACCGGTCCTAGCGCCACTACAACTAGCAATCCCAAAGAAACACCGAATAACCTCCCCAACCCAGCGATGCCTTTCAACCCGCAAATGCCATTTGGAGACTTTAACAACATGATGCCTCCCTTCTCAAACGGCGGCTTTGGCAACGACGCCATGCCTTTTCTGAACCCGATGGGCATGCCGAACGGGTTCCCGAATCCGATGGGACCCGGTTGGAACCCGATGAACATGCCATTCCCCCAAATGCAAGGCGGCAACATGTATGGAAACCAGAACAATGGCTTCCCAAACATGTTCAACGGCGATCCATCGATGATGTTCCCCATGGGTGGAATGGGTGGCGGCATGCCAAACCAAAACCCCGGCTTCCAGAACCCTGCCATGAACAACTTTGCCAATCAGCAACGAACTGCCTTTAGCGGGCCATATTCTCGCGAGGAGGACTCGCCGTATTTCCGACAGCCGGTAAACCCGCAACGACACCAGGCGCGGAATCGTCGGGTGCGACCGAGTGACTATCGCGAGTTGTGAATATCATGATGGCAGCCGTCTAATGGGATAAGATAGCCTGGCGTTACGGAGGGCTGTGGATACTTTCTTTTTTTTTTTCTTCTTTCCATGTATACACCCCCCTTTTTGGTTTTCTTCACAGCGATTTGCCGGACTGTTCTTCCTTTTTTCTTGTTCTGTCTCCTTTGCATATGGGACCTTGCGGCTTCTATATTTCTTTCGTCCACATCATGCATGGCCTCGGCGGGGACGATTGCATTTTCAGGATCCTTCATGACATGTATTTCTAGTGCAGTAGCCTCACTCATCACGAATACTTTTTTTTCTTTCTTTCGTCGGCTTTGAGTGTGGCTTGGCTTTTAGGATCCAACAGTTTTATCGTTTCATGGAGATAGTTTCAAATGCAAGTTGCTTCTTTCTTTACATCTATATATCCGTGATCTAAGTAACAGCAAGACTACCGCCTCAGGAAATAATCGGTTCCCCCCAAGTAGCGTGAGTTAGTTACCCCCCTAAACAGCCCACGGAGCGAACATAAGCAGCTCCCTGACCAACCTAAGTAGAGCGAATTAGTGGCATGGTCAGGGCCTATCAATCTCCCTCGTTTCAAGATCGTGACTCATCACCCTCAAGAGATATGGGATTCAATCGGGGCTCATCTACAGGAAACAGGAGCCTCTCTGGTCCCTATACTCGAGTATGCCATCAATGGCAGGCCGACTTTGAGCCCCTCGTTTACTCTGAATTGATACACGTCTTCAGCGCCGATGGCATCACAAAAGATTCTTGTAAAAGGGCAATGCCCCTGAGTCAGTTTCAGGGTGTGACCTCCGGGGAAGGCCTGGCACGACGAGCTATGATCCGTCACTTGAAATACCATATCGTTGTCCTTTTTGACATCCTAGACTGGCAAACCCGCAAGGAGAAAGGATATGCCCTTGAGAACCATATCCGCCATAATGACGATGCCGCCTTTCAATCAGCCATTATTGATCTTTTCAATATCCTCACAGATTGGGATCTGAATCTACGTCTTTCGGTAGAGCTAGCGCTCTTGGGTCGCGAAGTGGGGGAAGAGCCTCACACGTACGATTTCGATATTGCAGGTGACTACCGTTACGACTTTAAAAAGGGCAGAACGAAGGCTGTTCCTGTGTATCGGGCTAAATTCTTAGAGAATGGTGCCTCTCTTCTTCCCGACGTCCCATGTATCGATCATTTTTGCTTTGCGATTTCTTCCCATCACATTTGGGCCGGATCAGCTATGCAAATTATCCAACGCTGCACGACCGTTACTAAGCTGGTACTGGGTCTAGATGAGTATATTCGCCCAGATCATATTGAATACATTCAAGCAAGGCGCCAAGGTAAGAGGATACCTTTACCGTCAAGAGTCGAGGGACTGACAATTCGGTAGCTGTCGCCGATGGCCTATTAACGATGCCACATAGCTTACGGGTATTTGATTTCTCTAATCAGATGGAGAGCCCTGGAAGGAAATGATGCCTGGATTGAATGTCCTCCTTTCGGACAACGGCTGTCTTTCTCAGAACTTTCGCCACTTGAGTCTTTCACTTGGAGAATTAAAGATTCACCAGCTATCACTCGCACCAGACTTCTATATGCGGAGAGTAACCCCCTACCAACTACGAAACCTCTTTACTGGCCTTGATTAGAACTAGTAGAGCTAACTGAGGTACCCCCAAGACTACCATCAGGTACGTTCATCAAACCCCCCGTTATCCCCTCGACCGTACCCCCTAGTTAGATAGACTTACTCGCTAAGGGTGATTTAACTTCCAATCTCGCCAAATATGTCAGTGGGTTGCCCATCCAACACCCGAGGGCCAAAGGGAAATCGAGCAAGTCAATGCACTGTCGTCTCGACCATTCCCCTAGCTTCGGGTTTAAATTCAGTCCTCGGGGCCCTGCCGGGGAGGCTGAGTGGCTTCTTGAATCTATATATCTACCGGATCAACGGGTGGCGGATGCGTGGGAATGCCCAGTACGGGAGTTACAGTAGATGTGAATGTGACGAAAATGGAGTCCAGTCACAAGAAAGTCTTATTCCGATGCACTTTTCTTTTTTTCTGAAAATTTAGGGGTATTAATAACGGTATACTGTATAGAGTCATTCTCACTAGAAGCGAAGTTGCTAAGTTACGAAAGTTCTTAATACAAGATGAGTAACCGACTATCAGAAAGATCCATACTAGGAGCACCAAAGACAGGACTTGCTGCTGCTCACTTATCAACAGCTCGAAGCTTTTACATTAATATAGGTATGAACCCGACGTCAAAATTAGTTTCCCACAAGACAGGTGAATTAGACCAGGTTCGCACATTGTAGTACTGTATGTAGTACAGGATTGAGCACGGTGCACGAGCCAATGCCCAACCGCCGGAGACGGTGAGGCCAGAATCAGGTGACTTGAGGAGAAACCCCACCCAATTCGACTTCCTTTCTGAGTCTCTCCACTTCCTCACCCTCATCCTCCACACTTCGTACATGTTCCACTCCACATCCAACACCTCAACTCTCGCCTCTGCTCTCGAAAATCATTTCGAAATCCAATCCAAATCTCAGTCCCCTCCATCCGAACTCTTCCAAGACCACTCTCCCATCAACCACGACGTCCAAATCAGCCATGGCGAAATACATGAGTAACCACAGTAGTAATTACAATCAAATGTCCCGGTTTCTCGCTCAGGAGTCGACGGTCACCGCCAGCTCCTACACCGTCGACTCCTCCAGCGCCAAGGTCGACGGCTTCCACTACTGCACTACTCTGGGCGCCGGTGAGTCAATCCATCATCTCTTCTTCATCTCCGACCATACTAATGTCCAATTCTCTCTCTTCTAGGAGCACAGTGGTATCCCTGAGGTCCCCTCAGGGTCTAAAACAACCACCCCAAGACCTCCCCTCGAGTATTCCGCTTCCAGCGGAACACTCAGCTGGACCGGGAACAACTGGCCCGAGTCTAAAGCCAAAGGGGAGGCGACGCACACCATTCCGGAAGAGTGTGAGAGACTCTTCTGTGACACACTATCCGCGACCTTCCTTGGTGAGAGGATTGACGCCGGACAGGAGTCACTGGGAATGGGTACGTTCCAACAGACTCAGCCAAGTCAACAGCACAGTCAACACCGTCTCGGGGACCACCACGGATCGATCCAGAAATGGGTCGAAGTGTGGGACTACAGCGGCGATGCAATCTACCGCGGCTTCGTAACGGGCGAGGACGACGAGCGAACGCTGTTCGTGTTCCTCGAGGACGGCACCATCGGGCACGGCCTGAAATCTGGGTATGAAACTATTATGTTTGATGATCTAGTATGCTTCCTTACTAACATATGTTTTGGCAGGTTAATTGCACTTTTCGAACTGGCGGGAACCGACGCCTTCGATTGCTCCCAGATCGTCGCCTGCGTCAAGCGTTCCCAGCACGCCGATGAGATGGAGCTCGTCCGCAGCCTCGGATGGTGCGGTTTCAACCTGACTACCCTGGATCCCTGGATCAAGGGCACATCGGGTACGGCAGGGCCAGCACTAAGCACGGAGTGGCTTTTCTTGGTTGCTGAAGTATAGTCGACGGGCTTCTCGAGTCGAGGATTTCCATCCTCACTTGGGTTGCCGGGCTATTATGAAGGACATTGTTTTCTTCATTGATTTTTTTCTATTCTTCCGTCTTTCTTTCTAATTTTCTTTTCCTTGCTGCATCTGGAATGTAGTTGAGTTGGGGCATCGCATGCTAATTATTATGCCTTGTTCACCTCACGGGTAGCACTACTCTCGTTGTTTAAAAGTGGACGCCTATCTCCTCTTGCGATTCATGATTATTGTTTTTGGCAGCAGTCTGATCAAATGAAGTGGTTAATCTCAGCGAGATCTTTTTGGATTTAGTGTCTCCTGTATGTTTGTATGTGGGGTAATGATAGTCTGTATATCGAGCTCTAGCTATGGTGTCGGTGGAGCAAACAACCGGGCTTCTCTTCCTGATCACTTGCTCTTTCCATCTTATATGTGTAACCTCTGAAGCCGACTCTTTAACTTGATCATATGACGGAGTTCGGGAATATGATGTAACTGATACCCCATACTTCCTCGATCATGAGATTGTGGAAGTATACTTCCCCGCTGATAAGATAAACCGATGACCTCAGCACTGGGACCTTTCAAGATAAACAACACTCCCCTCTGCAGCTTTCCTTTCCCCTTTCCCTATCCTCTCTCCATAACGCTTCTACCTCGAAATCCACTCGGAAATAATGTCCAAAGAACACACCAGACGCTCCCTCCTCTTCCCAAAATTCCTCATCCCCTCCTTCCCCACCAAACAACACATCCCTCCCTCCCACTCTCCCTCCCCCACCTCTCCATCTCCAAAGTACCTAAACGGCCACCTCTCCTACCTCCGCTGCACAACCTGCGCCGCACACCTCTGCCTAACCTCCCAAATAATCAGCAAAGGCTTCACAGGCCGCCACGGCCGCGCATACCTGGTCTCCGCCGAACCCACCGCCACCGCCGTCTCAGTCAGCCCCTCCTCCTCGCCCATAACATCCCTCCCCAACACGATCCTCCAACACCCCGTGCCGCGACAGCTCGTCACGGGCGCGCACACAGTCAGCGACGTGAGCTGTGCGTTTTGCGGGAGCGTGTTGGGGTGGAAGTACGTTGCGGCGGAGGAGGAGTCGCAGCGGTATAAGGTGGGCAAGTTTATTCTTGAGACGAAGAAGATTACTGCGTCTTCGTGTTGGGAGGGGTCGTTTGAGGGGGGTGGAGGAGTAGATGCGGTTCGGGCTGAGGGGGTTCTTGGTGGGGGTGAGTCGGATGAGGAGGGTTCTGGTTCTGGTTCTGGTTCTGGGGATGCCGAGTTTGATAGTCAGGATGAGGATGAGTGTGAGGATTTGTTTGCGGGGATTTGGAGTCCTGGGTTGGCGAGTCGGCGGCGGAGTCGGAAGATTGAACGACGGCCTGCGAGTGCGTTGTTTGGAATGTCGTGATTTGTTATGGGGAGAGAGGAGGGTGGAGGGTTAATAGGATGGTTTCAGACTGGTTATGACTTGATGACTGCTTTTGGTTTGGCTTTCCCTTCGTACTGCAGTGTGCTATACCCATTGTTGACGGTAATACTTAATATGCTTATACGTTTACTGCATTAATATTGATAATGAACTTCATGATCATGATTTATACAATATTAGAGGAAAGCTAAATGATGCGGTTCGATATTTTGAGACTAGCTAAATAGCCGGGAATTCATAAGGCGCAAAAGGGGCATAAGGTAAAGTACATGGAAGAGCTCCAGCAACGCCGGGGAAAGAAAGGAGACGCACGAAATACAAGAATTGAAGTTGTGATCTTTCAGGCATCTTCAACCCGGGCACGCTTCGATTCGCCATCCGCGGAACCGTCCTCCGCAGGGCGCTTGGATGAGCTCTGTTGAGAGGACTGGGAAGCAGCAGGCTTGCGTCGGACTAGCGAGGACAGATCGGTGGCTTCTTTGCTGACGGCGTCGAGGCGAGCCTGTTGATCCGTCACTGATTGACCGACGATCTGGCCGAGGATACCCTTGAGCATGGCCTCGCTTTCTTGCTCCTTCTGCTCGATGGAGACCGGTGGCCGACGGAGATCGATGAGCTATAGGATAGGTGTTAGCAAATTCAGCGTTCAAATTAATACACCACGGGGAGGAATATTATCCTTACTCTTTGCTCCATGTCCGCAATGATTTCCTTCACATTGGAAATCTTCCGCTTTGCAGCCGTCACTTTATCCTCGTCCATCTCTTTGTCGGCCTCCAACTTCTTTTCCTCCGAAGCCATGCGAACCTTGCAGCTCTCGATGGCGTGCTCCATCTGAGTTGCAGCCTCGTTCCGCATCTCCTCGTCCACCGTCTTCTCTTGTCCGTCATCTTCTTCTCCCTGCTGCGGGACTGAAGCAAACTCCAGAGCCAGCGAGAGCTTGTAGTGACACTCGGCAACGGAAGGATCCTCGAATGGGAACAGGGTGTTGCGAAGGTCGAGAGCAGTACGCAGGTCAGTCACGGCATCGGAGAATCGCTCTCCCTCCAGAGAAATTTCGGCCTGCAAGTCGTAGGTATCGGCAAGACGTTCCTTAATGTGTCTCAAGTCTGCGGGCAGATCTGAAGCCTTGCCCTTGCCCTTGTCCGTGCTGTTTTCCGCCGCAACCTCCAACTTCTTGAGGTAGAGAATGCGCGCCAGGTCGAGGACCTCAAAGGCATTCTCAAAGTCATCTTCCTCCTCTTCCTCGGCTTCCCCATTCTCCTCCTCGTCCTCCTCCTCGTCGGAGTCGACAAAGTTTTCGTCGCCGGTGAATTGGAAGAAGGGCTTCGATGGCGCGGCGTCCAATTGTGCGTTGACTTCTTTCGCGGGCGTAGCAGCATTCTGGGTCATGGAGCTTGAGATGGCGTCCTTGACCAGGCTTCCACCGGTAGCAGCGGTCTTAGAAGACGTAGCTTTCGCCGCGGGGGCATTGCTTGAGGACTGGGAATCTCCAGCCACCTTGGAACCAAGAACATCACTTTTGCTCACAGCAACATTGTATAGAGATTTGCCGTACGCATAGAGCAGGTCCGCGTTTTCGGGGGACATTTCTCCGTTCAATGCAGCCTGGAGCTCGGTGGCCTGTGAGTAGAGCTCGGAAGCAGCATTGTGGTCCTTGGTCGCGTCTTTGGCGGCGGCTCGTGTGATCAAGTCGTCTAGCTCAGCGCGCATGTCAGTCGTGGGGGCATCGATCTGATCGACCGTCGTGGGCTGTTCGGCTTCAGCCATGGCGAATGATGTGTTAGGATAGAGAGATTAGGATAAGGCGAAAGAGAGTTGAGAATGAACCAGAAGGAGAAAAGTTGGGTCGGGTGTTGAAGAGCAGAAAAGATGTGAAGATGTAAAGAGAAGGAAAGCGATAGGAGCGATAAGCTCAGGCACTTTACGGCGCGCTCGCGGCGCGTGTCACGCGTCGGTCCAATTTGCTCTTTTGCGGTCTGCTTCACCTCCGACGAGTTTCTATATTGTGTCCCTGCAATCGCTGTGGATGGAGATTTCTACTTGATAAGACGTTTGGTGATTGGTTATCAAATCTTCTCAATTACATCTACTTCCTTCAATTGATCCCGGAATCACCATCTCGAGCGAGAGAACCGGCCGACACCATGGATCCGACATCCACCCCGCGACATCCAGATCGCTTCAGATTGGGAGCCGGTGCTACAAATCCGATTCCATCATCTTCACCAGCATTTGCAACACCTGCACGTCCATTCCGACTACCAAGAGGCCATGCGCCTCCTGCAAAAACCTCAATCCTACCTATCCTACTTCCACCCGCGACTCTTCGACCAGTGGCATTCCGTACATTCACCCGCAAGCACAACCTTACAATCTCGTCCTCGGCATTGCAAACTCTTGCTGTTTTCATTGGCAAAAATTGTGGCTCGGGATGGCGCGAAGAAGGATTGGCAGAGAAGGCCCTAGACGAGGTGGCTAAGATCTGGAAACGAGCTGGAGGTGGCGTTATCGTGGAAGAAGGCAAGGGTGCTTCGTTGAAGGCTATCCTTCAGACCCTCGAGAGCAGTATGAGTGGAGGACGAGTGGTTGCAGGAAAAGGCAATTCCCAAGATGGACCTGGAAAGTCTTCTGGTCTCGGTGTGGATGCTGGGAGGATGGACACCAGCAATGACCACTCGCAAGGGTCACTCACAATGAGGGCTGGGGACATGGACGAAGACGATTCGAAGTTGTCATTTCATCCACGGCATTGGCTCAAGGTAGTCGACGCATTTGACCTTCCACGCTTGACATATAACGTCGACAAGAAATACTTTGAGGCCCTCAAGTCGAAACCCACATTGTTCCCGCCCCCGTCACACAAATCTGCACTTTTCAGAGACCGTTATAACTTGGTGTACCAGCGGCTTTTGCGGAATGAGTCTTTCCAGAGCTCTTTGGGGGTTGCTGGCGTGCCATCACTTCAGCGGTCATCGTCAAACCTTGGCATGCAACAATCATACAAGTTGACCCCGATCGCTAACTTGCTGGGACGAAGTGGCACGTCGCATCTTCTTCTCGGTCTGCTTTCTATTTCTCCCACCGGGGACTTGTCATTGGTGGATCTGACGGGAACAGTGGCATTGGACCTCAGCCATGCTCGGATGATTCCTGAAGATGGCGCGTGGTTTGCGCCAGGAATGATTGTGCTTGTAGATGGGATCTATGAGGAGGAAGAGATGGTTCAGGGCTCTCTCCTGGGTGGCAATCACGGCGTTGGAGGAGCCATCGGTGGTCACTTTGTTGGAGTATCAATCTGTGGACCTCCCTGTGAGCGGAGAGATATCTCCCTTGGAACTGGTTCACGCCAGGCCAGCGGTGATGTAAGCTCCAGTGGTGGATTCGGATGGGTCGATTTCTTGGGCACCGGCAGTGAGCGTGCGCAGGGCGCACGTATGAGAAGACTTCAAGATAAATGCCTTCGCGGTGTTCCCGAGTCTACAGAGTCTACGGCGCGACTCAAGGTCGCCATCTTGAATGAGGTCAATCTTGACAACATGAAAACACTGGATGCGCTACGAAAGGTCTTCAGCACATACAATGACCTCGCACTCTCCGAGCGCCCTCAAACATTCGTGCTGATTGGCAACTTTGTGCAAAAGGCAATCATCAACGGTGGAGGCCGCGCAGGAAGTATCGAGTACAAGGAGTACTTCGACTCCCTCGCAGTGGTTCTATCAGACTTCCCAGCCCTCCTGCAACATTCAACCTTTGTCTTTGTCCCCGGCGACAACGACCCCTGGGCATCATCATTCTCAACCGGCGCAGCAACCACAATCCCACGCCAGCCAATCCCAGAGCTCTTCACATCTCGCATCCGGCGCGCCTTTGCAACAGCCAATTCCGAGCTAGACAGAAGCCAGACCTCCGAGCCCGCAGGCGAAGCACTCTGGACCTCAAATCCAGCACGTCTCTCCTGGTTCGGCCCAGTCCACGACATCGCAATTTTCCGCGACGACATCTCAGGTCGCCTGCGTCGCACAGCAATTAACACCCAAACCGACGAAGACGAGTCCAACGACCCCATGCAAGAAACTCTCGACGCAGCCACAAACGACGCCGTCTCCGTCGCACCGGACCCCGAGCTCGAACAACCTAACGGCGCCAAATCAAGTGCATCATCCATGGCCCGCAAATTAGTCAAGACCATCCTTGATCAAGGCACCATGTCTCCCTTCCCGCTTCAACTCCGGCCCGTGCTGTGGGATCATTCATCTGCTGCGCAGTTGTATCCTCTGCCGACAGCGCTGGTTCTGGCTGATGCTGAGGCTGCGCCGTTTTGCATGACTTATGAGGGGTGTCATGTTATGAATCCTGGGCGGTTGTTGCCGCAGGGTGATGTGCAGGCTGTGAAGTGGATTGAGTTTGATGTTTTGAGGAATCGGGGGCGGGTAAAGGAGGAGCGGTACTAAGGTTATTGTAGATGCACCTTGAGCTACGATGCAAGACTGGCGTTTGAGTTGATGTGTATTGGGTTATTCGGGTTCGTGTACTTGGTCATGCATATAATCTTACAGTTGATGTTCTAGAAGTATGAATTCGCGGAAATGAGAAGTGTCGAGCACGCGGTGGTTAACTTGGTCTCTTCAAAATTTATTTCCCACGCAACCAAATGTAGGTCATTTTGTGAATGTTGCTTTGGTGTCCTGGGGATATCACCAGCAATGTCTTAGTGGAGCTTAGTCGAACCTTGAACTGCAGGACCTGGATCAATATATAGGAGTTTGGTGCTAGAAAGCTAATGGCCGACGGTCCAAAAATCCTCAGCAAGGCATAGAATATGCGTGTCACATTGAAAAGTCTAGGAATACATTGCGTGAAGGGCAGGCAAACATCCATCTGCACCCAAAATATCTAAAACAAGCCTTGACTGGGGTCGGTCACAAGCGCTCTCGCGGAGAGCGAATCCCCAGCTCCTTCCATGCATAGCTTTAATCGATCGTGATGACATCGTTGTTTGCCACGGCCTTTTTCTTCTTTGGCGAGGGCGTCTTGGCTTTCGTTTGTGCCGGGGGTGCAGGTTTCTCCTGCGGAGGCTTCAAGGCAGGTTTAGCCTGTGCGAGTTTCACATCCCCGTTTGTGCTCTCCAGGACAGGTTCGGGCACGGGCTGACACGTGCCGAGAGACTCGTGAAGCTTGAAGAGAAGATCTCCAACACGTTGGGTAGATGCTCTGGCACCGTCTCCGAGACCCTGCCAGCCATCACCCCTAGCGTTGTAGACCTTTTCGCGGACAACATCCGAGACTGGGTTGGGCTCCACTGGAGGCGGGCGGTTGGCATCCTCGAGTAGCCACTCTGTCCGGCCCTGTCGCAAATGAGTTGACAGTCGGAATCGATATCTAAGCCGGGGATAGTGAATCTGGAAGACGGTGGGGCTGCGCACGATGACGTGCACCAAGGTAGACTCTGACTGGACTGGTTTCGTGATAATTTGATCCAGGCTGCGCAGGAGGGGGAAGGAATCGGCCATCAGGACGAGAATAGGATCGATACCGACCTCGGCGAAGCGGTGATTAAGTACAACGGCAAGAGACTCTTGGATACGACGGTGGGGGCTGGGGCTGTCGAAGCTGAGCCCCAAGCGGAGGCGGAAAAGGGGAGCGGCCTGTGAGATGACCTGGGGGATATCAATGTGTGCCGATAGTGTGGGCCCTGAGACATTGATGCTGAACTTGGCCCGCAACTTTTTCTCTGGACCGTAGAGGAATGTGAATTGAGAGAGGGACAATGACCGAGGCTCCATGCCCTTCTGGATGAGTCTTTGGAGGACATAGATCATGCAGTCGAGGCGTTGCAAGCGCTCAAAGAGACCGATGACACCGGGTTGTCCTGCTGCAACAACCAGCCGAAGTGCGAAACCGCCTCCATTGTCCTGCACGAGAACATCGGGATCCACTTGCGAGACAAGGAGACCAAGAGACTTGATACGCCGCTGGAAAGTACCGTACGCCACTAAAACTGCAAAATTGCTTTTTTGATCGACGCCTTGGAAGGAAAGACGAATTGTGTTCCCCAAGAAGGAGCCTTTCTGCAAGTGTGAAGCAGGCAGGGGTATTTGGAACGCCGCGGGGAGCATGGACGGTTGGTAGTCAATGTAGAGATCTGGAACCTGCAGGTCCGACTCCAACTGTAGTTTCTCCAGAGGCGGTTGGAAACGCACGCCTGGGAAGTCTGTCAAGCATCGAGCGTTTGCATAAATCGCTAGCATACCGGTCAGACCGTACACGAGCTCTGCACACGTAGTGTAATCAAAGCGACGTCCCGCTCCCATCAGAGTGCCGCTGACAGCATGCGCCAGGGCTGGACTTGAAGTGCCATCAGTAATTGCAAATGGCAGCGCTGAGCGCCGAGCCTCTGGCCGCAGTTGCACCAGCCACCAGTGATCGCCGTCCATGCTGCTTGTTGCAGCGGCGATCCAGCGATGATCCCACGTTTGATGAGTAAAGAAAGCTGAGCGGACGGTATGAGGTGGGAAGAGTTTGCGATTGTCAAGTCCAAATGTTCTGGGATTGACACTATTCAGGCCAAGTGCCTTGGTGCCGGATTCGATCTCCTCCACGGCAGTGCCACAACGAAGGCGAGCGATCCGAGATAATAGCTCTTCCACTGCTGACTTTCCCGGCACTCGGTCGCCTTCAAACCGTTCCATCACACTGGGTGTACCAGCGAGCGTGACTGTGCCAGACTGAGGCTCGATGGAGACCCGCAGATGCCGAGTGGTAGTTAGTTGCAAGTCAAGATAACAATCGCTGGGCTCTGACGAAGAAAGCTGGCCTCGTAGAGATAGGACATGGTTGGTAAACAGAAGATGCTTTTTCAAGGTGGTGTACGCAGAGGAAAGCACATGGGATGTATGTAGTGCAATCACGCTTCGAAGGATGCGCTCCATTGAGAGTGCGTCCGTATCGAACTTGACATCAGTGCTGTTTGTTTGCTGGCCATCGCGCATCCAGCGGAGATTGAGTTGTGGAACCTTGATACTCGGGTCAGCGCTACCCCTTCGGACGCCGATCTCGATCCAGCTCTTGGGTCCTGCCCTAGATGGCCAGTACTGAACGACAAGGGTACGATGAAGCAGCTCAATGCGTAATAAATCTGACCATAGCCCTCGTGCAAGCTCTTGAGCTTGTCTGAAGAGAGTGTTGACCTTATTCGTTAAGACCAAGCCGTGGAGGAAATTGAAGCATGCAAGCAGGCCATCGTTAAAGAGGATTCGGTTGACCTCAACCTCGAGCTCATTGAGGATGCGGCCTTTGGGAATTGGGGAAGAGGGGGTGAAAAGGAATCGAATGTCAACGAAGAAGAACTGAGAGGTCTTTTCCTCCTGCGCGACGGAAAGGTCAAGTTCGAATTCCCCAGCCACTGTGAAAGTAACCCGACCATCATGAACGCGGTATTGTCGCAAGGCATGTGGTACTTGATCTTGCAAGATTAACCTCGCACTAATGATACGGTTGATCTTGTGCAATTTCTTGAGAGTTGCGCGCGCGGACAGCGGCTTTGGGGGTTTGTAGCCAAACTGTGACATAAAAAAGTTAGCACTTCTAGACTTCCTCTAGAACAAACCAGTAATTATATCGCAACTCACATCTGGTAGCGAGGTCACCCTGCCCTTGGCGAGAACCTCGAGTGCCGTTTTCAGATCTGGGTTGGCCACCTGTGCTCGAACAAGATCCTGCTTCATAACACCCACAAAGTTCATCGCATTCATGTATGCCTGATGCCGAGTGCGAATGAATCCTTGGATATCGATAAGCCGGCTGACTTCTGCCGCTTGTCGGCTCCAATCTGAGAGGACAAGGAGCTTGATAAACTCCGCTCTCTTGGCTTGTCCCCATTCTAGAATCTTGAGCTTCTTGTGCATGTTCTGCGCAGACTGGTTCCCGGGGGATTTTCCGGTTGCGCCAGGGGCAGTTGAATGGTCTGGTGGCACCTGAATAGTCGCCAGTTCCGAGATCAACTCTGATAACTCATTCCAACAGTTCTGCACAGCCCGATTGACTAGTGTTCCGAATGGGAAGAAACCTTGGGTGATATGAGGGATTTCGAAAGGTGTTAGAGCAAGCTCTTCGGCGCGTTTCGTCTTGGACAGTTGATTTGAGTTGTCGGCTTCACGTCCTGTGCCATTCGTATGAATCGGGCCGTTTGGAAGGGCATGTCGTTGACCAGACTTTTCATTAAACCCTGTAGAACTCAGTGCGCCGTTGGTGGCCTCGTTGAGACCTGGCCTTCGCACAGATCCCTCAACGTTGACATTTTCCATGATGACACCGGGCATGTCTAACTGAGCACAGGCTAGACAATTCGCCGGGGCAGGCTCGGTTCCCTAGGATTACCTTCTCCTCCTAGTCCTTCTGCACGACACCGACCGAGCGACACAGCTGAGTCGCTGGTTCTAGGGCTCGAAGCCAGTCGGTACAGACGGGAGGAAAGAAATAAAAGGCTCAAGACCAGGTAAAAAGAGAGAGTTTCTCAACCCAGTGCCATGCGTATCACTGGCCGTCCAAAACAATGGCCCCGATCATAATCAAGGGGAGCCGGGCGCACGACCAGAGTCCGAATTGAAAGCCCGTATAGGGATGCGAGCGAGAGATATTCGGCTGAGCAGAGAGTCCGGGGTAGCGACGGATGCCAAGTTGGAAAAAGTGACGCTTCGAAGGAGGGGAGGAGGAGAAGCCGTTCGGATTGCGCCGATGGCTGCACACTCTCAGATGGGTATCAAAGGTGAAAAGAAGGTCGTGAAATCAGCAGAGTAGTCAGGGATATCGTCGGGACCGTTGAGAATTGCGAAGATCGTCAGGAGGAGAAAGGGTCGAGGCCGTGAGATGAGGGAGAGGGACGCCAAAAGTGATGAAAGTCGAGTTGCCCAAAAGCGATTCGACTTGTGAAAGCGCGATGCGCACCCGCCAAGCCCATGGCTGCCTTAGTGCCTGGTACTGTCAGGGACCGGTATCCCCTACATTGCGCTGCGGCATATCCGCCCGCCTTGTTTCTTAGATGACGCGGTAATTACGGGTTATATACCGGGAATGTTCCCCCATGACCTCACCATCCGGCGATAACCTTACTACTATCAGAGCTTCCCCTCAAACCCGGACCTCTCCACAGGGTCTAGATCTTGCTCTACAGTACCAACGATGAGCCTGCATGAAGCGGAGGAGTGTGAGGCAGCTGAGGCTGATGGCTTGCTTCCACACTATCTCGGTGATGATCCACGGCCAACAAGTAAGCGAGAGCTTGCTGGCTGGTATTGTTATGGCTGGGCAGCTGAGGTCTTTACCGTCTGTGCCATGGGTATGTGTATCGCCAATGAATCGGCTCAACCGGCTTGGGTCTCGTCACTTAAATACTCATCCTGAATAGGCTCCTTTCTTCCGATCACACTCGAACAGCTGGCAAGAGACCGCGGCGTTCTCCTTTCCGACAAGACCACCCCCTGTACCCCGACATGGAGCCCGTCAAAGGAAACACCCGGTCATCCAGATGGATATCAGACCCAAGGCTCCGATGCCGGCCAGTGCATCATCTACTTTCTCGGTGCCGAGATAAATACGGCAAGCTTCGCCTTGTATACCTTTTCTCTCAGCGTCCTTGTACAAGCGATTCTGATCATATCCATGTCCGGTGCTGCCGATCATGGAAGCTACCGCAAGAAGCTGCTTGTCACATTTGCATTTATCGGTGCGACTGCAACGATGTTGTTCCTTGCGGTGGTTCCCCGAGTCTATCTTCTCGGAGGACTCCTTGCCATCGTTGCTAATACCTGCTTTGGTGCGTCCTTTGTCCTCCTCAACTCGTTCTTACCGGTCCTCGTTCGGCATCATCCGTTGGTCTTGAAAAAGAGCATGGATGTTCAAGACGCATTAGATGCTACTAGCCCATCTAGAGAGAATGGTGGTTCGTTCGAAAATGGAACTCCACGACCGGATGTCTCCACGCCACTCCTGGCATCTGACTCGTCGGTGGAGGAGAGCCCACTGGACATAATGACCTCAGTGGAACTCCGAGTATCCACCAAGATCTCATCCTATGGGATCGGAATAGGCTATATCGGTGCCGTGGTCCTGCAGATGATGGCTATCCTGGTGGTGGTAGTCTTCCATCAGACCACTTTTTCCCTGCGTCTGGTATTATTCCTGATCGGATTGTGGTGGTTTGTCTTCACCATTCCAGCCACTTTCTGGCTTCGCGCCCGTCCAGGTCCACCTCTTCTAGCGAGCGATGGGAAGCCATTAGACTCCTGGGCGGCATACCTGACCTACTCATGGAAGTCCCTTGCAAAGACAGCCATGCGCGCACGACGCCTAAAGGACATTCTGATCTTCTTGGCGGCATGGTTTCTCCTCAGCGATGGCATTGCTACCGTCAGTGGTACGGCAGTGCTGTTTGCCAAAACCGAGCTTGACATGAAACCCGCGGCGCTGGGACTGATCAATGTGATTGTCATGGTGGCCGGAGTGTTTGGTGCATTCTCATGGAGCTACGTGTCGGGGCTACTTGGTCTTCGGACGTCGCAGACCATCATTGCTTGCATCATTCTGTTTGAGATTATTCCGATCTATGGAATTCTCGGCTTCTTTCCATCTATACAGCGAATGGGGATTGGCCTTCAACAGCCCTGGGAGATGTACCCCCTAGGCGCGGTCTACGGGTTGGTGATGGGTGGCCTCTCCTCATACTGTCGAAGCTTCTTCGCCGAGCTAATCCCACCGGGCTACGAGGCAGCGTTCTACGCTTTGTATGCAATCACCGACAAAGGATCGAGTATCTTTGGACCGGCCATTGTCGGGGCGATCACCGACCGCTACGGCCAGATCCGACCAGCCTTTGTTTTCCTGGCCATTCTCATCTTCCTCCCATTGCCATTGATGCTGCTAGTTGATGTGGACCGGGGAAAGCGGGACGCGCTAGAGCTAGGTGCCGAACTGGACCGCCTATCTGAAACAGCGGGCAACGGGGCCATCTCCGTTGACGCGGAGGAGGAGTCCGAAGTAACGAGGTCCGTAGTGCCTGTGGTTCCTGCAGTGCACACAGTGCCTGAATTGTAGATTTCAGTTTTGCTTTTGTGGTGTTTCTACTAGCTTTGGGGGAGTTTAGACAACTATGAGTTTATGTGTAGAATATCAATGGGAGCTGAGCCTGTAGATTGGTCGGATTACTCATGCATGAAGATCACTGTAATTATTGATCGTCATGATCATCAGAAATAAGAACTATTACGAGAACCCCATCTACTTTTCATATAGGGTAGAGGGTCAATGAATTTCTCTAATTCAACCGTCTACAGAGAACTATGTTCGCTAATTGCGAAAGGCCACGGTGTTGACAATTCCTCAAGACCGACGTGTAACCCACGAGCGTCATGCAGAACTCACGGGTAACGTGGCCAGAAGCAATTATATCAATAGTCTACGCTCGTATTGCCGTATTAGATCCGGGGAGGCGGGAGGTATCATGCATGTATCGCGGTACCTGTCGATCGAGGTAATATCAGGTAGTGTAACAAGAGACATCAGAATTCATATCCTACCACTAAGGAAGTATAGAAGGTGGCCAAGTCGAATGTTTATCCCTAGCTACCGCAGTGTGGATGCTTCGTTCTATTTGACTTTGGGTACAAAATGTATTTACTTCCTAGCAAGAGTGATAGTAACTTCCAAGGGTGGCATGTGCACTGACAAAGTACATCTCAGCCTTAGATACTGCAGTCCAATCGTGTGAATTGACCTCCGTATTGGCCCCGTCAGCTTTGAACTACAGTATCTATAGTGGCAATCCACCTCGTACCAAGGGACTCTACCAAGGATTCGACGAACTATAAAACGACTGGAAGTACATACAATAGAGTCAGTCAACCACGATCACTCGCAAAGCTACGGTCTTTATATTCATGGATATATACCTTCAGTCAATTAACCTAGCAAGATAATAGAAGAAATACTCCGTAATAAACTGTTGTATCTCAAGTACCCAAGACCTAGCGGGTACTAAAAAGGGTCTCTCCCCTTGCGCCCTGCATAGCGACTGGAGCTCCACTCTGGACTTCTGCAACTCTCCACTCCCGCAGCCGCAAAGAACAAACTGTCCTCTACGACCGGCCCCCATCCCGTCGTCATTAAATACACGCTTGCCCTTCCCCAATCCTTTCACCCCCCATTCCCTCTTTGTATACCAGCCGGTTGGGTAAGCTTCCTCTATCTCTTGATCCTTTTTATACTTCCCTCCCTATCCTTAACTGTGGTTCCTAATAAGAATTGCACTGTTTACTCAACTCCCAATTTCAAAACATCAGCTAACCCCGACGCGCTTGACTCCACTAGGTGATCACGGCTTTTTAAATCCCATTGAAAATCATCATGCGGTCCTTCACCCCTCTCCTTCTGAGCCTGCTGGGTGCTTCTGCGGCCGTTTCGGCTTCAGAGCCCGCCGCCGAGGCTGCTGCGGACTCTAATGTCCTCGCGCTGACCGGCGAGACCTTCAACGACTTCGTCAAGGAGCACGAGCTGGTCCTGGCCGAGTTCTACGCACCCTGGTGCGGTCACTGCAAGGCTCTCGCCCCCAAGTACGAGGAGGCTGCTACCGAGCTGAAGAGCAAGAACATTCCCCTCGTCAAGGTGGACTGCACAACTGAGGAGGAGCTGTGCCGGACCTACGAGGTCGATGGCTACCCGACCCTCAAGGTCTTCCGTGGCCCCGACTCGCACAAGCCTTATGCCGGTGCCCGTCAGACTGACTCGTAAGTGGATTGTGAATGCACTGCTACATCTTTTGGGGTTGTCTACTGACCACTGCTTCTTTGCAGGATCGTCTCATACATGACCAAGCAGTCGATGCCCGCAGTCTCCATCCTGGCCGAGGAGACCCTGGAGGAGTTCAAGACCATGGACAAGATCGTCATCGTCGGCTACATCGGTACCGATGACAAGACCGCCAACAAGAGCTTCACCGCGTTCGCCGAGTCCCAGCGCGACAACTACCTCTTCGGTGCCTCCAACGACGCCGCTCTCGCCAAGACCGAGGGTGCCACCCAGCCCTCGATCGTTCTCTACAAGGATTTTGATGAGAAGAAGGCCATTTACGATGGCAAGCTCGATGAGGAGGCCATCCTGAAGTGGGTCAAGATCGCCAGCACCCCCCTCGTTGGTGAGCTCGGCCCCGAGACCTACTCCAAGTACATGGCCGCCGGTATCCCTCTCGCCTACATCTTCGCCGAGACCGCCGAGGAGCGTGAGCAGTTCGCCGAGGAGTTCCGCCCCATCGCTGAGAAGCACCGTGGTGAGATCAACATTGTCACTCTGGACGCCAAGGCGTTCGGTGCTCACGCTGGCAACCTGAACCTTGAGCCCGAGAAGTTCCCCGCCTTCGCCATCCAGGAGACCGACAAGAACTCCAAGTACCCCTACGACCAGACCAAGAAGATCGACGCCAAGGAGGTTGGCAAGTTCATCCAGGACGTTCTGGACGGCAAGGTTGACCCCAGCATCAAGTCCGAGCCCATCCCCGAGGAGCAGGAGGGTTCCGTGACCGTTGTCGTTGGCAAGAACTACCAGGAGGTTGTCATTGAGAACGACAAGGATGTCCTGCTCGAGTTCTACGCCCCCTGGTGTGGACACTGCAAGGCTCTGGCTCCCAAGTACGAGGAGCTCGCTGCCCTGTACGCCGACGTTGCCGAGTTCAAGGACAAGGTCGTCGTCGCCAAGATTGACGCTACCGCCAACGATGTCCCCGACTCCATCACCGGCTTCCCTACCATCAAGCTGTTCCCTGCCGGCAAGAAGGACGAGCCCGTCGAGTACGCCGGCTCTCGTACCATCGAGGACCTTGTTGACTTCATCAAGAAGAACGGCAAGTACGAGATTGACGGTCTTGCTGGTGGCAAGAAGGCTACTGAGGGTGGCGATGTCACTGCCGCTCCCTCTGCCTCCTCTACCGAGGCTGCCGAGACTCCTGCCGCCTCTGACAAGAAGGAGGAGATTCACGATGAGCTGTAAATGCGATCTCGTGTGGAAATGAACTTGATTTGCTATAGTTATTGTATCATCACAACTGAAATGGAAACCCTCGTGATGCCCGCTGCAAACCAGTTTCGTATTGTTCGCTCTATAGATTCAGACCCTAGTGTAAATTTTCACCAACTACAGAGCACCAGTAGATATGAATTATAATTTCGACTACACTACTGAGTTTTCTCGAGAGTTCTACTTCTCGTATTCCTGTAATAAAATGTGACAGCTCCAATCCATTTGGCCCGTGTAGTCTGCTTATCTTATCCACGACGCGTTAGGTTTCGCGCAACGCGTCCAATCAATGCGGCTCAACCTTTCAGACGGACCACCAGAATCCTGAGGAATTTCGAATCCCCATCCAACCCCCCTTTCCCCTTCTACCAAATTTTCAAGCAAAGCATTGCATGCTCCCTATCCTTCTTCTCTCTCGCCAATATCACCTCCCCCCGCTCTTCGCCATGGTCAGTCCCGCACTCAAACGGAACGCGGACCACCTCTCTGGCCCAGCAGCCGATAGCAAAAAGCCCAAGGGTGGAAGCATCACCGCTTTTTTCGGGGTTCCCAAGCCCAAGGCTCTTAGTACGCAGACGAACGGCTCGGGGAGCAATGGTACAGCTCCAGCGCCGCGGTCTACCTCGTTCAATAAAGAGAAGTGGGTGGCTGGCTTAACGGCGGAGCAGAAGGAGCTGTTGCAGTTGGAGATTGACACTCTGGACGAGAGTTGGCTGGCACATCTCAAGGAGGAAATTGTGACGCCGGAGTTCTTGAATCTGAAGCGGTTCTTGAAGAAAGAGAAGGAAGGGAAAGCTAAGATCTTTCCTCCGGAGGAGGATGTGTATTCCTGGTAAGTCAATACCCAACCCAGCAAGATTCCATATCCAGTTCTAATAACATGTCCAGGTCCAGACACACCCCCCTCCACACCGTCAAAGTAGTCATAATCGGCCAAGACCCCTACCACAACGACAACCAAGCCCACGGCCTCTGCTTCTCCGTTCGCCCACCCACCCGCGCACCCCCCTCCCTCCTAAACATCTACAAGGGAATCAAAAAGAACTACCCGGACTTCGTCGCACCGCCAAACAACGGAGGCCTGCTCACCCCTTGGGCCGAGCGGGGCGTCCTCATGATCAACACTTGTCTGACTGTGCGCGCACACCAGGCCAACAGCCACTCCGGCAAGGGGTGGGAGAAGTTTACGCAAAAGGCGATTGACCTTGTTGCACGGGTGCGGAACAATGGCGTCGTGTTTTTGGCGTGGGGGAAACCTGCGGGCACGAGGGTTGCTAAGATTAATAAGTCGAAGCATTGTGTTTTGCAGTCTGTGCATCCGAGTCCGTTGAGTGCTCATCATGGATTTGTGAGTTTTACCTGGACTCTGCGATTAGGATGGGGATTATGGCTAACGATACTTTCTGGTTGCAGTTCGACAATGGTCATTTCAAGAAATGTAATGACTGGTTGGCGGAACGGTATGGTGAAGATGGAATTATTGATTGGAGTCTCGTGCCGAGTAAGAAGGCTGTCGTGTCGCCGGCGTCTGACAAGGAGAACTCGGCTGCTTTGGCGAATGTCTCGTCTCCCGTGGAGAAGAGTGGTGAGACGGTGGAGGGGGATTCGGTCAAGGCTACTCCTGCAGAGGATGAGTTTGACGATGATGATGCTCTGGAGGCACTCGTTGCGGCGGAGAAGGAGGAAGCTAAGAAGATATGATGTGGGGAAGACAACTGATGATCGATATTGTTTCGATTATACTTGTATTATGTGGCATTTCCGGTTTGTATTCACTTGATCATGTGCTTTGATGGCGTTGGGAAAAGGGCCTCGATGTTTAAGAGGATTTCAAAATCAAACAATTTCCTCATTTATTGCGGCAAGCATCTTCGTATATTCTAGATAATTAACTAAGAGGTCAATAAGTCTGACGATTGCTTCGTTATGATGTATGGAATATATAGAGTAGCTAGTTAGTAGTACGTCGTTAGCTAATGCTCGCTGCTCCACCGAACCGATAAACCCGCCCTCTCCACGGCCCGAAAGCCAAGCTCAACCATCTCCCGAATGGAGCTCACCTGGCTCGCCGATACACCGCAGTCGCGAACTCGGGCTCGGGCCTTGAAAGCATGTCCGGCCTGCCAGCGTCGCAAGGTAAGTTACGTCACATAGTAGTTTACAGCGAGCAGTTCCCAGTGCTAATCACATCCATAGAAACGATGCCGACACCTCACGGCAGGCTCAGAGGTCGAAGAGCATAGACCACCACGAAAAATTCGGGGTGTGGATACGACACTCTCGCCTAGCAGTCATGGCCATGGCTTGAGCTATTCTGATCATCCGCGATCATTTGTGGATGATCCTCCGCGGGCGCAAATGGTGTCTACGAGCCCTTTGCCGACTTTATCAAGCACGGAGCGGTTCGTGGGTGATTTAAACCCCGAGGCTGTTATTCGTGAACGACTTGATGAGTCGATTGGGAATCCTTTGCGAGATCGTGTCGGACTCTGGATTAGTTCGCCGGATAGTGCGGGGGCGACGCGGACGAAGCGACCTGTTGCGAGTACGGATCCTCTTTCAACAGTACACTCTAGTGATGGCGCTCTCGATAGCCAAACAATAGCTGCTGTACTATCACAGCGGTATACATCAGCGATGCAAGCATGCACTCGACTTCCCTTGGCTACACGGGAACCCCTCGCAGCTCTATATTTCAGTAAGGTCAACCAGATCATCCCCCTAGTAGACCAAACCTCCTTTACCACCCCAACAACCCCATTCCTCGAAAGAGCAATCTGCCTCGTCGCAGCCAAACACCCAACCGCACGCCCACACCTCCGCCTCACAGAAACCACACCCACAGTCTCACCCCGACACTTCTGCAGCGAGATCTACAAAGGGCTCGTCGCATCCATGAACGCAAACCTCGAACCAGACCGGTACACGCGCATTCGAATCCTCGCATTAATGTCGCTCCACTGCGAAGGGTATGAAGGCGCGGAGGCCGCGTCCCTGCATTTGTGTGAGGCGATCCACCAGGCTCAAACGGTGGGTTTACATTTGGACCGGCCGGGGAGGGAAGATGGGGATTCGTTGTCGTTGTTGTTTTGGGGGTTGTGGACGTTGGATAAGATGCATGCTAGTCTGGGGGGGCGGCCGGTTATTTTGGCGGATCGGGATATTGGGATTGAGAGGCCTGGCCTGCAGGTGCAGGGGTCTAATCAGAATCCCAACCAGAGCCAAAGCCAAAGCCAAGGGTATACCCAGGTTCGAGGGTCAGGAGTATCTCAGGGGGCGTTTAAGGTGTGGTTGGCTGTTTCGGAGTTGCTGGCAACCGTGATATCCTTCTATCGACCCTCGGCGGGTGTAACGAGCGGATGGGAAGAAGGATTCCCAGCCTTTGAGGATATCGTGAGCGAAACAGGAGGAGATTTGGATTTTGCAACACTCGGTTCGAACACCCCTGCCAAACCCAAACCCAAACCCAAGCTCCTATCCTAAAAAAACTAACCAACTATATCTCTTCTCTACAGGCTTCCTAGAACTATACTACCACTGCGTAGCAATCCTATCCTGCCGCTACAAACTCACCGAAACACTGGACAACACCAAACTCTCCTCCATCCGCCAGGGTCTCGCCGCAATACGAATCCACTCCATCATCGCGTCCGAATGCGCGGGGGATCTGCCCCCGTTACCGATAGTACCGTATGCGCTCTCGTTATCGATGGGCGTGTCGTATCGCCAATTACGGTCTAGCAGGTTAATCACGCATTTTGATCGTGCGAAGGCTAGTTTGGAGGCTAGTTGTGCTTTGTTGGAGGATCTTAGTGCGGAGTGGTATTCTGCTGAGGCGATGGCGAGGCTTGGACGGAAGGCGTTGCTGCAGATTGATGGGCGTGAGAGACGGGGGACGCCGGGGCTGAGGCATGATGAAGCTACGGGTAGCAGGTTACAGTCTGTTGATGATGGTAATGGCCCGATGATATCGGGTGCGGAGGCTAGTCAGGGACTCGTTGAGGTGGACTCGGTGCTGGCACCGGTTGTGACGGTGAGTGGTGGTGGGAGTGAAGAGGGGATGGGCAGTTCGATGGTGGATGATTCGAATGAATTGGATAGTGGGATGCATGGGTTTGCAGATATTGATACGTTGTTTGGAGAGTTTTTGGATTTATCGCTGCCTACGAACTTTTGGGATCCTATTTTTGTGGAGGATAATCATCATACGATGTGATATACTAGTGATAGTTCTAGTTATCTATATGTATATCAAATGTATCCTGTAGAATAGATAATCTACTGCCTACTGAAGTCAGTTAGCTTCTCGGAGATTAGACGGCTCAACCCCGCCGATCTGGTGGTCCAGAACCCGGTCGAATTTGTAGTCGAGTTCCACATTTCGATGTTTTCTTGTTCTTCAGATGAAAGAAATGGCGATCGGCCTTGTAACTCCTAGAATTGGATGATCTAGTAACCAACATTACCAAGTCTATTCTTGGTGGATTTGGAGAACTTGCTGTCGTGTTCCCATTAGAATGCCTCCCTACATGTGCTGGGTTTATATTAGTACTAACAGTACTGTATCTAATTCAGGTTAACTGCCGCAACGCTTTGACCTGAATCTCCAACTCTTTAATTACTATATGTACTTGAAGTAAGTACATAATAATTCCACAATTCGACAAGCCGTCAAATCTCCCCGTGGGATCCACCCTTGGGTCCACTAGAAACGGTTTAATTTAAGAAGTTCAGATGGAGATTCCGAAACGGCATCTTCTCCGATTTCATTTCCATCGACTCGTGGCCCCTTTGTTCTTCTACTCTCAAGTCAAGAGCCAAGAGTCGAGTCAAGTCAAAGAAAGACACCCCGCGTGTTTCTCGTGAATCGATCAATTTATCCATTGACTCCTCCTTTACGAACCCTTCCACCGTGCAGAGTCAGGTCTCACCGAGTTTCATTAATCTATTTATCCATCCAATCTATTCCCCCCCCCGCCACCGGTCGCGCAACAATTCAGCCACTTTTTGACTCCTCACGTACGTCTTTTGTCTTTCTTTCCCTTTCTTCCCAGATAATTCCCTCCTTTCTAACAGACCACAAATAGACGGAAAAATTATCCACAATATAGGAGAATCTCCAACCACAATCCTTGTTTCTCACTTCATCCTCCAGCCATCGCCAGCCCGTCCGGGTTTACGTGTTTCACATTCGATAAATTTTGTGTGGAGTTTCTCGATATCCGGATCTTTACAACCTGCACGTACGCTTCCACGTATACACCCTGCCACCCGCGACTGCGACTGCAGTATGAATAACGCCCCTTTCAGTTGAGCTGGAGCTGGGCCCGATTCTGATTTCTTTATATCCCGACTATTTTTCCTCCATGGGTGGTGTGCGATTTGATTGGGAGGTTGTGCTTTGGTGTTGAGATCAATCGCCGATTTACTGTCAATTCATCGACACGTGGGTTGTATACCTGAGAAACGGCCATTCTATATACTCGACTTTGAGACCAGCGCCATACCTGGACCTACATTCGAACCAGAGGAGGAATTGTTCCAGACACATGGCCGCATTGGAGGAAACCTCGGGGAATGCCCCCGCTGGTGCTAGCCTCAATCACGAAGAGCAGCCGGTATGCTCTACAAAGACCGATGCCGATACCGAACAACGACCAACTTCCTCGGCTTCTGCTTCCCCAGTACATCCAATCTCTCAACTTCAAGGTCCCTTTGAAGAATCTATAGCCGAAGCAGCCCCTGGTTTGGCGAATCAATGGGTGGTAGAACTGGATGCACAGACACGCCGGCGCGATCTACTCGAGAATGACGAGTATGAACGATTATGCGGGAGGAAATGGCGGCAAAGGTCTACTGAAAAGTGAGCAGTAGAACGCCCAGTACCACACTACTAGCACTAACCGACTATTCTAGATACCACCCATTCTGGAAGCTGGTCTCCCAAATGGTCTTCGGTGTCCACCTCCTAGCCAAACGACAAGCCAAATCCCCAGCAGCAGTAATGAAAATCCTCCAAAGTCACGTCGACGAGCTAGACGGGTTCCTCCAACGAACGACCGAAGACTTTCTAATCATCCACCTGGATGTACGCACGCGCATCCAATACCTCAGTCTCCCACTCGGCAATCTCGCCGTCTTCGACGAAATGCTCGAGGACCGCAACTTTCGACTCGCACTGGTATCATATAACGACCAGATCGAGCACGCCGTTGAGCGATTCACCCTCGCGATTACGGATGCACTTAAAGACTTGCGGAAGGGGAAAGAGGCTATGGGTGCTTTGTGGCATTATCTGCAGCAGTTAGGTAATGAGGGGTGCTTTGAGACGGACAGTCTTCGGGCGTTTTATCAGGCTATGATGGAGAATATGGAAGGGTGGGTTGTGGCGTTGTCTAAGCTTCGGAGACGGGGATCTGCATTGCAAAAGGCGCTGGGTCAGCTTGCTTTTGCGGTTACTGAAATGCAGAGGCGTGTGGGTGTGGCGAGTCGAAGGGATGTGGTGAGTGATATCAGACGGTCAACGGATCAAAGGCTTTCCTGAATGCTAATTTGGTGCAGCGCTCCCTCGTCAAGACACCCAATAGAGCCCCTTCTCGGAGCATGTCTGTCCGACAAAGACTCTTCGCAAGAAGCCCCGGCCCCGGTACACCAGGTCGACGACCTATTTCTGAAAAACCACTTCCTCGCGACCCATTATCAAAACCCAAGTCCCGACCTGCTTCCCGGAATCTCGACGCCTTCATCACAGAGCAGCGCAATACCGAGTCCAGCGAGCGCAAACCTTCAAAGCGAGACAGTATCATGCCCCGGGTCCTCAATCGCGCAAGATCATGCAGCGCCCTCATAGGACAACCCGGAAGCGACACGACGGATCCCTCTCCACCCCGTACACCATCCCGATTAACCAGAAAACTCTCCCGACCATTCCTCCCCAAACGCTCCGTCAGCGATAAAACAGATACAAACAACCGCCCCTCGACTGCACCAGCGCAGACTCTGAAAACCAGAAGCGCTTCTATAGAACAGCTTAAAGCGCTATGGGGCAATGGACGACCACGAACGCAGCAGTCAATGGCCAAACAGCCACAGCAACAGACACAACCACAACCGCAATCACGCCCACAAACATCCCAACCGAGAAATCCACAATCAGAAGGTCTCGACACGATGAAAGACCAAATCTGGCACTTCCTGAAGACAGACCGTGTCGTCGAAGCGTGGGATAATATCGCCAAAACGGCGAATTGCTGTGGGACAACCCTAGCAAAGACGAAAGAGTGGCCGAGTAGTATCTTCCGCACAAAGTCCTCCGAGAATCTACACGATGGAAGCCGTGGAGGTGGAGGTGCAACCGGAGGTGGATCTGGTGCTGGAGCTACAGCTGGTGGTTCTCGGGCTGGGTTATCAGGCACAAATCACCAACGCCAAATGTCCTGGATCCAAGAACCAGAATTCCTGAGTACTTACTCATTCAAACAACGACCGGCGATATCACCCCGTATCCACGTCTTGTCTATCGCTATCGATGACGAGTTGGAGAAAAGTTTTGGTGCGGGCGTGAGTATGAGTATGAATGATGATGATGCTGAGACAGGGTCGATTATTACTGCGTTACCTGCTGTGCCGGCGCCCACGCCCGCGCCTATTCCTGCGAATGTGAGTTTGAATGTGGACGCCGCATTGTCTACGTCTGTGGGGATTCCGTCTGTTGCGGAATATACACCGCGGACTGTTGGGGCTCAAGCTTAGGGGTGGCTTTCTTTGACTTTGATGGGATCTGGTCATCATCATGTCTGTCTGTTGTTTGATGAAGCAAATCCCAATACACCGTCTGTCTGATTGGTACTTAGGACTGGTTTCTTAGGTTATACCGATGTCCCCGGCATATTTTCTGGAGTCTAGCGATAGAAAAGAACAGACGCTGGCTCGTTTTCGTTTTACACATTAGCTTTTATACCCATTTTGTACGCAATATCATTATATTACAGCATTGTTTCATCTCAAGAATCATAGAATGAAAACCTGTTTGTAGCCAGAGAAGGGGTATAGTCCAAAAGACAGGACTGAAACACCAAGTACAAATTTCCTCAACGTAGAAATATGAGCAGATGCTAGGTAGAACGCAAGAAAGTAAATCTAAAGATCAATTTTCAGACTCTAATCGAGTCTCCAAAATCCTTGTATTCATTCGTACTTCTCAAAGAAAAAAAAAAGGCCCCGGCAAGCGCCCAAGCAAAATAATAAAAAACGCCCAGCATGATCAAGTACCAAAAGTCAAAACAAGACAGAAGAAGAGAGCAGAGCTGCATGGCGTGGACATGGCCGTATCATGGCCCACTTTCATAAAAACACATGAAGCCCGTGGCCAAAACAAGAGATCAAGGATCCAATGCCAAATAGATAAGAAGCGGGAAGGGAAGGTAGAAAGGAATTGCAGGAAGTATTCAACTTATTTGCATCGTTTCTCAACAATGTTTGCACCATGCTCATCATACTCCTTCTTCGAGATCCACATTTGATGGAAAGTACCCAGACTAGCGAGAATACTACCACCAATCCAAGAGCCGAAGCGACGCTCAGCGGTATTTCCAGGTGCAGAGATACGCACGCGAGGACCGGGGAAGAGCTGCATAAGCTCGTGGTTCAGTCGATCCGTGAATCCGTACAAGAGACTAGATCCACCCGTGACGACGACGTTGGCGAGTAGGTGAGGGCGGATATCGACATCGACGCCGCCGAGGGAAGCCTTGATCAGTTCGGGGATGGTTTGGGCCTGTGTGGGAGCTGGGACGGGTGAGTCCGGGTCCGGAATGGCAGCCTTGACGTCGAAAAGGGATTCGACGACGCGGAAGCGGTCCACGCCGAAGAGTTGGTTGTAACCGTCGGGGAACTCGAAGGGACGGCCAGGCGATGAGCGGGCCATTTCTTCGTTGGAAGCTCCGGTGGGACCGGTGGCGGAGAGCTTGTTAGGGCCTGGCCAGACCTGGACGACGCATTCCTTGAATTCGGATAGAGTGCGCTCCTCGAGGAGAGCCCGGTAGGTAGCGTCGGGAGCCTTATCGGCGGCGAATGTCTTGTACTTGACCTGGGCGGGCTGGCCGGCTTCGACGGCGGTCTTGGAGCTGATCAAGTAGTGGGGGGTGATGTTGATGGGTTGCGGAGAGTTCTTTTTGAATAGGGCACGGGTCTGGGCAGAGATGTAGTCGCCGCCGAGAGGGGGAATGTTGCACGCCGCGCTTGAGGACCATGCCGTCGTGGACTGGGGTGATGGAAATGTTTGAGGCGCCAATGTCGACGACCAGACCGGAGGCTTTGCCAGATGCGAAGCTATATCAGAATAAGAGTCAGTTCAGTGCACAGTTAAGGCAGCTATGAAATGTAATGAATACATACGCTGCAAGCACACCGCTACGCGCCAGGTAGAAAGCAGGCGTGCCCCATTTCTCCATCGCGATTTCAATGGTCTTCTCACGAGCCTTGGCCGGATTCCAGGCGGGCTCGGTCATGAGCAACGGGCTATCCGCGAGAGGCTTCTCATCCGACTCCACCTCCATCTCTGTGGGCAGCTCTTCGGCGGGGATATCGTTCAGGCCATTGTTGAAGGGGTTACCGGCCTTCGCACCCGTAAGTCGCGAGGTAAAGGAGTGTTCCCAGACCTTCTCGGCCATGTCCCAATCTTCAACGATACCATCCTTGCCGATGGGGTTGTGGATGGAGAGGCCGGGGCGCGGAGACACGTAGATGTCATCACCAAAGATGAACTTTTCTTGGCCGTCGGCGCTGTATTTGGCGTAGTATGTTGGAATCAGGGATTTGGGGGCATCTTCACCGGCGAAGCCAGCGCGAGTGGTGGAGTAGCCTGGATCGAGGACGATGGCGGAGACCTCATCTGTACGCGTGGGGAATGGATGTTAGCATCTTCTAGAAGGATGTCGGGACTGTCGTGCATGAATTGAGGTTCGCAGTGGCAGCGCGAGGCGATCGGGTCAGTCGCATCGCGAAAAGCACGTACCTCCACCATACTCGGCAGCTTGAGGCGGGTTGGATGGGTTCATGGTGATGGCGCAGGGGGTATGAGATCAAAAGTCACGGCAGGCCTGAGGGAATTGTTCAATCTACCGGTGTTGACAATTCAAGACCAAACCATGCGCGTGGGACAAAGAGGTGGTAAGGGGAGAGGAAGGGCGGGTTTCTTTTTGGTGCGGGAGACAAGCAGCTTTGGCTTTGGCGGAGAGAATGACTGGCTGCCGCTTTGAGCTTGGCAGATGACCTCACCTTGCGCTCGCTTCCTATTCTTCTTCTTTCACTTCACTCCCGACATTTAACATTTACATTTACACGGTACAAACTATGGATACAGAAGTCGACGTTACACCTGAAAATCTCTTTCGCCCTGCGAAGCGACGCAAGTTTGCCCGGCGACGCCAAGATGACCCCGAAGAAACAACCAGCGCCGCCGTCGAATCAGTAGCTGAGGGCACTGACAAGGCTCTTCAAGCTACTGAATCAAAACCCTCGGACGATGACGATGACTCGACACATGCGACTGGTGTGGTGCGCCTGCGCCGGCCAAAGACCACTCGGAAAGGAGGCATTGGATTCTCCGCCACAACGCGACCATCGGGCAAAGACGACAACCGCCAGACGGCGCTGATCGCAGGGGAGGACCAGGAAAAGGAAACTATTCGGGCAATGGGCGACCGTTTCCAGATGTACACTGGGCAGGCGGAGGATGTGGACAGACACATGTACGAACTATACCCTCATCACCCAAGAGTATTGAAGCAATGCGGACTAACAAGATAAGGATGGCATATATAGACGCCGAGATGGCTAAGCGCTACAAACGTAGCCCGCTACCAGATGGTTCACCGGCTGATCAACCGGACTCACAACCAACATCTGGCGCACCATCTACACAAGGCCAGCCACACGAACGCCTCCCAGCATCACTGGGCAAGCTGCATGAGATCGATCTCGGACAAGAGACGAAGCTGCAAAATATCGCCCGTACCGAGGCGGCAACACGCCGGCTTGCTGGCGACGAAGACTCGTCCGCTGGGCCAACAGATCGTGTTGAAGTCCCGGGGAAGTCCTGGCGCAATCGCAAGCGCCGCACCAGCGCGGATGTCGAGCGTGACCGGCTGGTGGAGGAAATTCTACGAGAGAGCAAACGTAAGTCTTACACAGCTGCGAGATACTTGAGTAACCTTGTGACCGTTCGCTAACCTTGTCGCTTACCAGTGGATGTCTATGACGAGCCAGAAGAGGAACCACAGGCCGATGACCAGGCTGCGGATGACCGTATTGCAGAGCAATTCCGACGAGACTTTTTGGATGCAATCCAGTCGCGTCGGAGGACACGCACTACGAAGACTGTTAGTAAAACCGAGGCACCAAAGGGGCCCAAGTTGGGAGGAAGTCGCAGTGCAAGAGCAGCGATGCGCGAATCGCAGGCTCAAGCTGGACGGAAGTGAGGTAGATCAAAGTTTGGTAGACTATTTAATATGGAGCGTGTTGGTCTGGAATGTAGCCAAGTGAAATATATATCTTCAATGTTCATACTCGGATAGAACTACTCGAATGGCAGGAATAATGTTGGACATTGTATGCAGGTACTTGCATATCGTAGCGAGAGTTTATTAAAACCGCACAACGAAGAAAAAGGGAAAAAAGAAAAGAATAAGTAACCTAGAACCCATATTTCCAAATAAATGTTGGAAAGAAAAAAAAACACCAAAAAATGCTCACTGCCAGATTTGAACTAGCGACTTCGTGATTACTAGTCACGCACTCTACCAACTGAGTTAAGCGAGCTGGTACTTTGATGGAAGAAGAGGGCAAAATTTGGTATTATAAAGCAAAACAATAGCTAGAGTAAAAATGAACGTAGAAATAATGCACGAGATCGTTACTCTCTTCCGAGTCGGTCGCTTTAGTCTTATATAGAACAGACTCTGAGTTATGATATAGACCTTCCTGGTATCCTCCCTGTATAGGAGAATAGATAGTAAGGCGGTATATTCTCAAATCAACAGAAATGGAAGTGAGAGTAAAGTAATAATATAGGTCACTTCTCTCTCATCCACTAATATCACATGAGGGGATATATATCCACCACCGATTTGAGTAGAATGATATCTCAAAAAGCATTACTTACTCCATACTACCTATTGTCTATCCATACATCCTCCCGTACTAAAGGAGTTTTATATACTGTACTAAATAACTAAAGATTTGCGGATAATTATAATTATACAAGGTGTAAGTAACCACTCTGATATTATACCATGGAAAAATGCTCTATATATTATTGTGTAAGAATAAAGATGAAAGTGGTCTAAGATAGCTGGGTTTTCCAAAAGGCTTGTCAAATACTGTAGATTATGTGGAACATTATTACAGTCTGACTTGGCAAGATGTAAGCAGAGTATATTTTTGGAAGATCTGCAAAGCGTGAGATCACCAACGCCACATACCAGATGACGGGGATGGCTCCCAACGGTATACGTCTGACAAGCGCCTAGACGATCTGATGGATTACACTGCATACATACTCAAGGGTGGACATGCTGCATACAGTATGAGGTCACACATTATGTAAATTGTACACACACAGTAATATATAGTATCTACTGCATAATTATAATGCTACTCTGTATCGAGTTGACATATCGGTTGCCGTGAGACACTATATTAATAGCAATCAATCACATTTTTTGTGGCCAGGAAATTGACGGCGCTTGGCCGTGTCTCAGGTTGATAGGGCTTGGGGCCACTCGAGGGGCGGGAATGGGATGGAGTACTTAGTATTAGGTTTGTTACACGGCCAGTGGAAATGATTACTATCTCCTTGACTTTTCTCTCGGTCGGAGGTTACTTTGGTACCGTGGAAGGATGAGAATAGAATAATGGGGGTTAGGTCTCGTCCTGGATCGATCGCAAAAATCAAGGTACGGAAGATCATTCTAGTATTGTTACTCATACTGTAACTTGCCAGAATTGATCCACCAGAGCGTCTAGAACGAGGCTTTATGGGTGGCGATCGACGTGTCTTGTATGTCTAGACTGCAGAATGTGTGGCGAAACTTGGATAGAACTGCAGGAAGAGTTCTCTAGCTACGTGTCTCTGGTATGTACGTAAATGGAGTATTATTACGTGTTGCGAATCAAGTCCATGGTTATATCCAGTTTCAGGTTCAGCCCGATCTTTAGGCCTAGGCTGTGGCTGGTGGTCCTGCAGGTACGGTACCTTGCGTTTATCACCACTCAGAGTAAGAATAATTACAATACTGTAATTATCTTTCAATACACGGAGTACATACACTCCCCCTCGACGTCCTAACTTCCGACTTCCACTCCCAGCAAATATATTATTATCCCGCTACACTGGCCGTGGCTGAGCGTGGCGTTGGACTGGAGCCATCATGCCCGTATTTAACATTATTAGTTCCTATTTCTTAACCAATCCAGGAGTAGTCCAGGCGGCACATAACCGTGGGAGCTCGAGTCCGGCCCGCTGGAGCTACTCCACTAGGCCCAACCAAGGTTTTTGGTGGTGATAGTAAATAATACAAAATTGAGCTGGAGAGAGAGAGAGAGAGGGAGAGATAGCTACTGTAGATATATCAAGAAGAGAAGAAATCACAAATAATAGGGCTGAATGATCATCAAATATAGGTAGTAGCGAGGGTAAAATTAGAAAAAGACCAAGCAAGAAGGACGAGAGGAGGAGGAGTCTAGACTCTGAAACGCGCCGGGGCCAATCAGCCTTGCTTCAGGGGCAACTTGGACCCCCTCCTCTCTCTCTCTCTCTCTCTCTCTCTTCTGTATCTCTTCCACTTCTCTCTCTTCACTAATCACTCGCTACCCCCCCCCCAATCGCTTGCATCTAGACTCTTTTGCATTGCTATTTTCATTTTTCCTTTCCCTTTACTCGTGTTGGATCCCAATCCAGTCTCTCGTTCGCCTCGACAAGATCCACCAACTTCCCTCGCTGTAACTCCGTTTCGTTTCCAATTTCTTCTCGACTTTTTTTTTTCTTCCTCTCTTCTCGCAGGTTGATCCTGCTGAGTCTCCTTTTTCCGCGACAAGAAACCCTCCCGTCTCCGATTTGATACTTTCGAATTACGCGCTTAAATCCTCTCTCGCTTGAACCCGTTTATGTCCTCGCGCGCGATCTCAACCAAGATCGCCTGGTAATTCGTGCGAAACTCGGCCTCCTCCTCTAGATCGACTCTGGTCAGATATGCGGACGACCATCTGGGCCCTGCTGGGCCTGGGTGTTGTACTACCCCAGGCTCTGGCCTCCGACACACTCAGCACTTCGGGCTTTTCTCTGTGCATGCAGGATTCCGAGATTGAAGTGCAGAAACTCGATGTCTCCTATACTAAATCTACTCAAGAAGTTGTCTTCGATGTGGCTGGTACCAACTCGAAGGAACAAAATGTCACCGCCACCCTGACGGTGACCGCCTATGGCAGTCAAGTTTATTCGAAAACTTTTAATCCTTGCGGGACTGAGGTCCATGTTGCAGAGCTGTGCCCTGGTAAGGAAGACCTTTGCACTTGATGATTCTATCTCGTCACCAATACTGTGAAAAAGATTCAATCACGAAATCAATTCTTCAAAACGAGAGGCATAGGCTAATTCCTCTCACCCTCTTCAGTTCCATCGGGTCACTTCAGTGCCTCGGGCTCAATGGCTGTTCCCGACGAATATGCAAGCCAGATTCCATCAATCGCCTTCAGCATTCCCGATTTGGATGGTCAGGCCAAGCTGACTCTCACCTCAAACGGCAAGGACGTCGCCTGTGTGGAATCCGAACTTTCAAACGGTAAATCCACCGATGTGAAGGGTGTCGCATGGGCAACGGCTGGTATTGCGGCGGGTGCATTGGCCTTGAGTGGTTTGTCTGCTCTCGGTAGCGCTGGTAGCACCGGTGCACCCTCCTCCAGCCCGTCGGCTGGCGACGTGGTGGGATGGTTTGGCTCCGTGGCTACGAATGGCATGTTGAGTGTCAGCCACCCAACCATCTATAAGAGTTTCACCAAGAATTTTGCCTGGAGCACTGGGTTGATCCCGTGGTCCAGCATGCAAAACTCAATCGACGCCTTCCGAAAGGCTACCGGTGGAAACACGACCCATGAGAGCTATATCTATCTTAGCGGCCTGAGTACCGCCTCGTCATCGAATGGAACCTCTTCCAAGCGCAGCCTGGATCTCGTGTCCCGTGCGGCAAACTTGATCGCGCGCTCCAGCTCCAACTCTAGTTCCTCGGATCTCACCGACTGCGGGTCCGTGAGTGTCAACAGTTTCAAATGTTATTCAGAGGAGCTCTCGATTCCCTCGGCAAACATCTTCATGACCGTTCTCCTTGTCTTCGCCATCGTTGTCGCCGTTGTCGTCGTGGGTATCCTTTTGCTCAAGGTTATCCTCGAACTCTGGGCGCTGTACGGTAACTTCCCCAAGAAGCTTACCGAGTTCCGGAAAGACTACTGGGGTATTATGGCACGTACCATTACCAACATGATTCTCATTCTCTACGGCATCTGGGTCATGTACTGTGTGTATCAATTGCGGAATGGTGACTCGTGGGCTGCCAAGCTCCTAGCTGCCGTGACACTGTCCGTGTTCACAGCGCTTCTGGCATTCTTCGCTTGGCGCATCATTTACCTGGCTCGCAAGTACAAGAAGGCCGAAGGTGATACCACCGGTCTGTACGAGAACAAGGAAACCTGGCGCAAGTATAGTCTATTCTACGATAACTACAAGAAAGATCTGTGGTGGCTGTTCGTACCGGTGATTGTGTATGCCTTGGCCAAGGGATGCATTATTGCTGGTGCCGAAGGCCACGGTATGGTCCAGACCATTGGCCAGTTGGCTGTTGAATGCTGCATGTTGGCCTTGCTCTTGTGGAACCGGCCCTATGCCACCAAGTCCTCGATGGGTATCCACATGACTATTCAAATTGTGCGCGTCCTGTCCATCGCCTGTGTGCTGGTCTTTGTGGAAGAACTCGGTCTCTCCCAGACTACCAAGACCGTGACCGGTATCGTGCTGATCGTCGTCCAATCTGCTCTTTCGGGTGTTCTTGCCATCCTCATCGCCGTCAATGCTATCATTGTCTGCATTCGGGAGAACCCTCACGCCAAGAAGCTCCGCGAAGCCGGTATGTGCAGACAGTCCAAACCAAAACCTAGACCCTGTCCATTTGCTAACATGTCCATTTTAGAAAACGCCAACAAGGACCTCGACGATCTCACCCCACTTGACGCACGCGAGTCCCTTCTGATCGACCATCCGCCCAAGCGCGACTTTACCGAGATGAGCAAGTTCAACTTCAACGCACCCTACGAGCCATACCGGGACCACCCAGTCAACCGATCCAACTCGACTGGTAGCAACGACCGTCTCGTCTACGCCGACTACGGTGTCGCACACGGCCGCAGCCAAAGCCCCGAATCCCGGTCTTCACTTGAAGGCCGGAAGCCAACTGCCCCCGGTTACGGCATGGCCTATTAACGTCACGACGCTGCGTCCTTGTTGAAACTTCTTTCTCCTTTCTCATCCTGTGCATACTCCGCGTAAAAAGAACCACGGAGATACACATCTTGCTTCTGTCTGATTTTATTTAGCGTGTTTCATGGCGGACGGGTTTCTCTTGTCTATGATTGTTGAACCTTTCTTACAACACCATCTAGACTTGATCAAATCTTCGCCCCTGTCTTTGACTGTTTTTAACCATCATATTCCCACTCTCTTACTCTCTTTCTGACCATATGTCTCTGACTCATTCTTTTGACCCCTTCTTGGTCCTCTACCTTGATCCTGATCTTGTCCATCGATCGACCCTGAACCTGACCTGAACCCCCCACCTTCTTTCCTCTCTGAACCACGTTTCAGCGGCTTCCTTTTCTTGTCCATTTCTAGCTTGGTGAAAACGTGTTGCTTTCTTTTCTCTTTTGGTTTCTTGTACATGTTATAGATTTTGATTGCATACATCATTGTCAAATTATTCACTTTTATCTTTCTCTATACTTTCGGTTAGTCTCTGTAGCCTCGTCAGTGGAAAGCTGGGAATCTGTAGATCGAGATCTTGACTTGATTGTCATTCCTTGATAATCTTTGCATACACCTAACCAAGGACATAACTTGACGAGTCCAAAACAAGACTCCATTCCCACACAACCCTTTACTAGCAGATAATATTCACCATCCAGACCGTGTCGAATTATATCCTTAATCTACGATACGCACACAACACAAATATGTCCTATCCACAACGAACAAATCACGAAGAAGAAAAAAAATAGAGATACATCCCATTTTAATAACTCTGGACAAAGAACGGCAAAAAGGGAGGAAACCACCACCATGTCGCGCATATCTCTCGCATATTGCCCCAGAGGGCAACGGATAGAAAACAGAAACACGGAAGAAAAACGAAAAGAGAAGACCCAGAAAGCCGCACCTGTAGACTTGGTTCCTTTGAATGGGGGTACCAGGAATGGAATAGGAATAGGAATAGGAAAAGAGGAGGGAAAGGGATAAGACATAGGAGCAGGTCGCATTTGAAAGAAGTAGCATGGCAGCGGAGTGAGATTCGAAGGCTCAAGTCCAGGGTTCCCGGGGTTCATGTTCATGGATAAGAGGGACAGGGGAGATGTAAATAGGGGGAAGAAGGAAGAAGAAGAAGAAGAAGAAGGAAGACATAGCATAGAAGAAACAAGAAAAGAAAAGAGAAAACACCCCCAATAAACCTGATCCCCGGAAAACCCGGACTAGACTAGATACTCCAGATACGATCTGATACAGGCACAGCGAAGGCTAAGCTGGGGGTTTTTTTTACCGAGAATAAGGGTGGAATCCACGGTGTCCGCCACGACCACCGCCGCGGTAGTTTGCGCCGGGCTTGCCCGCGTTGCGTGGGCCCGTTGGGGCGTTGGCGGGGGCTGCGCTTTGGGGTTGGGGGGTTGCGCCTGTGTATGGAGAGAAAGAAAGAAATATGTTAGTAAGGTATGTTCATCAAGTAGAAGAGAGTAGAATAGAGGGAGGAGAGAAGTTCTGTACATACCACGACCCATGCTTCCACCACGAACCATACCCTGCGGACCGGTGGGAATATTCGGCTGAGGAACCTCGTCATACATACCCTCCCACGAGGTTGGACCACCCTGCTGATACGGCGAGTAACCGCGGTTGGTATCCATAACGCGGCGCGCCTGCTGTTGCTCGTATTTCTGCTGCTCAAAGGCAATTTGTTCCTGCGCATTGTAGCCCGGTCCCCCGGGTTGTTGGCGGTTATATCCCGCGCCGGAAGTGGCGCCGTCACTACCAGCTGCGCCGCCCTGTTGGCCCTGGGGTTGGCCCTGCATTTGCTGCATCATGGCCGGGTTCATCATGGGCATGGCCTGTTGAGCACCGGGCGAGGCTGGGTTGGGGCTCATACCGCCAGGCTGCTGCTGTTGCTGCGGGACCCCCTGTTGCTGGGCACCGCCCATCTGCTGTTGCATCTGCTTCATCTGCATCTGCTGCATTTGCTGAAGCATGGCCGGGTTCATCGCGCCCATATTCATTTGGCCCCCGCCCATGGCCATCTGCTGCTGCATCATGGCAAAGTACTGCTGCATGCGCTGCCAATACTGTGCCATCATCTGCGGCGTCATACCACCTGCCATACCCTGCTGTCCGCCAGCGCCACCACCCTGCTGGGGGCCCGAATCACCGCCGCCCTGGTTCATATCGCGGTAGTTATCGCGGCCGCCGCGGCCGCCGCGGTTCTCGTCGCGCAGGTTACCGCGTGGCTGGGCCTTTTTGACTTCGATGGGTTTGCCGAGGATTTCGAGGGGGCGGGAGAGTGCGTTTTCCACGGCGGCTTCGCTGTCGAAGGTTACGAAGCCGAAGCCGCGGGGGCGGCCGGTGTCTTTGTCGATCATGAGGGTTGCGTCGATGACGCGGCCGAATTGGGTGAAGAATTGTTTGAAGTCTTGTTCCGTGGCTTCTTGGCTGACGCCGCCGACGAAGATTTTGCTTGTTTTCTCTTGTTCGTCGCGGGGGATGGCGCGCTTGGGATCGATCTGTGGGGAGATTGTCAGTCGGTGGATTTTTGGAGAAGGGATGGGCATGGAAGTTGATGATTATTTTCGGGGGAAGAAGGAGAACATGGGATTTGTGGTGGTGTTCTTCTTGTCCCCGTTTACAACGACTTCTTCCATAATTTGACTTACAATCTTGCCATCCAGGTAATGCTCCTTCACCATGACCGTGTTGACAGTCTTGGGATCGCGGAAAGTAAGGAAACCGAAGCCGCGAGAGCGTCCAGTGGCGCTGTCACGCATCACAGTGCATTCCTGGACTTCGCCGAATTGCGAGAAGTAGTCACGAAGGGATTCTGTAGATACCCCGGGCGGTTAGATTCAGGTCATTACTCCATGATGATGCTCTTTTGATACTCAAGAGTATCATGTATCATCGAGTCATGCTCCTGCAGGCATATGTAATACGTACGATCCGTGGTCTCCCAGTTCAATCCACCAATGAACATTTTTCTATAAAAGCCTGTATTAGCAGTCTGCTAGCACGAGTCTCGAATGACAAGATAGAACATGATAGCAGAAGTCTCGATGGGAGAATGTAGATGGAAGGGTAGAATATAAGTGTCAATATCAATATCAATGTCAATGTCAATGTCTCTGAGTGCTTTCTGGGTGCTCTGGCTAGGGAGCTGGGTGGCGCTAAGCTGCTATTCACGAATACAGCTAATGCTGAACTGAACTGTCTGGAGATAAGCCTTTTCCAAGTCTGACGAAGCCAGGAGCACGAAGTCTCAAAGTCAAAGCCTTGAACTCCTTGTCCTGTCCACGGCGTTCCCATCTTGCAAGTATACGGTGACTGCCATGTAGTGTAGCCCCATGTATCCAAAGGAAAGGTCCGCCATTTGCTTTACATGAGCAATTGAGTCTTGTCTTGGGTCCCGAGTTGATCGAATATTTCCATCTCTTGATCTGGGCATGTTCTTGTGGGATACTCGTGGGCCACCGAGGATATTGAAACCAGATGGAAGACTGCGGTAGCGAGAAGTGGGTTTCAGGCGAAGAAGTGAATTTTCACTGTATCTCTCTGTCTCTCTGTCTGTGGTCTGTCTCTGACTTTGCTAACAGAATGTTCCCGAAATATGGAGCATGGGTATGAAAGCCCCTCCACCAGACAGCGTTGTTACTTCTTGCTCTGCTCTATCAACTGTATCGACAAGAAGCTATATAGTATCCGCTGTACTATATGGTGGCTCGCAACAAAGGTCTGCAGCAGATGCCGATCTGTCTCATGTAGTCTCTTCTTCTTTTCGGTTGTTGACAGCTTGATGTGCTCTGCCTCCAGACGAGGGCTCACTGATTCTGAAGTATCTTCCGAGATTGCTTCTGCCTGATCTCCATGTTCTGATAGACACCGCCGATGATGACTTGTGAAAAAATTGATAGAGAAAAGAAAGAAAAAGTTTTTCCAGAAGGGATGCCGGTGACCTTGGGACAAGATGAGGTTATCCCACACATTTGCCCACCCGTTGAGTTGGCCATTCATGATTGACCATGCATAGCATTCTCCCAGCGACCTTAACCACTTCCCATGATTTTGTAGTATCATAGCATTGCGTAGCCAACCAGCTCCCAGAAGGCTGTATTGTGCACCGTGAATAGCAACAAACGCCACCGAGACACACCAGTAGCGCATATAGCCAGCACATACGCACCAGTCATTGACGGTGGAGAAATAACAAAAAAGTGGATTAAGCATCATACGGGGGGCAGTTTCACTTACCCGTCTTCCTTGATTCCCGTTCCTGATCGAGGCTCCTCATGCTCCACCGGGTGTCCCACCGCGGGGTGCTGGGTTTGGCCATGATCCGCTCCGTTATAGCCACCTGCATTGTAGTCTTGCTGGGGAGCGGCGTGTGTGGGGTATGTGTCCACGGGCGAAGGATCATAGCTCGGGACGGCGGACTCGTGGACAGGCTGTGCAGGGACTGCTGCCGGGACAGGCTCTGCGGGCTTTGGAGCCTCGACCGCGGAAGTTGCGCGGTTTGTGGATTCGTCGGCATCGTAACTGAGAGACGAGGATTAGCCAAGGGGTCTTTAAAGTGAGGAATAAGCACGATTCATACAGATCCGCGAAGAGATCGTCCTCGAGTCCCTCCGGGTCAGCCATGGTGCTGAGGGGTTAGTGATTTGGGTAGAATAGCAATGGACTGGAAAGTGAGTCAAGACTGATGTTGACCGTTGGCGAAGAAGGAATCAGGGCCTTGGAAACGTCCAGAATGCGTGGGGGAAAGAGAAGTTGGAAGTTCGTCAAGAAGCGAAGGGAGGGAAAGCGGAGGAGTAAGTGGCTTACATACGCACGGCTGCAGTGGCCAAACGGGCAGGCCTGGCTACCAAGAACTACAACGAACATAGCTTACTTCTGATCACGAGTCTATTGCTCTAAACTTAAAATTAGTATTTTATATTTCAAATTATCCATAACTCGTCTTCAATTGACAATTGACTTCGCTGCTGCATCTCTCATAGCTCAAGAAGCGTATATGTTTTAGGAAGGCGGAAACCAAGGCGGTCAGGGGCATATCCCGTATCCTGAGGAAAGTGGCTGCGACTGGCCGGTCCAGTTGCCGACGTCAACAACTACAATACCTCTCGACGTTTCACTCACTTGCCATTTTGAATCCTAGGCATTGAATTTGGGCTCACGTTCTGTCTTGCAATGCATTTCTAAGTTTGCCTTGTCATATGGCCCCCGGCTGGAGGAGAGAACAAGACAGATATCCCTGGGCCGCCCCGCATTTGAGCTGAGACCACTCCAGCTTGACCATCACATCAGCAGTAGCTATGGCAAACAAAAAGGGTCAGCAGGTAAGTAGCTCCCAATATCGCACGAAGATAAATGATCGAATTGAGGGTTGATCATGCTTCCAGGAAATGGTTCAGGTTGGTACGTAATTGGCTTTCTCCCCCGCAATTGCCTTATGGATTCTCCCATAACTAACGCAAGCTGGTGGCCGCAGATAACTCCGAGTATGTATTGCATGACTTCCCCGCTTGTTTCTTCTTCTTTGTTACCTATTGGATTCATACTAATCGCTCGCTAAAGACGCACCGAGTCTCCTTTCTGGGCTGGTCGGAATGCATCCCTGAACCAGGGTCCGCCCAAGGTCTACGGCCAGAACACCGTTGTCGGCGCTTCATACTCCCACGCCAACATTATTCAGTTAGTACCCTTACAGACACCATGAACCTCGCGTCAATTACCCGCCATATTCCTGATCAATCAATTATAATCTGACTGTTTGTTCCGATAGCGGCACCTCGTCTCACCAGCGAACCAAGACACCGCCCCGGCCGACGGGAAATGCCCCGTACCCCGCGTCGCACCTGGCGAATCGATCGGGAAACGTGGTCGCCTCGCCTCCCCGACAAGCATATCCCGGAATCATGACACAGGGTGTGGATGAATGGAGTCGAGATCCTACGGAAGAGGACGATGACGAAGATGACGACGACGACGAGATTGTGTACGATGATGACGAAGATGAATTCGGCCTTCCAAGTCTTGCTAGCATGCGCAGAAAGAAAGCAGCACCTTTTAAATCCAAGAACCTGGATTCTGGGGGATCAATGGGAGGGAATCCCACCTCTTTGGGCTTCGGGTTGGCTGCTGCCAATAGACAGCGCGCCAATAGCTCCGATATCGCCGAAGAACGAGGAACCCCAATGTACCCAACAGCGCGCAAGGGTGAAGGCAAAATCCTCCGTCCTCAGTATAAGGATATTTTGCAAGGTCAGACATTGGATACATTCCAAGAAATATCAAGGTGCGGCTATGCTGACATAGGATCCTTAGATCCCGCAAATGCGTTGAATCTTATCAATCACTCTCCCCCGCCTACCAATGCCTCCCCCAAGGAGAGAGAGATACATTCTAGCCGTATCACGCGCATCAACAAATTCAAGCGCATCCTCCAGGCTAGCACCGTGTCTCTTACCGACTTACGAAACCTGGCATGGTCTGGAGTTCCCGAAGAGGTTCGGCCGATGACCTGGCAGCTATTGCTTGGGTATCTCCCAACGAACAGCGAACGGCGCATATCAACCCTTGAACGAAAGCGCAAAGAATACCTTGATGGAGTACGACAGGCCTTTGAACGTGGCAGCGGAACTGCTTCGAAAGCCCCCGCCTCAAGTACGGGACGCGGAAGAGGATTAGATGAGGCCATCTGGCACCAGATTAGCATCGATGTTCCTCGCACCAGCCCTCATATCCCGCTTTATGGCTACGAAGCTACACAGCGATCCCTAGAACGCATCCTCTATGTGTGGGCTATTCGGCACCCAGCCAGTGGCTACGTTCAGGGTATCAACGACCTAGTCACACCATTCTGGCAGGTCTTCTTAGGGGTGTACATTACGGATCTCAATGTTGAAGAAGGAATGGACCCGGGCCAATTACCTCGCAGCGTTTTGGATGCGGTCGAGGCTGATACGTTCTGGTGCCTGACAAAATTGCTTGACGGCATTCAGGACAATTACATCTACGCACAGCCCGGAATTCACCGACAGGTTAAAGCTTTGCGGGACCTGACAAAGCGCATCGACTCGGCCCTGGACAAGCACCTGGAGCAGGAAGGTGTGGAATTTATGCAATTTAGTTTCCGGTGGATGAACTGCTTGCTCATGCGGGAAATGAGCATAAGAAATACGATTCGCATGTGGGATACGTACATGGTATGTTCTTGCTTCATGTTTTGCCTTTGAAGTTACTTGGTACTGATATTCGTTGCAGGCTGAGGAGCAGGGCTTCTCACGATTCCACCTTTATGTTTGTGCTGCATTTTTGGTTAAATGGACGGATCAATTGGTCAAGATGGATTTCCAGGTGAGGATTCTCCTCAGAATTGCTCAGCAGATTTCAAATCCAGAAGCTAATATATGTACACAGGAGGTTATGATGTTTCTCCAAGCATTGCCTACGAAGGACTGGACCGAGAAAGATATCGAGCTCTTACTGAGCGAAGCTTTCATCTGGAAGAGCTTGTTCCAGGACTCACGCGCTCATCTTCGACCGACTGGGAACGAGCCTCCTGAAAATGGTATCTTTTATTGATAGTAATCATAATTCATCATTCTATTCCCGGTCCTCCTTCGAATTTTTGATGGCCCGGTGGGGTATGTGGGGAATACAAAGGGGGGTTTCAATCAGTTGAAGTGGATGCCCTTTTGGTTGAATGCCCACAGCAGCTTCAAGAACTCATTCTCGTCGCACATTCTGGCGCGCTTCTCAGCCAGGCCGGTCTCATCCTCCAACACTTGGCGCACCTTCTCGCGCACCAACTCCGAGACCTTGCCTCGCTTCTTCCGCTGGGGCTTGCTGAGTGCTTGTTGGATGCGGGCGTTGGCCTCTTCCTTGAAAAAATCGGGGACATCGTCATCGTCGTCCATCTCCATGACCTCATCAGCAGGCTCGTCCTCGCCTTGTTCCTCTTGCTCCTGACCCATATCCATGACATCGCCCTCGGCATCCTCGACGGGGCCATCCTCCACTGGAATATCGTGCTGGGCACACCACGTGCGGTAATTCTGCTCGAGCATATTCATGATGCTGGGCGTACCGATGAAACTGGCCCGTAGTGTCTTGTTCTTACGCACAAAGGCAATGCGCAACAGACCATCCCATTCCTCATAGTTGATCTGCGGCCTCGGGACCTTGGGCACCATGCGAATGACGCTGGACTCGACCAATGGCGGGGGCTTAAAGTTGTTCTTGCCGACCTTCATGATGTGATCGATCTTGGCCCACATTTGGGCGTTGACGGAAAGTCGACTGTAAAGCTTGTCGCCGGGCTTGGCGAATAGACGCAGAGCGAATTCACGCTGGAACCTAGAGAGGGGGAGAGTGTATATTAGCTTTGTTATCCGCAAGGATGAATTGGATATATTTTGAACGTACATGAGAACACAAGTACGAGGAGCGGGCGTTGTGGCGAGTAGCTTGAATGTGAGAGGGGAAGAAATCTGGGAATAGTCAGTATAGTGCTATAGGCCCCCTGAGGCTATAGCATAGCTATAGATCATAGTGTAGCAACTCACCTGATAAGGCGTGTTACTGATGCAGACATCAAAGTATGGAAGCTCCGTCTTCATCACGTCTCCGAGAATAACCTCCAGACGCTTTTGAGCCGGAGTACCCTGGAAACGCTTGGTGACTTCGGCAGCCATTCGAGGATCCAACTCCACCGCGATGACCTTCTTGGCCTTTTCGAGGATCTTTGCAGTCAAGTTACCAGTACCGGGACCGATTTCGAGGACGATCTAACGATGGAAATGTTAGCGCGGTTCTTTTTCCGTCGTGTCCATTATTACTCACATCGCTCTGCTTGAGATCGGCCTTGTGGACAATTCTATAAAAGTTGAATTAGCTCGAGTCCATCGATAGAAGGTATATTGAAATGAGTACTCACTGTTCAGCAATACCTGGGTTCTTCAACACGTGCTGGCCGATATCTGTGTTCATCTTGAAGATACTGTGGGCAGCCTTGGTCTTTGCAGCGGCGTCCGCATGCGCATTATTGCGCTTTCCCTTTTGAACCTTGGGCATCTTGAATGGATTGACTCGCAGTCAGTCTCAATTCACTGAAAGAACCAGTCTGAAATTGCAGCGTTTAAAGGGCGCAAGGAGAAGTTCACGAGTCCCCGCGGGCGTAGTTTAAACTGTGGGCAACTTTTTTTCCATTGCGATAAGATTATCGGCCTCGGGCCTACTTTTCTACGGGCGCGGCCCGCCTTCATCTCTCTCTCTCTCTCGCCATTCGACCTCCAGCCTCGAAGCTTGAAGCTTGCTTTCCGTGCCTCAACATGGCGTCTGGACGGAAGGACTTTCTCAGCCAGCAGGCGCCTGAGAACTATGTGGCCGGTCTGGGTCGTGGTGCTACCGGTTTCACCACGCGATCTGATTTGGGTCCCGCGCGCGAAGGTCCCACGCCCGAACAGATCCAGGCCGCGCTGACGAAACGAGCTGCGCTTCTCGGAGCTGCTGCACCTACGGCTTACGGCGATAAATCTCGAGAGAAAGGAGGCAAAGAGGAGAAGGCCGAGGAGGAGGATGAACGGTTCCAGGATCCCGATAACGAGGTCGGTCTGTTTGCGTACGGACAGTTCGACCAGGAAGACGATGAGGCGGATCGCATTTACCAAGAGGTGGATGAGAAGATGGATCGGCGACGTAAACTTCGAAGGTTAGTTATCCCCCCTCTCCCGGCTCTGTTGTCCCTCAAAACAACTTGTTCATCGGGCCAGTTCCCCGTTGTTTGGATAGAATACCGACTTGAATCGTTCGCCACCTACAGGGAAGCTCGAGAGCAACAAGAACGCGAGGATTACGAACGGAAAAACCCGAAGATTCAGCAACAGTTTGCCGACCTGAAGCGATCGCTTGCCGCAGTCTCTGAAGAAGATTGGGCCAATCTCCCCGAAGTTGGTGACCTTACGGGCAAGAACCGACGAGCGAAACAGAACCTTCGTCAGCGATTCTATGCCGTTCCCGATAGCGTTATTGCAGGCGCAAGAGATTCGGCCCAGTTTGACACGACGATTGCCGACGATGGTGCCCCGGCCGATGGAGGAGAAGGCGCTAGTGATGGGACGATGACGAATTTCGCAGATATCGGTGCCGCTCGTGATAAGGTTCTGAAGGTTCGACTTGATCAGGCAGCGCTGGGTTCGTCAGCTGAAGTCGCCTCCTCGGGAAGCGCAACCAGCATCGACCCCAAGGGATATCTTACCAGTCTGAACCAGTCGGAGATGAAGGCTGGCGAGGTCGAAGTTGGCGATATCAAGCGAGTGCGAGTTCTGCTGGAGTCTGTCACAAAGACCAACCCCAAGCATGCACCTGGATGGATTGCCCTTGCGCGTCTGGAGGAGCTTGCAGGCCGAATTGTGGCGGCTCGAAATGCTATCGCTAAAGGTTGCGAGCTGTGCCCGAAGAGCGAGGACGGATGGCTGGAGAATATCCGGCTGAATGAAGGCCATAATGCCAAGGTTATTGCCGCAAATGCTATTAAGAATAACGACCACTCTACGCGACTCTGGATCGAAGCTATGAAACTGGAAACCGATACCCGGGCGAAGAAGAACGTCCTCCGACAGGCTATCCTGCATATCCCCCAATCGGTGCAGATCTGGAAAGAGGCAGTCAATCTGGAAGATGATCCCGCAGATGCCCGTCTTCTTCTCGCCAAGGCCGTTGAAATGATTCCCCTTTCCGTGGAGCTGTGGCTGGCCCTGGCACGTCTGGAGACTCCCGAGAACGCCCAGAAGGTTCTCAACGCAGCGCGCAAGGCCGTTCCTACTAGTCACGAGATCTGGATTGCTGCTGCTCGTCTGCAAGAGCAGATGGGTACTTTCGAAAAGGTCAATGTCATGAAGCGTGCCATTCAGTCTCTCGCCAAGGAGAACGCCATGCTGAAGCGAGAGGAGTGGATTTCGGAAGCCGAGCGCTGCGAGGAAGAAGGAGCCATTCTTACTTGCGGTGCCATCATTCGTGAGACTCTCGGATGGGGTTTGGATGAGGACGACGACCGCAAGGATATTTGGATGGATGACGCCAGATCTAGCATTGCTCGCGGCAAATACGAAACCGCTCGCGCTATCTACGCATATGCACTGCGGGTCTTTGTCAACCGTCGGTCTATTTGGCTCGCAGCTGCTGACCTCGAGCGCATACATGGCGACAAGGAAGCTCTGTGGCAGGTCCTGGAGAAAGCCGTTGAAGCATGCCCGCAGAGCGAGGAGCTTTGGTTGCAACTTGCCAAGGAGAAGTGGCAGTCTGGTGAAATTGATGACGCGCGACGAGTTCTTGGCCGTGCCTTTAACCAGAACCCTAACAACGAGGACATCTGGCTTGCTGCCGTCAAGCTCGAGGCAGATGCACAGCAAACGGACCAGGCTCGTGAGCTTCTGGCAACAGCGCGCCGTGAAGCTGGCACAGACCGCGTGTGGATTAAGAGCGTCGCTTTCGAGCGGCAATTGGGCAACGTCGACGAAGCCCTGGATCTCGTCAACCAAGGACTGCAGCAGTACCCCAAGGCTGATAAGCTGTGGATGATGAAGGGCCAGATCTACGAGTCGCAGAACAAATTCCCGCAAGCACGCGAGGCATACGGTACCGGCACCCGGGCCTGTTCCAAATCCGTACCTCTCTGGCTCCTCGCCTCACGACTCGAAGAAAAAGCCGGCGCTGTCGTCCGTGCCCGCTCCGTCCTCGATCGAGCCCGTCTCGCCGTCCCCAAGAGCCCCGAGCTCTGGACCGAAAGTGTCCGCGTCGAGCGGCGCGCAAACAACATCGCCCAGGCGAAGGTGCTCATAGCCCGCGCTCTACAGGAAGTACCAGCCTCCGGTCTACTCTGGAGCGAGAGCATCTGGCACCTGGAGCCTCGTGCGTCCCGCAAGGCACGCAGCTTGGAGGCCATCAAGAAGGTCGAGAACGATCCTATCCTGTTCATCACAGTTGCGCGAATCTTCTGGGGCGAGCGACGGTTGGAAAAGGCCATGACCTGGTTCGAGAAGGCTATCGTAGCGGACAGCGACTATGGCGATGGATGGGCGTGGTATTACAAGTTCCTGCAACAGCACGGTACAGAGGTGAGTCAAGTTCTTCAACGATATCACTCTCATTATTTCATATACGCGAATAATCTTGCTAACGGCTTCTTCTCTGGACAGGATAAACGCTCTGACGTGATTTCCAAGTGTGTCACAACGGAGCCTAAGCACGGCGAGGCATGGCAGGGTATCGCGAAGGATCCAGTCAACGCGCACAAGTCGACGGAGGAAATTTTGAAGCTTGTTTCTGAGGCGGTTAACTAAGCGATGAAATCGTCTGTTATGATGTATTAATAGCACTTATGGGGGCGTTTTGGACATGGATTGGTGAGGTGTTTGAATATAAAACATTGCTTTGCCTTTGCCCTGAATGGTTATATTATTATTATGTGCTGAACATGATGAGTATTAAATATACATTACACTCATTGTTAGAGACGAGTTTGAACTAACTCGATATTGAAACTAAGATTCCAAATAGGAAACGTACAATCCTGTCAGCAGATACTCCATATTGTACTGCTGAAGGCCGAGCTGATCTCGCTCCATCCTACTACAAAGCATAAAATCAGCTATAAAAGAGCCCATTCTCATAAATAAGTGAGGCATAACACAGGTTTGATAAAAGGCAAGGAATCATATTCATGGGTATCGAACAAGCGTGGCCCTTCCACGCTGGGCCACCGTTTCAGCTTTTTAATACCGAGGCCATCACACACCCTGCTCCTCTGCCTGGTGCCGCTGTCCCTGCACATCACCAGCAAGTAAAAGACAAGGCAAACCAAAAAAAGAGAATAAATACTGTACATCACGTTGCTGGCATGCACAGCCCAGGCGGGGAAATCAAGATCAAGTAGCAGAATGTGTTAACGGGCGAAAGCGCACAAAACCAAACTGTCAGAGGTCTTCTTCTGTACCAAGTAGTCGATTAAGTCTTGCCAGATCTGAGTTTCAATCGTTCAGATCTTCAAGAGGCAAACTCCAGAACCAAATGCATAACGTAAAATAGGCGGCCATGCTTGAAACAGGAGTAATTTGCAATGGCAGCACCGATAATTCCCAGACGCCGTGATTGTTCCCACCACCCAAGACCGGAATCAATAACGCAAGAAGAAACGCAAAAGTAAGGGGCGACAGAGGTGAATAGTGTGGCAGATGTGTATCGAGGGCGAGGGTGAGAAACAAAGGGAAAGAAGAGAAAAAGATGAAAGCAGTTGGTGGTAAGTATGGGTATCAATCTTCAGTTCCTCAATTCTCAAGCAGCCATCGATAAACAATCGTCCAGCAAGCTGCTCAGTTGCTCACGATCAAGAGCCGTGCCTCCTTCCCAATCCGAAAGGGCAAAATCATCGTCGTCATCCACATCCATCGCGTCATCATCATTAGCCTCGGCCTTGGTCTCTTGGGCTCCGCTCACCCCGTTCTCCAACCGGTCCTGCTTCTCCGTCTCAAGCTCATCTTCAAAGTATCCGCCCATAATCTGATCAATGATTAGCGGCATATGGCCCAGGACACCACGGCCCAGCTCCAAAGCGAGCCGAAGATCCCCGACACCGAGTGACCGACGAGTTGCAGCCTCTTTAGCCTCGATGGGGAGCAGCCCGGTGGCGGTATCTTTCACGATTTCGCCTCGTGTGAATGCAAGTTCCTCACGCTCCAGTTGTTGGCGGTACTTGCGCATCATCATGCCGTTGATGGTACCCGAGGGACCATTGGAGCGAGTGCGCGAGAATACCGCGGAGAGAACATCCTTGACGAAGGTTTCAGTAGCAACGGCCATGAACTCCGCGCACGGCAAGCCAGCACCGCCAGGGAGTGATTCTTCGTAACACATGGGGACCATGCGGGCGTAGATAGATTCGGCATCGGGGAACTCGCCAGAGTCTGCAGCGAGAGGCTGCGCATATCGTTTTCGAATTTCCAGCTCCCAATCTGAAAGTCCAAGATTAGTCAAAAAACTTCTGGGTAGGGGGTGGAACCTGCGTGCGATTCAACCGCACAGGTAATATTGGGGGTTGCAGAGTGAGGAGATGAAGCTGTCTTACTTGTCTTGTTCAGCCCGCCCGCGCTTGCGGGGACTTGACTTGGAAGTTTGATTTGCTTCGCCTGGTGATATATTTCCAATTCATTTGGAACCGCATCGGTAGGATCTCGCTGTAATTCGGGAAGGAGATCTCGTGTCAGCAAACGCTTGTCCTGTCTCGCGCCGGGACAACCTCGGCCACCACCATCCCCACAATGTGCATACCTCTGCGATAGCCTTGATCCTCCGACGATCCCTTGGAGGTAATTGCATAACCTCCGTCTTCAATCTTTGTTCGGCAGCGTCTCCGGAGATGGGCTTGGAGACCATAGACGGCTTATCATTAGCCGAGACCCAAGTTGCGACGCCATGGTCGGGGAGGTCGCGCGTGAGGTTTGCGATGATCGCGCAAATGAAGTTATTATGTAGATGTTCAAGTTTTGTGTCGGCGCATAGAAAGTGATCGACTCGCGACGCGTATTCATTTTGGTTGTAGTGCCCTAGAAGCGGCAGGAGGTCAGGAGGTCAGCCACTGGAAGGTTCAATTCGTCGCGGGGAGGGCATGCAATAGCAGATATCGTGATAACTTCACAGTCACATAGAGACGAAAGCACGCGCGGGGGAAAATAACTCCCATACCTAGTAGAAAGAAGGCCGTAGACTCTTTGTACTCGGCCCATTTGTCTCCGATGGCGGCCTTCAGCTCGGTATAGGTCTGTTCCAGGTCCAGGCGCGGCACTGAAGGTAGAGTCCGGGACGACTTGACCGTCGTCGATGGGTTGGATGCCGCGCTTTTGGCCGGATTAGATGAGTCTGTGCGACTCAGGGCCGCCGGATCGATCTGCATGGCAGCTGAAGGAGTGTCAGGAACGCGACAAGGCGAGGCCGAAGGGCGGCAGGTTGATGGGGGCTACGCATTCATGAAGAGGCGCGGAGATCGATCAGAGGGGATTTCGAGATAGTATGAGAAGGGAGGAAGGGCGAAAATGATGGATTGATGATGAAAAGGCGATGTGATTGATGGAAGGAGGCTTTGGAAGGGTTGGGAGGTTGGAAATGAGGTTCCGAGAGTTGCGGTTTCCCCGCCAGAAACGGATGCCTCGTCCCGGGAACAGTCAGACAGCGACGAAGTATAGGAATATCGAGAGATTGTTGCCTATTTGACTAGTTTGAACGATAGATGCCTAGCCAGGAGCCTAAATAGATTCAAAAATCTACAAAACTACAATCTACTATGTAGGTGATCATGAATCTGGCTATATTGTAGCTAATATCTACGCCATCTGCAAGACATCCTCACTCAGCACTCCAAAGAGCTGTCCGATGTCTGCAAGAATCTCGCTGATCTCTTTCGACAATTGACCAGTCACGAGAACTATACAAGAAAAGTCAGTGACATAGCCACAAGAAACGCAATACCTTGGTCACTCACTATACGCAGACAACAATGCACTATCTTCATCCGTTGTCAATAGCGAGACTTCCTGGTCCTGGCGATACCGGTAAATGCGCGCCAACAACCTGTCACGAGCATGATCAATGCTGGGAAGCACATCGCTCAGGGGGTATTCGAGTTTCATGGATGAGGCCATAACTATGAGAAAGTCAGAATAAGAACCTAGCATAGAGTTGTATGCAAACTTACCCGTAAGAAGATGGCTAATCCGAGCAGACAGCTGCTGTCGTTCCTGCGCAGTATACCTCAGGAGACTAATCTCGCCATCGGTAGCAGTCTCACTCTTCATCAGTTCCAAGTTCATCGCATGGAACGCATTTACCATGCTCCGAGTACGGCGAATGATACTCGCATAAGTATCATCTGCAAACGCACTGCGTAGCTCAAACTCCGAACCCGCCGAGACCAACAGCGTCTCCAAGCGGGAGAGGAAGCGCTCGAGTTCGAGCTTTTCACGAGCAGTCATGTATACGACGGAACGCTTTGTCTTGACCATCGCTGATAGCGGGTCACGCTTCCACACTAAGCCCAGTCGCAGCCAGAGCATGCTGAGACTATCTTTCAACCTGCTTCGCGCACTGATCGGCCAGATCACCCGCGTGATGATGATACCCCAGATACAGCCCGAGAGCACCGCCACCACTCGGTGTAGCGCGATCTCGCCAATGACGGGGTTTTGGCCACCCTCGTCTTTCGAGCCGTCCGCATCTTTCTGCGTGAGCGAGTAGGCATACAGCACGGACAGGTTATACGTGAGCATGATAAACCGGCCCAAGGGGCCGTTCCCCTGGACAATGGTGATGTAGGAGATCCAAATAGCCATCACCCATCCAAAGATGGCGAGACCATAGGCGTTACCGCGGGAAATGTACCAGGACAAGATGGCACAAGCTGCTCCCAAGCAAGTACCGAGGAAACGAGCGTAGCCCGTGGTATTCGAAGCACCAATCGTCATCGAGCAGACCAGCATGTACGACAACAAACCCCATTCGCCGCGCCAATGTTGATAGAAAGGTCTCGTGGAAGGCAAAAACGCAGGCAATGCGTAGAGTGCCGCGCCAGCACCGACCTTGATCGCGTATCGAGTGTCATCTCGGCGGAAGCACTTGAGAGATTTCCAAAGGCGATAGCCCAGTCGCTGTTTAACTGACGCCTCAGCGCTTGGATACAGACGAGCACGCACAGCGGGAGACACTCGAGCATCCGGCCTAGGCGGAGCCAGGAAGGTAGGCTCATCACCGGCGTTGGTATCTTTGGCTCGCCAAAATTTGAGCCAGCTCCAAGACCGCCCACCGGGTCTCTCCTCGGTTTCGAGCTGGAGCTGGTCCAAGACTGCGAGCAATTCGTGCAGCTGCTCACCAAATTCCAGAAGTGAAAAACTAAAGTGGCCACAGCTCGCAGACACCTCTTCCAGATCGGCTTCTGCCTCATGCGTCTTCAGCTTGATAGTTTCAATCTGCTGATAGAGCGATTTCAGGGTCTTTGCTCGGGACTCCTGGTAGAGATCCAGAGCACGGTCAAGACTCGTCACTAGTCGACTGTCCACAGAGACTTTATAGTGTGGAGCTGGACCAAATGGGATCTCGTTAAAGATTTCTTTCAAAGTGAAGGCGAGAGAGCGCTATAATGAGTTAGCTTTACGTTCCATTCCTCTTCAAGTAAAGCTTCGCTTACCATGGCCGGTCCCAGATGGGAAATGAAGATGGTAAATACATCGGCTGGGAGCAGAGGGTGTTTCGCAGACTCCAGTTTTCCATCCGAATTCGGGGTACTGAACCCTCCACTCGGCGAGAGCTCTTCCTCTGGACGCTCATCAATCGGCTCCAAGAAAGACCCATCGGGGAAAGACCACGAGCGTTCCAATGAAGCAAAGTACTCCGTTGGAAAAGCGCTCTGCTGTCCATCGGATGTCTGCGACTCGCGAGCAAGGGTTTCACGAATCAGGCTGAACTGAAGAGAAGCGGCACTGCGCAAGCCACCCATGTTGTGAGTAATATCCTGCACCCAACGCACCAACTTCTTCTCCAATCGATATTCTCGTTCCGTGCCTGCAAAGTAGTGCTCCAGTTTTGCCTCGCGCACTAGCTTATCTAGCTGGCTGTAGGCCTTTCGGTGCTTGGTTTCCGCCTCGATGAACTCTGCGGACTTGAGCTCGTCCTCAGACCCGCTGAGGAAGCTCTCCGTAATGATAGCCAGCATAATAGCCAGCGTATTTGTAGTTGTTACCAAATTTGCGCGGAGCTTCTTCCGCGCAGAGATGGGGAATATCAAAAATGAGACGGCGCCCGCGAATATGACGCCCATGATAACCATCTTCAAGACCTGGATGATCTTATTCAAGGATAGATCACCGCTCTGAACGGCGCCTTCTTTCGTCAAGACTGTGATAGTCGACAGCGCCGTGAGCGAGCAGGCCACATTCACCAGTGGATCTCCAAGTCTTTGCTTAGTCCACCCGACGAAGCCCAGGCCACCACCACAGAACACAATCAGCACCACGGCGTGACCCAGCGCAGGTAGATTCAGCGTGTCCTGGAAAAAGTTCTCGACCAGCATACTGGTAATCGACAAGAAGGCCGAGTAGAAAAACGCAAGCAGCGCGCAAATCAAGGCGCGGTACATGCTACCCTGGGATCTCGCCGGATGGAAGTAAACAGTCACCGTCGCGACCATATGTTTCCCATCCTGGTGACCCAGAAAAGCGGATAAAGCTGGGATAAACGTCGCCATAGACCCAAGCAGATAGGCTAGACTGCATTTCAAGACTCCAATGCCCTGCTCGGAGGCCACGAAGCGGTGCAAGCTTGCCCATAGCTCCTGTGCCTGTTTAGACAGCCACGTCCCATATCCATCATGGTGTGTCTCGATCTCGCCCGACAGCAGACCTCGTCGCTCCTCGCGCGCTTCATCATCTTCATCTATCGCCGTTGATCTTCGTGTGGGGTTACGCAAGCTCACGAGGCCCTTTAAGCGCTGACCGGTTCGTGGAAGGACAAAAGTTGCCTGTCGGAGCTGTAGTTGCAGTGTCAGCCATGACTGGAACCGGAAAACTGTGGTTGATCTCTCCACTACTCTGCCCTGCCCTGCGTGTTGATTACGGGGAGCTCGGATCGGGTACACACTTTGGGTCGCAACAAACGGCGGGAGCTACTGGGAGCTCCTCCAGTCTCAGACGGCGTCATTTGGGGCGGCTCTCCCGCATTTGCTTTGGAAACTGCTCGGGGTCGGGGTTCACGTTGGAGGAGGGTGCGACTTCATTGTGCAGAGCGCATGGGTACAGGAAGAAGGTCGCAGGGATGTTGCGATTGGAGATTGAAGTAGTCATTACACCGTTTCAAGTGCTTTTTTGTGGAGGTGCTGGCTCCAGCAGCTCCACACAAACTTGAACAATGCGCAGACTCGGGCCACATCCCTGTTGCGTTGGAACCACGCACCTTTTTTTGCTTTTGCTTTTGCTTTGTTTTCTCGTTTCTTATACTTTGTATGACTCGCTGATTACATTCTGCTCTTGATTATTGGATTGTTTATAAGTCAAGCCAAAGACCGCCAATATTCATTCAAGCTAGATATAAACACTCATACCATCCAGTGGCGACTCATTGCAGACCTTCTACCTTCCACACCTTCACAGCAGCATCAGCACCGGCAGATGCGATCTTCGAGCCACCGTCGATCCACGCCACACCATTGACACCTTCCTTGTGGGCATTCTTAACCTCCAGCCAGTCGCCAGGCTTGGCTAAGCTCCAGACAAAGATATTAGTGTCCAGCGAGCCACTGACAACGTGTGTACCAGCCTTGTTCCAGGCCAGCGAGGTGATACGCGCCGTGTGTGCAGTCCAGCGATCCGTGACGAGACTGCCATCGGCCACCTTGTAGACAAGAACACGGCCACGCAGATCTCCCACGGCCAGGACGGAAGCGTCCGGGGAGAAAGCCAGCGTGGAAATCTGGTTGCGCGAAGCTTGAATGTCGGTCTGGGCGGATAGGCTAGAGCCTGAAACCTTGCATATCTGCACAGCTCCATTCTCGCCGCCGATGGCTGCAACATCCCCGTGCGCAGCCACGGTAGTCACCGAGAACTTGGTCTTGAAGTCACCGGTCTTCTTGCCATCCTGGAAGATCTCGACCGCCTCTGCAGCACCGACCAGTACGGTTGAACCAGCGGCGGCAACGCCCTTGGGCTGCGCGGTGAGCTTCGACGAGGTGCCGGTGTAGGTCTTGGCAGCCACATCGATGGACCGGATTGTGTCGTCCCAGCCGACACTGTAAATACGTCCGGAGCCCTCCTTTGTGGAAGCCAGACCGGCAATGTATCCGGGGTGGCCCTCGCCCTCGATCTCTTCCGCGGAGCCAGAGGCAGCCTCCCAGCTGCAGACGCGACCCTCAAAGCTTCCAGTCCAGAGAGTCTCCTTGCTATCCGAAGTGGACTGGCCCAGAGAGGTGATACTCTTCTGGTGGCCCTGAATCACCTGTCGGGGCTTGGGGTTACCCTCGACAAGGTAGTTCAGATCGCCACTGAGAGACAAACTGATAAGCAGGTTGTCGCTGCGGCCAGGAGGCCAAACGACGCCAACCTGGTGGTCACGGACAGCGTTGGCACCCTCCTCGCCGAGAGTCCAGCTCTGTGTGGTCTTGCCCGCCTCAACATCCCAGATCTTGACCGTCCGGTCCGCGCTGGCAGTCACAAACTTGCGCGAGTCCTTGGACCATGACACGCTGAAGATGCTACCCTTGTGCTCACCCTCGCCAATCTGGCCCTTGGTCTCACCAGTCTTACCATCGTAGAGCCAGATCTTGCGGTCTGCACCCACACTGACCAAGTGCGAACCATCCGGGCTAAAGCCCACGCCGTAGATATAGTTGGTGTGCTTGTCACCAATGCCGGTGTTGAACTTGAAGGGTGCGCCGTGGTAGAAGACCAGCTTCTTATCGTCACCCGCGGCCGCAGCGCGGAGAGGCCTCTGCTGCCTGATCGAGACAGAGTTGATCTGTTGCGTGTGGCCGTAAATTTCACCGACGGTGTTTCCACTGTCCCAGGTAATGCAGTGTCCGTAGCGCTGCTTTCCGTCACCGACAGCAATGATGCGCTGAGAGTCACCGTCCCAAGCCAAGTCATTGATCCGGCCGTTGACAATGCTGTAGTCGCCCTTGGTAATACCCTCTCCAACACAGTCCCACACTCTCACAGTACCGGTAGCATCACCGCTAGCAACATAGAATCCAGAGGGGGAGAAGCGCGCGACGGTGGTCTGAGCCTTGTGTTCGGTGTACTGTCTAGCGATTGCGGGGTTGTCGATAGAGCGGATGAAGATGGATTTGTTCGACTGCAGGATTGAATTTGTCAGATATGTTTATAGAGATAAAACAATGGTATGAACAGGACTCGAGAGCCGTACAGCATATGCAAGTCGCTCACCCTTGGCGTCGGACGAGAGCTGGGTAGGTGCGCCGCGGGTGGTGGAGGGGCTGGCGGCCCAGATGGACTCTGTAGAGTATGTCAATGGGTTGTATAAGAAGATAGAGAGTGGGCGGGAAAGCCTATTTACCGTTTGTGATTGACATCTAGGAAATGCGACTCGGTGCTCGAGGAGAGAGGTGGGTTGGAGAGCGGATCAATGGCGGGGTGCGAGAGTTGTTTATGAACTGACGTACGCGGGCCAGGCAGCTCTGGCGGGGATCAGTTTCAGCTCCGTCACAGGCTCACGGCCCACTCGGTTGACATGTTGATCTTGGCTCAATATCCTCGAGAATTGAAGAGATAGATATTGGTCCTAAAATCTCTATTATACTATTTTTCTTCTTTTTTGTACTTATACCGGAGCCATTTGCGTCTTGCTGGTTTCCATTCAAGGCGTGCAGGACATGCATGTATATACCCTGAATGCAGGGCCACGCTAGGACTCTGAGGTATAGATGTCCAAGACCGCTCGAAAGGACCCGAGTTTTAAAAGTTGCTGCCTTGAACTCTACAGGCTTATTTGACGAGAAAGCACCTCACACTGGGATCTCATGTTGGTTAAAAGAATCAATTTTGCGCTGAGAGTAATAATACATGAAGATGCGCCCATCCAATGGGCCGCTAGTCTGTACAAGAATGCCATAACAGATCTCCCAAGGATCAAACCATAGAAAAAGAGAACACTCCATCTACCGGAAACCACCGTCCATCTTGGCCTTCATCTCTGCCGCAAGGATCTCGGGGTGTCGGTGGACAGAAGGCATGAGACCGAGGCCCATGGCCCGACGAATGGCCTTGGCAATCTTGCGCTGGTTGACGGGTCGCAGACCGGTTTGTTCACGGTGTCTGATACGACCGAGAGGGGAAACGTACTCGGACATGATTGAGAAGTTCTAGAATTGAACGAGGCACTGTTAGCGATGTGACCTCCCACTAGGAACAAGGGATTGCCAGGGCAGGAAAGAACAAAGTAGCCATTCTGTGTACAGGGCCAGAAAATAACCGCAATTACGTACCTTGTAAAGGTCCAATGGGTTCAGGTTCAGAGCATCAAAGGCGTCGCGCGAAGGGCTCTTGCGCTTGCCCCATTTCTTCATCTCGGCCGGGCTAAGATCGTGAGGAGCGTAGATGTCACCGGCCTTCCAGTCGCGGGTCTGGAACTTCTCCAGAGCTCGGCTTTCACCCTGGGCTTTCTGTTCCTCGAGGAATCGGAGGCGGTTTGGTAGGCGGCGACGGATCGGGGCTCTGGGGGCTATTGCGGGACAGTCAGTCAACACTCGATAGAAATATGGTCTACACGCTTGTCGTAAAGATGCAGGTGCTTTCAATCTGACGTACTCTGGTTGTGAGAAGAGGTGGCACGCTGGGAGGTGAAGGCGCTCATGGCTGCGGTCGAACTCGAACTCCAGCGGCAGGCTGAAGGCAGAGCATTGGCGACGCTGCGCAGCAGCGGTGAGGAAAATAGACTTTGAGACATGTTGGACTGCTTCCAATATCTGCAGTAATTGGAAGTTGTGGACTGTCTCGGGGGTATTGGACGTTGAGTAGCGAATGTCGAAGAGAGTCGAGGCCAGGATTAACGCGGAGCCGACAAGCGGATCTTTTTTCGCGGTGCCAAGACCGCCCTCCGCCTGTGCAGCTCCTCCGCGTCGCGAAACTCTACCAGCCTATACCACCAATTCCAGCTCCCCGACACCTTCAATCGACCGTGAATCGTTCAATCCGGTCTTCCAATCTAGTCAGTTGAGCGGCAGAGCTCGCTTGCGACAAGCCATGCAGTCCCATCTCACGAGACGGGTGTTCAGGGCACTCATCAATAACGAGCCGTTGTCTTTTTCAAGATGTCGACGAACCCAATTGCTACACACCATTTCCCCCACCCGAGTCCGATCCAGCATCGTTAGTCTTCCTCATGTACAACACCGAACCCTCTTTGCCTTCACCATGGACCCGAGAGCTGCCTCAGGGGAGGGACTACCGACGACCTTAGCCTCCGAGAAGGGCCTCAAGCCGATGACCGACCTGAAGCGATCCCTGGAGGATAAGAGCAGAGCTCCCCCGAATAATACATTGGTTAAAGCGTTTAAGCTGTTCTTTGAAACGCGAGTTGATTCTCCCGGAGTTATCAACTCCTTTCAGGCTCGGCTGTTGTCCATGACATGGAAGCACTTGAAGGCCCGGCAAGAAGAGTTGGACGATAATGACTGGCACAATGTCTTCTCGGTAGATAGTTTGGAACGGATCCTATTTGTGTTTTCCGAAGCCCAGTGTCTACCCGAGTCGCGTGAAACAGTCCTGAAGCTTGCTCGTTATGCCTACCTCGAGCTTTGTGCTGATCATGGGTTTGGTCCCAACTCGATTAGCCGGCCGGCGCTGTTGGTCTACATCGATCTTTTGGCTATGAATGGGAATCCAGAGGACGCCCGACAGGTCATTATCAACTTTGGAGGCCAGCTGCGCGGCGCAAAGCCATCTCCCTGGCTTACCGTTCTAAAAGGATTTGCCATGAAAGATGACCGGCGCCAGCTGCGGAAAATCACCCAGGAACTGGAGAAATACGGGGTCAAGTTCGATCAAGCTTCCCATGAGGAGCTCGTCGATATTCTCATCACACAGGATCTGTTCAAAGCTGTGCAGACTGTCTACGAGTGTCCCGTGGCTGGCAACGCCGAGGCGTCATTAGCTACTAAGAAGGCTGTGATCGAGTATGCAATTCTCAAGTCGGAGACGGCATGGGCAGCACCAATCTACCAGTCTATCCGTGAAGGTGCCACTCCTAGCTCGGAGACCGTCGGCGTTTCCTTGCTTTGGGAAGCGGCGCAGGGTGCCAGTGCATCTTCGCTAGGCGAAAAGGTCAAATTTTGGGCTGCAACAAACCCTCAGATCAAAGATGCACTGACGACTACGGATATCAATAACCTTCTTCGGTATGCCAATGTACAGGAGAACCCGCAATTAGCTAGTGCTTTCTTGAGCTTGGTAGAGCAGTTGGGACTTGCCCCCGATGAGCAGACACACCTGTTGCAGCTGGAGTCGGCCATCCAGGCTGGCGATGTCGAGGCCTCGCTTCAGATCTTGCAGAACCAGGTGGATCCTACTTCTCTTCCCAACGCCAATCTCACTCTTTCCAACCAACTCATCACGATGCTTTGCTCGTCAGAAAAGAAGGATGAACTGTTCCAACAGATCTCATCCCTCTTAGATCCACTATTCCAGGATGGTGTGCATTTGGAACCCACCACTGTCGCAGCATTGACTCGAATGCTCCTCTACCGTCACGACAACGAGGCTGTTTCCGAACTGCTTCGTCCACGATTGGCTACCTATGACAGCCAAGGGAAGACTCTGATTCGTACCGCCGTGACAGATTTCATCTTGGATCTCAACGAGAAGGACGCAGACGTGTGGGAAGTATATGAACTGTTCAAACTTGCATTCCCCGAGACGGGCGTCAGCGTGCGGACTGAAATCATGTCCACCTTCTTTGAGCGTAAGCGCAGTGATCTGGCAGTCCTCGTTTTCGGCCACATGCGCCAGGCAGAAGACCTGTCACGCCGGCCAAAGCCAGATACATATGCGCGATGCTTCCAGGGTCTCGCGCGGACTGCCGACGCGACCAACCTGGAGCTGGTGCACAACATGCTCAAGCTTGACCTGGAAGTGGAGCTTACCACTCGGGTCCTTAATGGCTTGATGCTGGCCTATGCTGCCTGCGAGATGCCCGAGAAGAGCATGAATATCTTCCGGCAGATCTTGCAATCAGACGAGGGACCGTCGACTAAGACGATCGCGCTGTTCTTCAAAGTTTGCGAGAAGCATCATAATGGAGTGCAAGAGGCAGTTAAAATGATGGGCAAGGTCAAGAAACTGGAGATTGAGGTTGACCGTCGGCTGTACTCGTCGTATATCGAAGCGCTGGCTGCGCAGTGCGAATTCGATCGGGTGACGGAGGCTATTAATAACATGCAAGCCGAAATTGGAGTTCCTCCCACGAGTACAACGTGAGTTTCCCCCTCATTGGCTTTGGCTCTCAATTTGGTTCATAGGGTAATTGCTAACCTTTTGTTCATAGGATCGGGCTGTTCTATAATGCCATCCCCTATCAGTACTGGAAGGACCAGGTTGAAGATTGGGCTCGCCAGGCGTACCCCGAGCTCTGGGAGCACCTGGCAAAGACGGAGCGCAGTGAACATGAAGAAGGGCAGAAGTTTGACGGCATCTCGAATGAGGTCTGGGTGTAGAAACTCACGGAGCTTTGCTCAGGGGATTGTATTTACCTTTCTTGTATATATGTGTCATCTATTTCCAAAATGTACATTACGAATATTCTTCATCTGCCCTGCATCCGGTCACAGTCTGTGAAGAAAGAGTTGATATCTTTTCTCTATATCGGGGTACTAAAACAGCATAGTTCGCGTCGGGTTAGTACGGCGCCTCTCGACTAGCGTAGCCACTATTACACGCTGAATCGAACCTGGGTTTCCAGATATAAGACATCGTAGCCCCAAGAAATGCTTGCAAAATCCTTATTCATTTCTATAAAAGCCATTTTCGGATTTCTTTCCTTTCTAAATTGAATCGACCGACAAGCGATGCCAACGTCTCGATTCAACCCAGAGCTTGCAGCCGAGCGCCATAACAAGATCCTCGAGCTTGGATGGATCGGATCCGGACGAGAACTCAATTCACTCCCTTCGACGACATGGTGGGAGCACTTTTCTCCAATCTCATTCGACCTGGCATGTCGTTTAAAGCCCAAACTCATCCGGTTCCTACGATCGGCCAAAGTCGGTATCTATGATGACCAGAAGTTTCATCTTTTCTTTCATGTCAGGGGCCTTTTCCATAAGGACTGGCTCTTTCTCTCGGAAGACGGCTGGATGTGTGACTTGCCGCGTGATCGTTATATCTCGCTATATTACTCTTCAGGCTCGCACAGTGATGAGGAAGTCGGTATCGTGTAAGCGTCCTCGCGTTCATCCTGTTCATGTTCCGGTAGTCGGGGCTAATGAATTTGAAGATTCGACCAAGAGACTGAATTAGTCTCTTTCATTCCGCTATGGGATTACCTTTACACGAGTACCAAAGGAGATTGGCCGTGGATACCCTTGCAAGATATCTTCCAGGCCTATCTGGACATGATCCAGGATAAGAAAGTTACGACCTATTCGGATATTGATGGCGAAACCACGAGGTGGTTATGTCAAAAATTTCCCTGGGAGATTCATCAACACACTTCCATAGATGTTGAGAGGGCTATAAGTGCGTTCACTCGTCTACTCGATGCTATCGAATGTCGGCTCCCTCAAAAGTCGCAGCGCGCTCCATCTTCGCAGCTCCGTGAGAATTCAGAACAACATACGGAAGCCCAGAGCGATCAACAGATATATTTCCCATACACGGACTCGGTACTAGATAACTCATTTGTACGAGACAACTCTTTCGCGCGAGCGTTTCTGTCTACGCTTCCTGCCCGCCATGTCAGCTTCCGTTGCATCGCCCCGGGAATACAGATCCAAAGCCCAACAGAGTTCATGAGCCAACCTTTCGCCGATCGTCGGGACAATTATGACCGACAGTTCTACCGGAGAGATGAAAATCCACCGTCCATCCCTCTCCTTCTATTAAGAGGTAAAGGGGAGAACAAGTCGCCCTGGGTTCGGCCGTGGTTTCCAGACGGAATTGTCGAGGATATATCTAGCGGGTTATACATCGAACCTCCTGAGGATTGGCGGCCAGAAGATTCAGGGAATGAGACTCGATTACTGCTGCCGTTTGCGATTGGCAAGAATAAGTTTGCACGGAGTTCTGAAGGGCGTTTTATCGGGAGGTGGGGATCAGGAAATGACACTGATGGCCTTTATAGAGTATCTTTTGCTAGTGGCATCATGCCGTTGGACTCATTTAGTTCGCATATTCATAGGGTATTGTTGAATTGGGCCGAGCGGGTTAAAAATGGGGACTGGGAGGTGAATGAGGACGGTGTTGCTGCTGGGATTGAGAAGTTCAAGGACGCTGATACTCAGGAGCACTGGAAGAAGTACCACATACCCTGGCCGGCTTGATTGAGCAACACGCAAGTATTCCTGTTACAATACTGAAAAATTTTCCAACGCGTACAGATTGTGGTATATTGACCTGAGTGCTATCGTCATCCTGATACTACATGTAAACCACTTCGAAATCCCAAGTCTGCGACTTTAAGTCGAGCCAGAGTTGTCAGCACAACTCCAGGCCGCAGTTCCTCCTGCCTCCCGATATGAATCAACGATACTAACGACCGACCCGTAAGTACCAGCTATAACCAAAAAGGTACCAGAAACAATGACGAATATGCACCATGCAACCATCAAACGCCACTTCAACGTCTGCTCCTGCTTGCCCTTGGTCCAGTTATCATACAGCCACATGAAACCCATAGGCTGGAAGCAGAGCACGGTTCCTAATAGAGCGCCGACCAGAGACACAAGGCCACCGAAGACTGGGATACCACTTGCAATAATATAAGCAGTCAGGGTGACACCGAACGTGCAACATAGCCATGTAATCCAGTGGGTGGCCGAGTTTGAGGTCAAGTGGCTAGAACCACGCAGAATACGGACAAAAACGTATTTGCTTGGGATCTATTTATGGATTAGCACGAGACATGGCCAAACAGAACGGATTTCCTTACGTGTGTCAACAGGATGGCGGTCACTAGTAGACCGGGAAGTGCAATTCCGTATGCCACCTTCTTCACAACGGGGCCAGCAGAGCCCAGGGCGGGCGAAGAGACGTAGGATCCACAATAGTAGTAGACGACTATGCCGACAACGATGTAGGCGGTACTAATGACTGTCTGGCAGATTACCAGTGCTTTCGTGTACTGTCGAGGGTCACGCATCTCCGATGCAATCGAGAAAAAGGCGGGTGTGCCTGCATATGCAAAAACGAGGGAAGAGACTGCAGAAGCGGCATCTGAAAAACTGGGGTTGTTGAAAAGCTTGTAGTCCGACTTCCATACGCCTTGCTGGGGTGCTGCGCTGGGTCGATCTTGAATTCCCACGGCGATTGTAACCGTGAAGACTGTAGTGTGTTAGGAGTGATCTCTGAAAAGTTTCATGAGGAAGACTCACCTGCAATAATGATGCAGATTGCACCGATCCATGCCAGCCATGAGATACGTCCCAAGGTACGGATACTCGAGAAGACGAATGTGATGATTGCAGCGATGGCAACGAAGATAGCAGTGCAAATCGCGTGCATGGAAAGGGCATTCAGGGCAATGGACACACTTAGCATCGCCGAGCCTGAGCAGAATGTGAAGACTAGAAGATGGTCAGAATCCATCACTTTGAAAAAGACAAAGTTATAAAGAGCCGGAGGGTTCTCTTACAGAGGGTAAAAGCAGCTCCGAAGAATTCACGACCAAAACGACCAAACAGCAGCTCTCCAACATCATCAATACCATATATCTCGCGATGGTTGACTTTGAAAACACCGACGATATAGTTCGACCAAGTTGTGATACCTCCGACTGTGATAAGGATGATGATTCCTGGGATCAGACCCAGAGTATCGAAAACCGAAGGTATAGAAAGGACACCGAGACCGATCTGTGTTTTGATCATCAGGATAGCAGTTCCCAACCATCCAACCTTGAAAGACGTTAGCATATTGACAAGGACTTCAGAGGTATGGAATACTCACATTGCGGTAGTTTGGCCCATCCTCAGTGATATCACCGAACACTGCGTCGTGTTGGACATCCTTAGAGATATCGTCCACTTCGCCAGCCTCCACGGGCAATGGGGCGATATTCATAGACTCGTCAAAAGACTTGGTTTTTGACATTTTGAATGCATAAGATGAAGTGACAAGGATGTATTGGAATTGATGGGAATCAGATCGCTGAGAAAGAGAGAAATGGTCTCCTTTATAAGCTGGGTCTGGCACGATATGCCTATCCGAATCCTGGAGAAGCGACTCCACTCTCCCCGGAAAGATCCACCTAAAAGACACTATCTGTATCGGCGGACCTACCTTAAAGGGCCCATAAGCAAGATATGGGGAGGCAAATTCGCTCTAATGTGCACTATCTTGACTTTGGTTAGAATATAAAATAAACTTTTCCATATCCGTTTTGCGGGGAAACGCATGCCATGGGTGCTTTCTCGCCAAAACATTACCGCCCGTGGAAAATCCTAACTTTGTGCCTCTTTTTTTGTACAATAGTTTACAAGATGGAAGATCCCTCGCAAAGAGACAAAGATACATTGACTGACATGTATCTGATAGCATATCTAGCTAGCAACCCACTAATCAACCAGCACCCCACCCAGAAGTCATCATCGTGCGGTTATCATCAAGATGGCTATCTCATAAGAGCGTCAAGATGCGGAACTAGGCCGCGCAGGAAAGTAACCAAGTTAGAGTAGCTGATAGCATATCATATCTTGGGGAAACTCAAATCAATAGAATTACCTCCAGCTTGAGATAAGGTGGTGGAATTAATAGTGAGATTAATCGCTGATAGACTCAACGAGAGCAGATGAACTAGGCAAGTCAATGATTTAGGAAAGTGTCCGCCATATGACAGGTACGTAAGCTTTCCCGAAGCCCCGCATCATTGCATGACTAGCGATTAGGAAGGACTTGACGGATGCTTGTCCAATTAAGGATGGAATGATCATTTTGTGATAAGAGATTGGAAGGGAGGGTATATGAAACAGGTAACCATTTACGGGGAATAGCTTGCCTAATACAAAATCCACTATCTTGACTGGAAACAGATAGTCTACATTATCTGGCTTTGCGCCCCAAAAAGCTTAAACGGAAGAGGAAACTAATGCCCAACACCGTTTCGGAGTTTAGAACTTTGACGATTATAGGCCGGTGACATTTCTCATGTTCAGAGTACAGTAGATACGATACACACTAGCATTAATGTCGAACGACTGATGACTACTTTACATATCTCACAAATCTCAAGTTGAGAAATGAAGGCATGGTGTTACCTTCTAAATGGAATGTATTGCCGCACAGGGATTGCAAGGGGCTGAGTGGCGCAACAAAGTTTATGGTCTAGATCCCGCGTGTCACCCAAGGATGGAAACATGGGTATTTGAGGTAGGCAATTCCACGGGAGACCAGGATTGGGTGGCAAAAGACTGGCGGTGGAATATTCTTTATGTTAGGACCTAGGCCTCGTCCACCTAGGTCTAACGTTGTGCGCTATTTAAGTATATCAGTCCCGGGCATGCTAGAACGCTATGTTCTCGCATATTTGGTCTTTTTATCCTGTTCGGTTAGTGTGTCCGTGTACGTGCCGTAATAGTTCAAGTTGGCTATCTTATAGTCATTGGAACGAAAGATAAGATGACTCTAAATGAATGCAATTCGCAATAGTATAAAAGCAGAAACTGCCATTACGACGTATGTTCTATACTACAGATAGGCAACAGGAGGGATTGTTCACATTAATACAATTTATCTACGAAAATTTGAATTTTTAGTCACTTTCTCATCCGACTCCTGCCCCGGCGCTGAGAAGAAGAAGAAGCGAGCACATCTTTACCTAGCCCCTAGCCAAAACGCCTCTTCCGAATCCTAGCAGGTATCTTGCCTTTAGGATGCATAACACCAAACATAAAGTACCCCAAATCAGGCTGAATCCCAGATTTTTCATCAACCAATAACTCGATATCAAATGCCGTCAGGAACATCGCCATCGTCACGATCATCTCCTTCTTCGCAAAATGCCGACCGGGACACATTCGCGTGCCTCCACCGTAGGGAATCCAAGATCCTGCCGTGCCGTCGAGGGTGAAAGTTGGTTCTGAGATTTTCGCGTTTTGCGTATTCTTTGGTTGTTGTTGGGCAATGCTTCGTAGAACGGGGCCACTATTGTCGTTATCCGGGTACACGATGAATCGTTCTGGCCAGAACTCTTCCACAGAGTGTGGGTTGTCATTGGAGCCTTGGTTCCAGACGTATTGGTCGCGCGCAGTGTCGTAAGTGGATACGATGATTTGCTCGTCCTTCTTGAAGTGCCACCCATCAATATGGAAATCGTTAGAGGTAGGGACTCGGTTGATGACAGTGCCAGAGCGGAGACGCAAAACTTCGGCGTAGATAGATTGGAGGAGGGGACGACTGCAGAGATTGGGAATGTCGACGACCATCTGGCTTTGATCCGATGAATCCCAGGATACGTAGGGAGCGACCTCTTCGCGAACTCTCTGTAAAAGTTCCGGACGTTGGAGAACCTCCAGCAGCATCCAGCCAATTGCGGGGACGGTATTTGCGGTCGCACTGTTAATGTATTAGCCCAAGTTCTCGAATAATATAAGGCAGAAGCAGCATTCTTACGCCCAGATCAATCCAAGGTCATCCGCGGCAATGGTCTCTTTGCTCAACGGCATTTTCTGGAAGAATTCATGTCTCGTCCTCATCAGCCGAGATCCGAAATACTCCTCCCATTCCCTCTTATCCTGCTGGCCCTGTTTGACGTCGTATCGCTCATGGGCAAATGTCTGCCACTTGTGCAGATGATCCTTCATCTTATCCCTAGCCGCGTACGACGACGGTGCAAGCCACCGCGGCATTTCCTTGAACAAATCCGGGAGCGCACTATCGAATGTCCAAAAGTCTTTATCGAAAGTTGGGATGACCTCAAAAACATTCGGTCCACAGAGTGACACGACGGCTGCTTTGAAGGCAACAGTACGAAACAATGAGCCGTACAGATCAGGAATTTCAGTCCACGAGTCAGATTGGAAGTCCGTTTGATGAATCTGGGAGGATAGATTTCGCACCAGCTGTCTCTCCATCTCCTCAAGGCTCACTCCACTCAACCCAGAGTGAACAGACTTGAATACCAAATGGAAGATGCGATGCTCTGGATTCGTCATGTTACTCCTGGGATCAGGTTGATTGGCAATACCGGTGTCATCGGCTAGATAGAAGGGTGCATCGGCAACCTCCACGCCAAAGGCATTGACCAAGACCTGCACAAGCCAGTGCTCGCTACTCAAATCCCTTGAGCTTTTGAAAAGGGAAGTAACGGCATCGGCACCCTTGAGCAGGCTCATATGCCGGTTAAGGAGTTGAATCCGGACTGGAGTCGATGGCCCATATTCAGCACTGCACTTACATTAGCACATTGAGTTCCTTGAATATCTGCGACGACATCAAACTTACGTAGCCCTTGCTAGAAATTTCAACGTGTCCTTTAAGAATTCAGGAAGATGTCCAAGTAATGGAATAGTATACGGAAGTTTTGGCGGTCGGCTTCCATGGTGTTTGTTGCGAACCGTGAGGGCACCTTGGATTGTCGAGAGTAAATAGGTCAACGCAGTGATGCCTATCAAAGTCCCAATCACAGCGACTAAGCCATTAGGTGCTAATTGGAAGTCTCCAAATCGGCTGTTGATGGTAGGTAGATCCAGGGTAACCATTTTGAGTGGATCAGGCGATGCCAGTTCCGGCTGCGAGTGGGCCACTTGGCAATTCTCTGGTGGCGGGCAAAACAGCTCAAAGAAGAGGAAAGATAGCCCTAAGCTGCATCAAAGAGGCAGGAAGAATGCCAGAATCGACAGTCCAATGTTCGACCTCACATAGGTTAGCCGTGATAATCTGGTTAGGGCAGGTAGGGGCGGTGGAGGGGGAAAAGGAGGAGGCTCAGCTGAGGAATATGACGCTAACCCCAAAATGGCAAAAGCTGATCCATAAGCTTTTGTGTTGACAAAAGTACCGAAATACAGTAGGATAGGTAGACAAAAAGGGGCAGGAAATACTGTTAGTATTATTAGCTCTAGTATTTTAAAGCTACCAGTTAATGTAATGGTTTTTTTAATCTAATATGGTGGATGATCAAATGGAAATCGTAACATATTATATCATCTAGTCTATATAAGGTCATCAAAAGCGTCAGACCCCATCAAGCTGGTCTTTCACCAGGAAAGCTCTACACTGATAGTAATCGCAAGAAGCATCCTTCCCTTCCACATAACACAACATAAAATCCCACAATCTACTCATTCTCCCGAACATCAATAACAGTACCCTTAAACTTCCTCGCAGGAACCTTCCGGTTAAACAAAATATCCGCCTCACGATACGACCGATCCTTCAACTCGGGCAAGAAGAAGTAAGCCATAACCCAACAGACGACGGCCGTACCACCCCAAACATAACCACACTTGCCCGCCATATTCCAGCCGGTACCATTCAGCATCTGCGAAGCGAGATAAATCATCGGAATCTCAGCAACGTAGTACGCAGCACGACCAACACCAGTACTAAGCGCACGCAACCGCACGGAACTAGTCTCGGAAATAATCGTGTAGGAGATAGGGCCTAGACTGCCGGCGAAAACGAAGGAGATGATTATGCCCAGGATGGCTTGGGCGTAGTTTGTAGCGTTGTTTTGGGGGATAGAGGCGATTATGCCGAGGAGGAAGAGGAAGGTGATGTTTGTGGCTGTGCCCCAGAGGTAGATTGTGCGGCGGCCGAAGTAGGGGGTTAGGAACCAGGAGAGGGCGTTGGCGACGAATTGGAGGCAGGAGTTGATGAGGTTTAGTTGGAAGGATTTGTCGGGGGAGATTCCGGCTTCTGGAGGGGTGTTAGGCTTTGTTCTCAGGGGATTGGTATTTGATATCAATATCACCAGGTGGGGAAAGGGGACTCACGCTCGAAGAAGAATGTAGATTGGTTGGCGATCAAGTTGCCGGCAAAGTTTTGCGATGCGTAGATGAGACATGTAATCGTTGTACGGCGGAGATCAGTGCCCTTGAACAGCTCCAGGAGAGATGGAGAACCGCCCATCTGGGCTTCGATCTGGACGGTACGCTCCATCATGGCTAAAGACTGTTGCGCGGTCTCGGCGTTACCGTCACCAAGACGCTCAATGCTGCGGAGAGCTTCTGCCTTGCGTCCACGGCGGATGAGCCACCAAGGGGACTCGGGAGCGAGGAAAAGGAGGATCATGAGGGGGGTCTATAGCGGTATTAGTATAACGATGAGGATACTGGTCATCGCTGAGTCTAGAAAAGACTTATCGAAATGAAAATATCAAGATATTACTTACGGGGAAGATCCACTGCAGAGCAAGGGGAACACGCCAGGCCCATTCATCGTTACGCTTGTTGTATCCATAAGTAGCGGCTGCGACGATAATCGAACCAATGGACCACGACATTTGCAGAGTGGCCGTGCAAGCACCTCTCAGAGAGAGAGGAACAATCTCACTAGCGTAGGCAGGGGCATTGGCAATGAAGAAGCCCCATGGCACACCTTCAAGTGCTTGGCCCACGACCAGGAGTGTGAGAGAGTCAGCCTGGAAGAAAGAAGAGCGAATGATTAGTCGGAGTTCTATCTGCAAAATAAACCTCAATGATGATCATATTTTGACCAATTGGAATTAGACTCCCAGATTCTGAAGGTTGGGAACACCCACAAAGAAAGAAATGAAAATAGTAGCATTCATCAGGACCAAAGCCAAAATGGTAGTCCAGCGGTATCCGAGTCTGTTGGTGACGGGGCCAGCGGCGAAGACACCGACGAAAGCACCGCATTGACCAGATTGGAAGAGGGCACTTTGCCAGCGAGTGGGAATGACATAGCCATCGCCATGGGGAACACCGAATTTTCTCTGGAAAGCGCCTAGGGCGACGAAATTTCCGTTCAAGAACATGTCGAATGATTCCATGACCTGGGGGTATTGTTAGTTATGATAGGCCTTGTAGGAGAAATATACAAAGGTAGAAATGCAAATATAGATCTGGGGAAGCCCAGAGAAAAAGTCCAACCAGCGATAGACCATAACTCACAATAGTAAAACACATTGTAAACGCCCACAAACAAGCCCAAGGATGTTTCTTAGCCGCCTCCCACGCACCCATCTCATGCTCCTTATTCTCACCCGCAAAGGCATCATTCAAAAGATCCGCATCATCAAGGACTTTCTCCGTCTGTTGGAACTCGACCTTCTCAACCTCATGGTCAGAAGACGAGTCCACAGGCGTTGACTGTTTATCGCCTGAAACGGACATGGTGGATACTTTGTCTCTTTCTTCTCTTCACTGACACGTCGGGAGGAGTCAATGATGAAAGGGAAGAGGAGATGGAGAAAAGAAGAACGGAGGGAAAGACCGGATGGAGCAAGAGGGCGGGGAATGGCTTTTATATACAGTATTCGTTTTTATCGTTCTTGTTCTTTTACGGAATAGTTTGAGGGAAGTTGGAAGCTGGGCGAGATCCACGGATGCGGATCTGGGGCAAAGGAAGTTTGGGGAATAGCGTTGGGAATATCTGGTACTATCGCGGGGGGGGGGGGCCTGTGATACGTGGACTAAATGGATGAAATAGAATAAATTAAAACAATTAAAACAATTAACACAGCTCAGAGGCACTCCTCCGTAGAATAGTCCATAGAAGGAATAGGAAGTGGTCCTCTGTACATAGTGACTCCAGAAGAGAACTGCCTATTGGACTCCCAAATTAGTCTCAAGTCGTAGGATCCAACGGGATGGCAAGCAGGGATACCACCCTGGGTTCGCTTCACGGTTATAATAGACCATTCAATTACCCGAAGCCGAAAGTTAAGAGAACAACTCCATCTTGAGTACGAATTACGGGGCAGTTAGTAGTAAAAATAGCCAACAGAATCGCAGAAAGTACAGCAAAACTTACACAAGACTAAACAAAAACCCTGGTTTAATCAAGCGCCTCACCAACGCCAAACGCTACTTCAAGCCGAGAACGGGCGGGCTGCGATAAAACTACCCAATTGGCCTGGAAATGCAGATGCGAGAGCCTGGCACCAGACTAAGCGGGCCAAGCTAGGGCTTACAAGGCTTAGCTGGGTCCGCATTTGGGTTAGTCTCGATGGGCCCTGAACGCCCTCGAGAGCTTGGCCAATCCCGAGCGAATAGAAGGATCCTGCATGAGAATGGACGGACAGGGATGTCGGAATGGTGGCGTTCGGGTTGGCCGCAAAAAGAAAAGGTTCTCGGGAGGGAATCAAAACTGGAGGATTGAGAGGCCGAGAGAAAGAGCGATGGAACGTTTGATTCGGGATTGAGAGATTTAAATGTTGGACATCCTTGTTAAGGGGATTGAGTCTTGACTTAGGATGGGACACCGGTATGGAGAATTGATTTGTTATGGGTAAGGATCCGCTCGGTGACCCTCCTCCACTGGAGAATCTCCATGCCTGGGTCGTGAAAAGAATGGAGAGGCGGGGATCCCCGGAAAGTTGAAACTGGGAGTTGAACAATGGGAAAACCTGTAGAAGGCCGTTAGTGCTTATTTCACGATCAGCCCATTGCTATAATACTTCAGCGATCATTTCTCGATGCAAAGCAGTCCAACTCACCAAACCATCCTCAACCCCGACAAATACAACCCGAACCGAGAAAGATACAGGGTAACAAGGGTCACACGGCCTCCTTAAACCGAGGGAAAGAAAGCCATTCCCGAGTCACTCCGCGAATAACAACCACGGAGTTTGCCACTCCCACTATGCCCAGCCGGGCCAAAAGAGGGTCTGTCTGAGCCGATTTTGGCTCAAACAAGGTCGGCCATCCGAACATTCAGCCCAATCAACCGAAAGGGCCCGCGCCGGTGGGACCAGGAACCCCGAGTCACCGACCGAGACAAACGGTGTTTTCTTGATCGGGTTTGTTTCGCCGTGGTTGGTGGGAAATACGAAGCGGGGACGGGGTATCTTCCCCATGGGCCGATGTTCGGTTAGGTGTCTGTCATTGAATTAGCATCCACTCTGAAGGGGGAGAAGAGGAGAGATGGTAGGCAAAGGGAATGGCCATGCGAGGGTGGAGTCCTGTGCGCGATTTAACCCTGATGGGTAGAGAATGATGGTGAATCCATCTCGGGAGAGGGCAAGAGGTGAGGAGTTTACTGACAAGCCAAGAAATGACTCTATACCCACAAGAAATGAGGAAGTATGGACTTTGTGGGCCTGGATTATTAGCTCATAAACAACTAATCGATGACTTATCAATGGCTACGGCACCTAGTTATTGGTACCTCTGTCGTTTTGATCGACTACGGCTTTCTATCCAATCGTACTAATCGAGTTAGAGAAGCTCTGAAACACCCATGGCAGAAAATTAATTCAAATAACTAACGAGACAAAATTCGAACATACTACAGCTCAAACGCTGTTCTAGGCCGCACTTTCAGTCCAGCCTTGCGATACGTCTCATCAACAGCCTCCATCTGCTTGATACTATCCTCACCATCAACCCAAACCCCCGACCCCTCCCGTCCCTTAACCTTATTAACAAACTCATGAAGCTGATAAAGATAACTAGTCCACCATTCCTGCTCGATACCAGCTCTTGCATCACCAACCGGCCACTTGTACGCTTTCTCCCGCTTAGACTCCTTCCACGTCTTGACAACCTGCTCGCCGCGTCGAATCACATGCGCATCCTCCACGTCAACCCGATGGTAAATGCTAGGCAAAAGGTGGTTCCAAATAACCACATTCCGCTGCACAGTATGCGTCTGGCCCTCCGAGTCCTCCACGACTCGTTCTTCCAGCGCAACCTCGCATTTCGGCCACCCCAGTCGCGGGAGGTTCTTCGTCCATGAACTCGGCAGGAGTGGCCACCCACCAGACGCAGATAGATCGGCGACAAGACTCCCCGTCGCGCCATCGGCCGTCCTATACCGCGCCGTCATCGCCTGATCGACTTGATCAGCCTCTACAAGGCCAGCCGGGGGAGACATCAGACCCCGATATTTCGCCTCAAGCACTTCGCTCGGCTCCTGCCTAAAGATCTGCCGGAGACAACTCATCGTATACGTCCCAAAGTCGATCATCGCACCCCCGGCAAGATCGAAGCGCCAGCGAATATCATTATCCGGGATCGCGCCCTTGGGCAGGTACTGCTGGACAAACGCGTTTTTAACCCGTCCCATGGCTGGATCGTGAATGCGTGCTAGGAAGGTCTGCCATACGGGGTGGAAGCGGTAGTGGAATGCTTCTAGGAGGATTGGTGCGTTGGGGGCTTTGAGGAGGGGGTGGGTGAATAGGGCGCGGGCTTCTTCGGCGTTTGAGCAGGAGGGTTTTTCTAGGAGGACGTGTTTGCCGGCGCGGAGGGAGCGGAGGGCCCATTCGTAGTGGAGGTTATTTGGGAGGGCGATGTAGATTGCGTCGATGGAGGGGTCTTGTAGGAGGTCTAGTGTATTTTGCATTAGGTTTGTTCTTATATGTTTCTCGGTAGCAATGAGTGACATTGGGGTCCTTGATACCTTCGTAAGTGGAATGGACGATGGGGATATTGTGTTTCTTTGCATATGCCTCGGCGCGTGTACGGTCTCTGGCTGCCACTGCGGCGATTATAACCTCTGAGTGTGCCTTTGCGGGAGCAATCAATGCAATAGGCCTGTATTGATGTCAGTATCGTTGGAATAGGGAAGAGAATAGGTATAGACATGGGCATAATTACGCGATGCTGGAAGCGCCGAGGAGTCCAAACCGAATAGCATCATCCCGCTTCTTAACTGGCGGGGGACTAACAAAGCCCGCATAAATCCGGTATAACGCGCCGAAACCCATCACGAAGCGTCCTCAAGATTCCGTCCTCGTGTATGTCTTCGCTTGACGGGTCTATCCTAGCTACAATATCCACCTATTTATCAAATGCACAACCGCAAAATATCGGCAAACGGATTTTCGAAGATAGAAAAAACACAAAATTAACGACCTACAGAGTTATTACGTCTTTAATTCACGCCACGCCGCAAATGGAATCCTTTGTGAAGCCATCTCTGGGTCGACATCCGGAAACGGTTTAGACGCGGGAAGTCTATTTGTCCGCGGCCCTCTCGAGATATCCTCGCAAGCTTCACGACGGGGATGCAATTCCACCGATGGCGTGAGGGCTTCAATTTTTCTTTGTTATATTGGTTTCTAGGAAATGAAGAGTTGTATGTGCTTCACTAGGAGCGAGGCTAAGGGCGAGCGTTTAGCCGGCTGAATATGCTCCTATCTTGGCCACTTGTACATGTATTAGGATAGCCTTTTAACGGGCTGTTTCTCGTCTACTTTGAATTCTTCAGACGAACGAAAAAAACTCACTCACTCTCTTCTCCCACTTGTTATACCCTTCTCTTGATATATCAAAATGCGCGTCCTAGTCCTCGGAGCAATAGGCAATCTAGGCTCCCGCCTCCTCACCACTCTAGCACAAAGAGGCCACACCGTCGTCGCATTCGCAAGGACCCCCTCAAAACTCACCCCTAACGCAAATCAACAATCCCTCCTAATAGAAAAAGGAGACGCAACCAAAGCCGCCGATATCAAAGACGCCGCGACTCGCCACAACTGCGATGCAATCATCAACGCTGCAGGTCATGCTGCAATGGCACCCTGGCGTACGAGTGACTTCCCAGCCATCGTGAACGCGGTTATCCAGGCTGCACTGGAACTTGGAAGAGAGCGTGGTACGTCGATGAGGGTGTGGTTTCTTGGTGGCGTGGGTATTTTGGATGTACCCACGAGAAAGAAGATGATTGTGGAGTAGTACGTATATCTCGTTTTACCCTACGGGTTGAGTGGTATAGAAAATATTGACTAGGGGAATATAGTATGCCTATGTTTAAAGAACATGCCTCTACATGGGCCAAGCTCCGAGCCCTCCCTCCCTCCGCTATTGCATGGTCGATCCTGTGTCCGGGGATGATGGTCCCTCTCACCAAGAACAAAGACTCTACTCTTCCCGAGTCCTCCACCGAGAATATCTCAGCTGAGAAAACCGTTGCACCCGAGTGGTCGGCGAAATTCCTTCGAATCCCGTTTATCGGGCCGTATCTCAATATCATGAGTCAGATTTCGGCTTATACGACGAGTTATGAGGATAATGCGGATTTTATAGCGAGGGATCTTTGTATGGGGATTGATAGTGAATGGGTGTTGCAGAAGGTTGGCGTTAAGAGGAGATAGGGATTTGTATAGGAGAGGTTGGATTGTATGTTTATTCTAGGCGTATAATTTTATAAATTGTTCCTGATTGCTGGTATCGAGATGTTTGCGTAATTTATAGGAAGAATGCTTTGGGGTTCTTAATGATTTGTGAACGGCCCGTAAAGATTGAAAGTGAACAGTTCGTCTTATCTTGCAAGATAGCCCCCTTGGATCAGTCCCGGTCCTTTCTTGTCTAAGTGTTAGGGAAGCTGGCTTTCAAGTGAGGGATATGGATACCTTCTACCAAAATGATCAGCCCTTGGAAACCCTTGAATTTCCTGCGGTGGTATGCACTAACCTCAACTATGACCCCGTAGGTAGTTGTACTATATAATGTGGTTACTTAGAGAAGGTAGAGATATCGATGATGTAACGGCATAACAGCCAGCTTCCGTAAACAAAAATAAATGCAAACGCTAATCCCAAAACCAGATCCAAACCAGATCCGAAACCAAATTCCTAAATGCAAGCTGAAACGAACAGCCACAGGAAAAAGAAACATGCACATGCACATGCAATATATACAACACGAGGTACAAGCACGAGCATCCCTCATGCAAGTCTCTCCACCTCCAATCCTCCTCTTATAAACTGAAAATTCCACTCCTCTTCTTGCCATGCGGATAAACAATCAACGCACTAACAAACAACCCCACCGAAATACCAATTGCAGTCTGAATCATTCCATAGCCCAATCCGAGTAGACTACTACTACTCGACCCACTAGTCGTACTACTAATATTCCCACTCTTAACCGCCTCCGCATACTCCAATCCACTCAGGATAGACCCAGAACTGGCCAGTCCGGAGGGCACGAGCGTGAAAATACCCGGGATAATAGCGGCGGCGGCATGGCCGTGCCAGATCCGCGAGTACAAGTTTGCCAGGATACCGATTGTAAAAGCGCCGACGGTGTTGGCGACTTGATTCGAGCCCAGCTTTTTTGTGGAGAAGTAATTCGTGACGTAGCCGCATACACCCATTATGACTGTTACGGGGAGTTGTTTTGGTTTTGCTTGGTTGATGAGCGCGGCGAAGAGGCAGAATAGAGCGACGAAGGGGAAGTGTTGGATATATTCGTTGCCCCAGGTGGAAGTTGCGTTTGAACAGGTTGATTCCGTGGTGGCGTTGTTATCCATTAGTCCGTAGATGGTTGTTCCGACTGTGACGCCGTAGCCGAGGAAGAGGGAGTAGATAAGGGTGAAGACCATTCGGATGGAGCCGGCGTTCATTTGGTGGCTTTGGAGTTCGAGAGAGGAGGAGAGGACGGCGAATCCCGGGAGGATCATTGCGATGGAGGATTCGGCCATTGCGGCGAAGCAGAAGACGCGTTCGCCGTTGTGGGTGATGCTGCCGAAGGCGCGGGCGAGGAAGGAGGTTAGAATTGCGGCGGAGACTTCGAGCACGTTGGAGTAGGTTGCTGAGGAGGGGGCTAGGACGTGTTGCATGAATCCAACTAGACAGCCTAGCACGAAGATGATGGGGAGGTCGATGGGTCGTGCGGAGAAGGAGTATGGTCCTACTGTGACGCTGGCGAGACCAGTGAGGAGGATGAGCATCCACCGGTTGTAACGTGGTTTGCGCTGCATGATCGTGTCGAGTTGGCTTGTTGCGTCGTCCACGCTGATAACGTCGTGTACCACGTTTTTATACACGTTGTGCGTTTCCGCTAGTCGGGATAGATCCAAGCCTTGCACGACACGGATAATTTTGACCTCGGCCGTACGGGTCAGTGGGTCATCGAAGGACATGAACATGCAGCCCGGAATATACAGGAATTGCGCCTTGACCTCGAGCACGTTGGAGGTCATCATCATGTATTCCTCGAGACGGTGGGTGGGCGCACCGTATTTCATCAGCGCGCGACACAATTGCATGATATACTGCTGGCGTGCGAGTAGTGCAGCAATGTGTACGGTCAGCTTGACATCCTTGGCACTCTTCCTCTTCTGCTTGCGTCGTTCTTTGGCATTCATTGGCGCGGGACCTTCAGCGCCGGGGACACCCACACGTCCCATACCCATCGAAGCTTGGATTAAAGAAGAGGTGTAGTGGTGCTTTGAGGCTCTTGCGCTGACATTCTCCTTGCTGTTGTTGCCGTTCTTGTACCACTTGACCTTTTCCTTCTTGCCCGTAGGATTTCCCACTCCGGGCGTAGTCGCAGTCGCAGCCCTGCTCATGGGCGTAGCGGTGCCAGGCGTACCCATACCCGGAGTTTTGGAGGGCAGAGTCTCGATCTCGGGATCGGAAGCTGCCGCGGTCGTAGCGACGCTCATCCTGCTCGCAGACTCCATATTGTTGGCATACACCCGCAGGAGATGCGAGAGTAGACTGCCATTAAGCGGTGTCGATGCTCCACTGTCCCCGGGAGTCATCGCACCGGGGGTTGTGGCGCCAGAGCGAGGCTCCGTATCACGACGAGGGCCACTCGGGTATCTCCGATGCTGGTTAAGACCCAGTTGGCTCAGCAAATGCTGAGCCTGAGAGCTATGATCAGTCCCCATGAGTCTCTCCTCCTCGTCTGCGGCGGTCCGCGCCTCATAGCTTCTGATATCGTCCGTTGCGCCATAATATTCCGGGGAGAAACTCGCGTCCAAACCGTCGGCCTCGCGCTCATGCGGCCGGCCCAATGCCTCGGCAATGGTACCCGCGCGCTCGCGAATGCGCTGACTGACCGTCTTCCATCGTTGGGGAATAGAGGCAGTACTGGGTTTCTCACTGGCGGTATCGTGATGTTCTACCTCAGTTTGCGCACTCTCCGTGTGGCCTTCTTCCCGGGGAGAGTCACGTTCCTCGTCGGCCCCCGTGGTCAAAGAGCTTTGAATGGAGGGCAGACGAGGAGTTTCGGGGTTCTTTTCATCAAAGTCGGACATTTCGACGATACTACCACGGGTAGGTTCAGGGCCTGCCGGAACCGACCGGATATCTCGGCAGGGGTAAATTTGTTGTGTTAATTTTTGGTGAGAGATGATTCGCAGTCCGTGGTTCGGTTCTGCAGTTGTTGGTTTCGAGAGAGAGAGATGTCAAAGAAATAGAGGGAGGCTCTGAGAATGAGCAGGACCCCACAAACGGTCACAATTCATACATAGTTTCTGGGGGAGGGAAAGGAAAGAAAAGTCAAAGGGCATGAAAGAAATAGGCCCGGGGAGGTGGAAGAGGGGGGCGCAAGACTAGAGACAATGAGGAAAACCGGAGAAGTTAGACTGGCGTGGATTGACTCCATTGACCCACGTCGCTAATGTGGGTTGAAGTCATGGCGAGACCCCCGACAGGGGATGGCCGCGTCAGAAGGTTAGAAACTCCTTTTTTTTTCACGCTTTCTCCACTTCTACCCGGGATGTGACAATGGCAGATGGCAATAATTAATTGTCGGGGAAGTCGGGAGATCGGGACTGGTCCCGTTGCCAAGCGGGCTGGAAACATGGATGATCGGTAAACCCATGGACCTACAGGAACTGGACCTGAAGAACCGGAAACGAAAATAATAAACAAAGCTATCATGGCATTGTGTTTATTAAATTGGGTCTGCTCGTCGGGAGAAACAAGCTTCTCCAACAGCCACTAAGCGGCGCTAGTGCTGCAATTGTGTTTCGCATCCCCAGACGAACTGGACAGTGTACAAGTATTGTACATGGTAGAACTGCATAACTGTAGTGCTACAATACAACTCCCTTTTCCATAATACTCGGTCTATATTCAACTCAAAGTAAAAGTATACAAAGAATAAACTCTCCGGCGGGTTCTACTCCTCCTTCCAGCAGACTCTTCCGTCGTCCTTGCATGATCTTACTCAAACTAGTCAACGAGTCCCACTCTTTAAATTACAATTATAGCTCTACTACTGTACTTGGACTGTTAGTCTCCATCTTCCTTCCTAAAAAATTATCCTCGTGATTCTCGAACTCTTTTCCGTCTTCCTTCCAAGTGGGCCATTCATTCCTCACGACCCACATCGTCCAGCGGACTTTCGGCACAAAACCGGTGCCAGTCATCCCTTTGTAATAGCTGCAATGAAGAGTCCAGGCCGATCACTAAGCGGCGTAAAGTCAGTTGGATTTGGACTAGCTAGACTAGTTGTTTGACGATCAAGAGGTCTGTCGGGTACTCCCTTTGCTACCCGTCGATCGCAAGCCAGTACTGGATAACAGTAGTATACATTCTACGATGTACCTTGTTCTATGTAGCTTCTACTTCACTCTCACCATCCGCCCTATACTTAATTCCCCGCCACATAATGCAGCCACACTGAAAAAATCTCAAGCTAGTGGCTTATTCGGCGCACCTTCTAGATCCCCTCGATGAGTCCTTTCCACAGGCACCGGTTATTTTTAGCTCCGGTGGCGTAAACGGCTGCGTTTATCTCCGAGCGCCAGCAAAAATTCTCACGATCGGGGAGTTCAGTTGTACCCTGCGCTAATTGTTGTACGGAGTAGATCGTGGATAGATGATGCATTGTACTTGACTAACTAAGCCACCACAGCTATGGCTTAACCCTACATCCAGGTTCAAAATAGCTACATCGCCGCAGGCTCATACCTGGTGTCAATGCCGGATCTAGGCCGACGCCAGAAATGGCCACGCCTCGGTCGCTGTTCTGAAACACCCTGGACTACGTGGCATGACGTGTTTTCTATGAGATTCGTGATCAGATAGAATAGATCTAGTTTGTGGATGATCATGAAACAGGAACAAATGGCATCGAGGAAAGATTCTTGTTGTCACGTGATCTGTCGCGAATAGTTGGAGGTACTGCCCGGTCGAATGGAAAGAAGGGCTGAATCCTCGTAGGTACCTAAATAAATAAAGATGAAACCATGTCGAATGGATATCATCGTGTCGGAGTTCCCGATGTACTTATCACTCTATGCAAGGTTCCTCAATGCCGAATACATTCCAGGATACGATATATATACCTTATCAAGCCCAGAGGACTGCCCTCCTTGTGGCATCATATCGCACCGGAGCCGCACTTAGCAACTCATACCTTAAGTAGTATGCCGTCCTAAACGAAAGATTGAATTCGATGACAGAAGTAGATTACGATAAAATTTGGTGTAAGATGACTCCCTTCTGGTTATGAATGGTCGTCTTCGAATTGAGAGGGCGGCTTCCCCTGAACCACCTGGTCTATCGCATATGCCAAGCTTTGACAGAGCTCTGGCCAAGAGCTCTGTGACAAGAATACTCTTCTTGTCTCAGTCAAAAGGCGAAGCGAACTACTAGTGCCAGTAAGAATCCCGACCCAGATCACATGAACTGGATTGTCATGATGGCTGTTGATCCATAGATCGACATGTAGTGGATCGGTGAGGCGATCAATTCTGGTTGGTGCACTTTCCCCCATCCATTCCATATCTTCTTGGGGCCTTTGGTCTTCTCTGGGCGGGACAGAGAGCATGTCAAATGCCCATATGAATAGCATCGAAATCAGAAAGAAAAAGGGATCATGGCAAGCGAAGTGCTGAGTAGTCCGAAGTGTACCGAGAACCATGGCAGTAGAGCATTACAACCATGCCATGAGGTTGGTGACGCGCGACTATGAAGCCGCAGTGAGCAATTTCTCACTTTGTTGCCGGTCTCGCATTAGATGTCTCTCGTCCAAATTTGCTCTATATTCCTCTACATTTCCAACTCTAGCACATACGACCATAGGGTGTGGAGAACAGGGCTTCCCGTCCGCTCAGCCGTACTTAAGCCACACGCCGGCCAGTTAGTAGTATGGTGGGTGACCACATGCGAATCCTGGCTGTTGTATGTTTTTGCTCACGTATTGCCTTTTGTCCTTACCAAGGATCTAGGCACGAACTCTGCTCGCATAGCGGCAGCGTCGGGGTCTTCATAGTCAAGCTGCGTCATGGGTGGCTCCTGGTTCTCCTCCTCTTCGGTCTCGGCTGGAGCAGAGAGCCGACTGGCCAGAAAGTCGAATTTCCCACCGCTAATAACGATAAGAGACTTTGCTTAGTGCGACTGTTCGTACGTGAGAGAGAATTGTCCCGTGTGGGGTGGGCACTCTCGAGTGCCGTGCCTAGGCCATTATTATTGAGCTTATCGATAGAGCTAGCTCGAGATGGGGTATTGGTGGTCTCTATGGCTTGTCCGGAAGGGTGTGATGGTGCACGGCCAAGGAGTGGCTTGCATTTGCGGCGTAGTAGGTAGGTTTCGTCGCTTGCCGGTGTGCCTTCGGCCTGTTGTCGTAATTTGGCTGCTTGGGCTTGCTAGAGAAGACCCTTTAATGCAGTGTCCAGAGCAGAAGGGATAGCCAATCTAGGCGAGTTCTCTTACTCTGGCTGGTTTAGAGGCCTACTAACACTTAGTTCTTTATTGTTTCTACCGGGTGATAAGTGCGTTATGTATCTAAATTTGACTTCATATTCTGGGCTGGCCCATTGAATCGCAAATATCATTTTCAAAGAAGTATAAATTGCCTATAAACTCATGTCAGCTAGAAAATCTGTTAACGAGGACAATCATCAACCCCAGACATAGTATCGGGTAATTACAAGGTGTTATTCGGGACCATTATATTGAAAGAGTTGATCGTCAAAGGACTTCGAGATACAGACTCAGGTACGTCGGCCTTGGGTCTATCCGGGGACTCTTCGTTATCGAACCTATTACCTATAATAGGTATTATTCGAGATGTATCCCTCTCTCTCTCTCTATATATATAGTCTACTAGTTCCGCAGAGGCGCCTTGATCCCTGGGCGGACTTCCTGCAGGAACGGGCGCTTATTTTCTATTTACGGGCACCGTGCTTGGGCTTCCTTGGCTGTTATTACTTTGGGGTATAAACTAGGAACTCTCCATTCGGCTATACATCGTAGCTTTTTAAGGCTGGCTTTTCGGGGGTCGTTATATATAAGGATAGATGCTTTAGGAGTCAGATATTCGTCGTACGTCGTACCTATCAAATCGACTGATTTAGAAAGGTGCAAAAGGTCAATACGTGTAAATCCAGTGGAGCATATTCGCATTCTCAAAAATCCTAGTTTAGTCAGAACCGAATCATGTTGCGTATACACGGGGAACTTACCTAGAAGAGGAAACCCTAGGAACGGCGTGCTTGCAGCATAGGATTCTGGTAGAACCAGAGCTTTCGTAGCTTTCGTACCAAGAAATCGTCCAAGCGACATATCTATGACCACATCAAACTCCAATGCCATGTCATCTGGGCTTGGAATGTCCGATCTTGGGGTTTTATACGGAACCATCACATACAGACCTTGTCCCATCTTAGGGGTAGAAGGACGAGAGAAATCCTCTAATGATTCCACACATTGAGCTCCATTGTACTCAAGGTGATGTCGAAGTACGCCTTTCTGGGAGGATGTTATTTTTATACGCTGTGAGCAGCAGCCGACTGACCCAAGCACTCACCTGCTTCGATGAAAACCAGTTGATGAAGAAATGATATCCATCGAGAAATCCTTCAGGAGATTTGACGGGCATATCTTGCTACTAGTGGGGCTCCGCTGTTTCAGTGAACGTAGTCTCCCTTGCAAATGACTTTGCAGCTTGAATGGCTAGTCTAGGCTTCTCGAAGGATTCCTCCTCGTTAAACGGGTCGTTTCCAGGTTCTTTCAGCTCGGTATACCTGGAGTCCTGCGCCCATAATATCGCTCCAAATGTTTCCATTATATTTCGGTTCTAGTACTATAATTGATCAGTTAATTCAATTAAATTCAATCGTGTTTCAGGGGAAAATGGCTTTTCTATTAGGTAGAAAGATTGTATAGGAGATCGTATAGTAGATTAGGTAACAAAGAATAGCCGAAATCGATATTCTGCCAGTTTAAAAACTGCTGATAGGGGGGTTATGGCAGAGTGATTTCTATCGTCCGCCGTAGGAAACTTTGGAGAAATAAAGTAGTTGAGACGGTTACGCTCGTAAGGGGCTTTAAAAGTTCACACGTGATTAGTATAACTAGAATGCCCTGAAACGAACGTAGTGAGAGGAAGGGAACTAATCAACATGCTTGTCCATGCGCGACCGCAAAATTGGGAGGCTTCTGTACGTTGAAACCCTTTTGCCACGTGAGCTCGTAATTCGCTTTTCAATTACCGTTTTAGGTCTGGTTTATCTTAAGGTTTAGGGTTCTAGGGCTTTGTCTGCAGGTATCTGTCCGTTAGGCCTTCGTGATTGCTTTATGTGCTGCTTGTTGACCCTCTTTTATAATGACGGCCTGCAACGCATCGCCACGCGTTGCTCCTCTGCCATAGGTGCTCTCCACTCTCCCCACGCCTTCCCACTCTTGTTGCTGTTATCATGGGCCTGGCCAATGATAACCCGTCGTCCCTGCCACGATTGTGGTGGCGAAATGTGGCTATCGACGTTCATTCAGCCTCTGGGGTGCCCAGCTTATCGACTAGCATCTTTACCTAGCCTCCACGCGTCCCTTCTTTAAATTGCTTTAACTGCTCTCCAGGGCTCATTCTCTACACGCCTTTAATGCCGACGATGGTTTTGACCAATATATGCACACCCGCTGGATTGGTTAATGGTGCAACCGGAGAGGCAGTGGGAGTTGTAGTTGATCCAGAGGGTAAGCCACTACTCCAAATGTATCCTCTCCAGTCTCGAAGAAACTGATCATGAATAGCCAGCTTCCATGAGCTTGATGACTTATATATCTTCTGTAATAAACCTCCATCCTGTCTTCAGTTCAAACCAAACCGACCTAAATCAGTTTCAATTCATCCCCTAGACAGAACTGTCTTCCCGATTTTCCCACTCGAAACATCTATAACAGTGAAAGGGTATTCAGTGCGCCGGAAGCAGGTTCCTATCTGCCCGGCCTTTTGTCTCACAGACTACAAAGCCCAAGGTGCTACTCTCACGTCCGCGATGTTGGATCCTAAGGATAATCCGAAGGAAATATTGCTCCACATATGTACAACTATCACGCCTACGCTCACTGGCTGGCCTTCGTCTTCTACAACCAGTTGAGATGCGCGACCTCCAGCATCGGCCTGATCCTCAGTTACTCCACGAACTGCAGAGATTACAAGCACTCCAACTGGACACTCTTACTGCATGGCGAACAGTAAACTTCGGATAGGTCACTACATATCCAATCATCTCTCACCACGTCTTGCTTGCGTCTGTAATTGAATAAATCCGGCTTAGTGCAAACCTTGTATCCTGTACACAACTTCGTCCTTAGGGAGGCAGTGGGAAAACTGCCTGACTTATCATATTCTACTCTACACCTACGGTAGTATATCTTAGCATGCGTTATAGAGACCATCGGTGCCTAACCCCACTATTTACTTCTCTAGCCTGAAGTACGTAGTTTCTGAGATTTTCCTCCGCTTCACGCATTATCTATTCATATATACGCCGTTTCTATTCCTCCACAAGATTAGGCCCTTCACCACCCTACGCCTATTCTCAGTATGCCATCGAATAAGTCTTTCACAGCAATTCTTCACATTCGAGATTTCCATCGATCAAGTGGAACCGGATCCAACACGCCCTGGCAAAAGGGCTTTCCTTGCAGCTTCATGTTTCACTTAATATACCAGACACAGATGTGCAATCCGACGATGTTGAGCAGAGGGACATACCCACTCTAATTAGGTTCTTTAAGGAGGGGAATCGACCTGACCTTTACCAACCGAACGCCTTTATCTATGCATGGGGTTCTTTCCTTACTACCTCCTCTGATGAAGAAGGTTTTCATATTCTTCTTCACGCCAACAGCGTTGACCGGTCAGTAACCTTCGCAACCTCTATAAGAAACAAACCTAACGTAGTATAGCCACCCGGGTAACAAAGACGATACAGATTCATATTTTATGCAATGCCCCGAAGCGGCTCAGCCTATCGTAACCCTACTCGCTGTGGTTCTTGAGCGCGGTGGTCAACTAAATAGCGGTTCAACTCTATTACAGTACCGTCTCCAGTCCACAACCTACAATAGTTCGTCACGAAGTCACCACACTTTCCCTATCACCGCGTACTTCAAGAACGGGCAGCGGTGGGCGAACTTTCCACAGCTTAGCGCAAATATCCACATTTTTTTGACTTGGGGGGGGGGTCTTCGGCATCACTAAGGAGAATCGCCAATTAGCTATAATAACGGACGATATACACTTCCTTCCATCCGTAACACAATCCCTACCGCCTACCCCATCTCCAACGACTGGTAAACGGAAACGCCAGGACCGCTGGTCCCAAAGAGCCACCGCTCACGCTCCCTCTACATCACCAGCCATATTGAGAAATGATTCCCCCTCATCGATACGCCAGTCGCACAACCCTACTGAAACTACCGCTCTTAATGATGACGACGAAGAAACGCTAAATAACCTGGCCAGACACGGCCGACGATGATAAAGCATCCTCACGACCTCACACTCCTACACCGGAGAGACGTTCCCAAAGATCACGAAACAAAGCCCTATGTTAATATGCGTGTTTATTCGAACTATAATACTCAAATTCCTTTACTAAAATAAGTATGTTCTATACTACGAAGGATATACGCTTCGGCGACCTACCACTTCTTCATATGTTTATCGGAATGCCCGCGTAGTAACTACGTGCATAATGCGGGTGGCTTAACTATAGTACCGCTACTATCTATACTCTCACAGATTCGCCTTTTTACCCTCTCCTTTCAATTCCCCATTTGCATCATTCCGAGGCCGATGCGCGCGCTGCGCGACTTCCAGTGATACGGCATCATACCTCGGGGAAGGGGCATCATTTAGCCAGAATTAGCTTAGCCCAACCTTGGTGGGGCCCTGGGGAAAAGAAGGCGTGTGTGTCTGAGGGGTAAACTGTTTTCAAAATCTTCTGTATATGGAGCGAGCGAGCGACTTTTTACTTAAAGCCCATTCAAATCACCACTCTCTTTATTACCTTTCCAGAGCAAGCATTAATCTCCAAACTCTATACTTGGAGGCAATCAGTCCCCTTGTCGGATACACTCGCTCGACTCAGTTTGACCACCTGGTTACTCTCAAATATCTTCTAATGTTTGCTACACTATTGAAGAGACTAAGTTTACTAAAAAACTAAAAAGGACACGGCCAAAATATGCCGATCCTATTGCGGTCTAGTGCTACCGCGTCACCTGACAATGAAGCTGCAGGAGACCCCTCATTCAGCTGAGTGACTTGCAAGTTCTTTGACAGCCCACGGTGTTCAGTAAAGCTTCTATCATGGCAACCACAACTTACGGTGCCACAAACCATGGACTCCAGATTGGGAACAACCATGGTCCAGTCACGGCAGGATTCCATCAGTGTAGGTTTGATCGGATATCTCGAGAATCCTGACTTGTTCTCATTAACTTTCCATTCATAGCGCACACCACTGAAGAAATAGATCGACTTTGCCTCCAGAGCTTACACTGTCCCGACTCACTACTCGTGAAAAACCGATTGAAAGCAACCAAAGACAAGTTATACCCCCAATCGTTCCAATGGATTTTCCACGACCGGCAGTATCAGAGTTGGCGAAACGGAAAAGATATCTGTCTTCTTTGGATCAAGGGTGGTGCTGGGAAAGGGAAGACCATGATGTCAATTGGTCTCATCGAAGAGCTTTCACGGGTACAGCATGAATCTACCGTCGTTACTTATTTTTTCTGCCAAAATGCCGACAATAAGCTCAATACTCTTGAATCGGTTATTAAGGGTTTGATTCTAGAGTTGGTGAATCGATAGATCGGGCTACGGGAATCCCTCCGACGTCGCTGGGACATTAGGAATGAGCGTTATAATGAGGATCTTAGTTCGTGGAGGAATCTCTGGAATATCTTTTTAGAGCTACTGGATCGATGTGCCGCGTCTAGGATATATATCGTTGTGGACGCTCTTGATGAGTGCCAACACGGTGGCATGGCAGACTTCTTGAAACTAATCGTCCGTAATGGACTGGATTACCCCGCCAGAATCAAATGGCTCTTGACAAGTCGACCATTGGATAGCGCAGAACGGACACTGCTAGCTGGACATGACCAGGTGCAAGTCAGTCTGGAGCTCAACTCAAACCACGTTTCTGAAGCTGTGCAGGCCTATATCTCTTACAAAGTTGATGAGCTCAGTCGTTACCAAAACTATACGCAAGCACTAAGACGAGCAGTGAAAGCTGAGCTCTCTGCAAAGGCTGAGGGTACCTTTTTGTGGGTAAGCTTAGTGTGCAAGAGACTTGAGAGTGTTCGCCGAGACGAGGCATTAGCCACGATTCAGAATTTACCACTAGGGCTTTATCCTTTCTACGATCGGATATTAGACCAACTAAGCGAAGGTGATCCAGATGACGTCTTTAAGTGCATGCGACTACTTAAGGCGATGATGCTGGCTTACCGACCTCTGAAAGTGCAAGAAGTTTCGAGCGTGACTGGCATCACAAATGAAGATGGCTCTATTAAGGCACTAGTCAATCGTTGTGCTTCATTCTTAAGAATGCAAGGAAGCAACATCGAGTTTGTCCATCAGTCTACTCGGGACTACTTGGCTAGGAACAAAGCACAGTCTATGCTTGACTCACATGAGCACTTCGGACATCATGAAATTGTACTGAATTGTCTGTCTTATTTACTTAAGAGGCTGAAAGTGAATCTCATGGATTTACCGCAGCCTGACTCAACCAGGGAATCTTGGAGGCGATCAAAAGACGAAAATAAAGATGCTTTACTAGCTTGTCTAGACTATGCAGCTACTTCCTGGGTGCAGCATCTTATGGACGTTAAGCAAAGGGAGATGCTACAGAACGAGCTTAGCGGTGAGGGCTCAGTTGGTTTATTCCTCCACACAAAATTGTTAGAATGGCTAGAATGCCTTAGTCTGTTAGACAGGTTACCACAGGCCATTAACGCATTAAAGTCTCTAGTAGAGATAACAAAGGTGAGCATCTGATATTCTGCGATAGCTGGGTCTTTGCTTACAAATTTGTCAAAGGATGAACCTTCAGCATTTGCACTTGTGCAGGATGCTACCCATTTTCTGCTGAGGCATTACTTCACAGTGAATCATTGGCCATTGCAGATCCATAGCTCTGCTATTGTCTTTAGCCCTGAGTCAAGCGTCGTGAAGAGGGTAAACTTGAGAAAAATCCCAGCATATCTAAGAGAGGTTCCTATCATGGAGAACAACTGGGCGTCTCTCATACAGACACTAGCAGGCCACTCTAGTCCGATCACTACTCTGCGCTTTTCACCAGATGGCAAGCAGATCATGTCGATCTCCCGTGATAAAACTATCAAGCTCTGGGACAGCACAACGGGTGACCTTCAGAACTCACTAGAAGGCAAATCGAGTCTGTTCATTTCTTCGGCCACGCCCACGGCCTTCTCACCAAACGGCAAGCAGGCTGCATTAGGATCTGATGATGAAACCATTAAGCTTTGGAATACCGCAACTGGTGACCTTCAGAGCACACTAAAAGGTCACTCTAAACGAGTTACCACGCTGGCCTTTTCACCAGATGGCAAGCAAATTGCATCAGGCTCTAATGATGAAACCATTAAGCTCTGGGACAGTATAACAGGCGGCCTTCTGAATTCACTGGAACTCCAATCGGGAATGTACTATCCTTCGGTCGCTCTTACGGCTTTTTCGCCAGATAGCAAGCGTCTGGCGACTAGCTATAATGACGACAGAATTCAGCTTTGGGATACCGCAACAGGTGAACTTCAGAACACATTAGAAGGCCACTTTGAACAGATCACCACCCTGGCCTTTTCCCCAGACGGCAAGCAGATCGCGTCGGGATCTGATGATACAACTATCAAGCTTTGGGACACCACAACTGGCGACCTTCAGAAGACACTAAAAGGCCACTCAGCATGCGTTAACATTGTGGTCTTTTCACCAGACGGTAAGCAGATCGCGTCGGGATCTGATGATACAACTATCAAGCTTTGGGACACCGCAACTGGCGACCTTCAGAAGACACTAAAAGGCCACTCAGCATGCGTTAACATTGTGGTCTTTTCACCAGACGGCAAGCAGATCGCGTCGGGATCTGATGATACAACTATCAAGCTTTGGGACACCACAACTGGCGACCTTCAGACAACACTAGAAGGGCGCTCAGATTGGGCTGAAATTGTGGGCTTTTCACCAGACGGCAGGCATATCACCTCGGGCTCTGTTGCTGAAACCACTAAGCCTTGTGATACTGCAACTGGTGATCTTCAGAAGACACTAGAAGGCCATTCAGAATACGTTAACATTGTGGTCTTTTCACCAGACGGCAAGCAGATCGCGTCGGGATCTGATGATACAACTATCAAGCTTTGGGACACCGCAACTGGCGACCTTCAAAAGACACTAAAAGGCCACTCAGCATGCGTTAATATTGTGGTCTTTTCACCAGACGGTAAGCAGATCGCGTCGGGATCTGATGATACAACTATCAAGCTTTGGGACACCGCAACTGGCGACCTTCAGAAGACACTAAAAGGCCACTCAGCATGCGTTAACATTGTGGTCTTTTCACCAGACGGCAAGCAGATCGCGTCGGGATCTGATGATACAACTATCAAGCTTTGGGACACCACAACTGGCGACCTTCAGACAACACTAGAAGGGCGCTCAGATTGGGCTGAAATTGTGGGCTTTTCACCAGACGGCAGGCATATCACCTCGGGCTCTGTTGCTGAAACCACTAAGCCTTGTGATACTGCAACTGGTGATCTTCAGAAGACACTAGAAGGCCATTCAGAATACGTTAACATTGTGGTCTTTTCACCAGACGGCAAGCAGATCGCGTCGGGATCTGATGATACAACTATCAAGCTTTGGGACACCGCAACTGGCGACCTTCAAAAGACACTAAAAGGCCACTCAGCATGCGTTAATATTGTGGTCTTTTCACCAGACGGTAAGCAGATCGCGTCGGGATCTGATGATACAACTATCAAGCTTTGGGATACCGCAACTGGCGACCTTCAGAAAACACTAGAAGGCCATACGAACCGCATTCAAATCGTGGCCTTTTCACCAGACAGTAGGCAGATCGCCTCGGGCTTTGGTGATGAAACTATCAAAATTTGGGATACCGAAACGTGGGAACTTCATAAGGCACTAGAATGCTGTTCCGACCTCGTCAACACTATAACCTTTTCACCAGACGGCAAGCAGCTCGCATCGGGCTCACATGATGGAGTCATCAGGATCTGGAATACCACAACGGGCGACCAGATAACAGTAACTTTCCATGGGGATTCCCTGAAGTCTGTTTCCATAAATTCTGTGGCCTTTTCTCCAGACGGCAAGCAAATGGCCTCTGGCAATGGTGATGAAAGCATCAGGGTTTGGGATACCGCGACGAATGGTCATGTGGAGTCACTAGAAGCCAAATGGAGTCGGGTCAACATTACAGACCTTCCGTCAGATAACAAGCACAACGTATCGACGGGTTACCCTTGGTATTGGGAGAAAGAACGATGCCGCTCGGACTGGATCAATACTGTAGCCTTTTCACCAGACGGCAAGCAGATCATATCCAGCTCTTGTGACGGATCAATTAAGCTTTGGGACATTGCCAAATCTTTCAATCTCCCAAAGCCTTTCGAGAATAACCCTTTTCGGCGATTCAAAAAAGGTAGGAAGCCGAAGCCTGTTCACGACGTAAATCTCTCAGCAGGGGACGGGTATATTGTAATAGACAGTAAGCCTGCCACGCTTGAAAGCATTACTCCAGACCAAAAGGACTACAGTCAACACATTTTACAGCGTCTCTTCGTCAGACGCCAGTGGATATGCTATGGAGAGGTGTCACTCTTACGGATACCGTCGGATTTTCAAGCATCATCCTTTGGTGTGCGAAACGATCACGTCGCTATTGGATTCCAAACAGGTCAAGTTCTAAGCTTTTACATTGATCGGCAGATACTGCAGTCAATAATAGCATAAGAGCATAAGCTCCATTGACAACCAAGAAGGCCATGTATGTAGAAGTCAGGTAGATATGGGAACTTGAACCTAGGAGGGTGAATTCCTACAGGTCGTATAATGTCGGATAGAGTATACTAGCACCCAAAGGCCCACTTGATGGCTTTAAACTCTATTCAGTAAAGTTTCAGGTTGTCTTTATCAGGTTTTTCATCATCTTATGTATTATCAAAACGACGAACCACACTATGAAATTTAATGCCAGAGATTATTGATTGTTCATAAACTAACCTACTACTAGAGTCATCTCAGGTAGGCGGACAAAGACGATGCTTTTTATTCAGTTAGGAAACTTTTCGTTTTCAGCTCTATAGCCAGCTCTTCCATTTCTGCGGATACGACTATGTGCCTGTGGTGAACGAGATGTAATCCATGTTCTGCTAGACTGTCCAGAGCTGACATGGGTACAGCGTCGCTGTAGTATCACAGAGGTTTCAAAGCCGAGCAACATAACTGCAACATGAAAACATAAAGGCTATAGAGCCAAACAGGCCTGAAACCTTCCGCGGCTTTTAGATTCCAAGGCATTTGGAGCGCACATTCCCGGCCAGCTGTTGCGGATTCCGTCAGGTAGTTCTTAGTTCTAGTGACAGGTCAATCTATATCCGAATATTATTGTACCTTTGACCAGACTACCTTGAAGAAACCACTCAAAACCAAAGCACATTAGCGGATCGATTGGTGATTCCACGTGCCGTCCACGGGTCATGCACTCACGGAGCATTGACGAACCACAATGCGAGTAGAGTTTGCTACCGCCTAACACACAAATTCACTTTTTCTCTAGCCCGATCCATCCATCCTCCTTCTCCCTATCTTGATCGTTTCAGGGCCGATGCGCGCTATACGCGCGTCTTCCAGTTAAAAGGTTGGTTACCCAAAATGGGCTAGTCTGCTTTTACGATGTAACGGGTGGCCAGAGACCTACTGAATTCGTAGGGTATTCGTAATTTATATGGGAAATTTCATTCTGATAGGGGGTATACGTTCTCAAACCTAGCAATTCGCTGTAAATAGGAATCATTATATCCAGATATTACTGTATACTCAGATTTATAGCCTAGGCTTCACTCTTTCACTACAGAGTATTCTCTACTTTATATATAGTCCGCTCAGAAAGAGAAACGTGTTTCTTAAATAGAAGCTAAGGTTGTAAATATTTTTCAAGTCAATCCTCGCAAAGAGAGCCCAACCCAACAGTCATTTTTGTATTAGCTTACTACGGGCGCTGATAAATAATAGCGCGATGAAGATACTTCCTGATACGTCTCATGGGCGGGATGGGAATATTTGTGCCAATCTGACAGCTAGGTCTAGGTTCCCCTGACTGAACCAAATTCGGTCTCTGTTTTGCAGTGTAGATCCTAACCGTTTGCGGTATACTTTGCCATGAGAGCTATCGAGCTCCAGTCCATAGCCTATCACCATCACCCCGCTATCTGCAGCCACCAGCGGAGAGTTCATTCTATCTTGGCTGTGGCTGTACGAAGGACGGAAAACTTCCTCTCTATTGACATCTTACTGTTGAACTTTGTGTTCTCCAAAGTGTTTCACATCCGCTGTACTTCATTCTGTGTTTAGGCTACGCCAGCGGGGCCGAGGTCCATACCCCGCTATAGATCTACGTAACTACACGAAACTCCCCACCACTTCCTTGATGTAAATGCACCTATTCCAGTTTCTAGATACCAACTCCAGCTGATTCGAGCGGACCTGCCAAGATAATACGGATAGCTGCCTAGTCCACTGCGGGAATAACCACAATCAATCACGACCACTCGACGAGTTCACCGTGCCAAGACCCTCCACCCCGCGCCGTCATTCGACTCCGCACTGCGCCACAACATGTCTACTGGGTAGTTGGTTGATACACCGTGCACGCGAGTTGTATGATAGGTATGACTAGAGAAGTAACTATTTTCCAAGCTAAGCCAGGGGCGTAATCACATCACGCAAGATGAGAGAGAGCCTCGTACCTATCGCCTAGCCCTCCCCCTCTTTTCCTCTTACTATCTCTCTCCCACTTTGTACTCTTTCTCTTTCTTTTCTTCTACCCCTCCTACAATCTCCCGTATAGACAGTCCTATCCTTCTGTAAACTCCATTCAAATGCACCCCCAAGTTCCCCTCCCCCTCCCACTTTAAAACCCTCCAAAATGCCAACACCCCTCCAACCACCCGACCAACCCCTCGCCCTCCGACGCACTCACCTCCTCGCCCCAGCCCCCGATCGTCTCACCAACACACCCACAACACTAACAATAACCCGCAACAACACCCTCTCCGGCCGCGCCTTCAGCGTACACCACCTACGCACCCACGAACCCTACGACAGCCCCACTCGCCGCTCCCTCCTCTACACGGTATCCGGCAGATTCTGGAGCGGCACCCAAGCACGCGAAATCCGCGATGCAGCAGGACGACCCCTCCTCGAGCTGCGGCGCATGTGGTGGCAGCGCGCGTGGAGCGTGAAACGCGCCGGCGGCGGCGGCGACGAACTCATGGGCGCGGAGATGCGGTGGGGCGCGGGGGTGAAGATGAAAATGGCCGTTCGAGTGCGTAATGCGCTACTCGTCGGTGCTCGGCGGAGAAGCGAGGTCGAAGAGGACGAGTTCCGGAGCGAATATTACCCCTACGCTATGCATAGCAGTGCCGCGGGCCGTCGTGGGAGACGTCAGCAACAGCAGTACAGACGATACGCTTCTCCTCCCCCGCCGTACAGCGCAATCGCCAGTTCCAGCGCTGCCAGTGGCAATGCTGCACAAGCACCGGGACAAGCATCGGGATCAGGAGCAGGTGCTGTCCCTGCTCTTCGTCGCCGCCATTCAACAGACACCGTCAGTTCAAAATCTACACACCTCCCCTCCTACGCCTCCGCGCACCGCCGCTCAACGCATTCCCTCCGTGAACTCCTCGATGCAGTCGAGCCACCGGCTGAACCAGCGCCGGCATCGAGTTATGCGTATGCGTTCCCGCCGGCGCGTCGCTACTCGGAGGCTGTGGTGGAGGAGAGGGAGGAGTTGAGGGTTGTGCAGATGAGTAATACCGTTGCGGCGGTGATGATGGGGGAGAAGAAGATTGTTTCTATTCGGAGGGAGAAGGTTATGATGGATTTTCAGTTGAGTGGGCCGATGGATCGGTGGGAGGTTGGTGTTGCGGAGGGGGTGGATTTGTTGCTTGTAAGTTGATGTGAAGAGGTGTTTATTTTGAGGTTGGTTTGGTGTTTGTGATTAGTATACTGACTATTTATGTTTTCGGGTAGGCGGTTAGTATCGTGTTGATCATGGCCGAGTTTGTGAGACATGAGTATCGGGTGCGAATCAATTGATGAATATCAACATTGATTTGCGAGGATGGGAGCCGGTGGATGGAGGAATTGGGATCTGGAGTGAAGAGGGAGATATTTCGAATCTTTTCTTCATGACTGGCGTTTTACTGCATTATCGTTTTATCTTGAGCCTGCATCGCATTTACGTGCGTCTGGGTCCATTTCCATTTTGAGTTAACTAGCTTATGACAATCATGACAATGACTATCGACGAGATCTTTATCTGCACATATTGTTCTTGGGTCCCGGTTGATTGCTTTACAACACTTACTAGTGGTATTAAGCAGATCCTGCATATTTTCTAGCCTGTAGATAGCAATTATAAGGTTATCCATTGTCCCTACTGTGTAAATAACGGGTTCTCATCATAAACCATAAAATCCAACCCGGTCATATTCCACAAATCCTCAAATTCAAAATCCCCAAACAACTCCACACCCTGATCAACCACAGCCGGCACAGAAACCCCAGAGAGTACTGGCTGATCACTCGAGCCCGGTATCCCAGACTGTGCCAATCCCCCCTCACCAACCTCACACCCCGAATCCGCCAAACTAACCGCAGTAGTAGCAGTAGCAGTCCCCATCTGACCAGCACTTCCCGGAACCCGGTGAAACACAGAAACCACCCTCTCACGCAAATGCGCACACGTCTGCGTAAACGCCGAACTAAACCCGCGCGCCAAATACCAACTCTCCACATACTCCGTCGCCGAAGATAACAGTTCGATATCTGATCTGACGAGTCTGCTGTTTGGTTGGCGGAGGACGCCCAGGGCCAGGATTACGGCTGCGAGGTATGTTGGGGAGACGGATAGGAGGGTGGATGTCAGGTCGCGGTCTGCTAGTTGGAGGGATTGGGTGATGAGGGTTCGGGCTGCGTGGGCGCAGATTAGGGGTCCGTCGAGGAGGCGGGTGTGGTGGGGGAGGGATGCGATGTTTTTTTCGATTTCGCGTTTTATGCTGCGGTGGGGGAAGATTACTGCGACGCGGAGGATGCTTAGTTGGGCCTGCGAATGGATGCTTGTGAGTGAATGATTCGGGTTTGAGTAGTAGTTGATATATTTGGGTGGAACTCACGTGGTGGTATTGCTGGGATAGAAAGGTTGCCAGGATTTGACGATCATGACCAGTGTGGTCGGTCAATGCCTTTCGAGGCTTCAAAGTGTCTGGTATGGAATTCTCCCATTCCAGGAGCTCCTGATCTAATTTAGCGACTGTGCCGAGCATCTCGGCAGATCCACCCATGAACTTGTGCGAGTAGAGACGGTTCGATATTTTGCCCATGATGCTACTCAACGCAATCCATGCCCGGAAGTACGCGTTAATCTGCTCAGAACTTGTACTGTCCGAATAATTGACGGCGAGGCAATCGTAGCTTCTATCGATAATAGATGGTCGTCCACACTCTAATTGCATGAGCTTTTCTAACCCAAATAATGACCACCAGAGTCGTTCTCGCAAGCTCTCGGGCTGATATCCCAGAGTAAATCCGTCTTCGGATGGATGTTTCGCTGCAGATTTGTACAGTCCGATAGACTGTGCCATACGAATCGCATGGCCGATGATATGCCACGCCTGGCCATCCTTGGCAATAGCCCTCAGCGCGAGCGCTAAAAGGAATAAGGCCTGCACGCTGGCCATGTATGGTATCGCTGTCAAATGTCCATGTAGGCCATGACTGGCTGTGAGATAATCAAAGCTGAGCTCCGAATTTCCCGATATCTCATTCATACTGAGGGATATCACTGCGTAAACGGAAGCAAGAGCGGGTATATGAGATAGTGTGACTTTATCTTGCCACGCTGTAGGTCCGGCTGATTGTAGACCGAGGACGGTTTCTATATCTGCTTCGAAGGAGGCGCGGTCGATGACGGGGTAGATTGACCACAGCCGTGAGAAGAAGGCGTCGACGTAGATAGATAGGGTTTGACGATCCGGGAGTATAGGTAGTTTTGGTATTAGAGGCATTGGAAACTCTTCAGTGTGTAGCATGCCATGTTTGAAGAGGGGGTGGCATGACTGAAGCCATGTCGTGCGAGATGGAGATCGACAAAGTTGAAGAGGCATTGTACACTACTAGCGCCGAGGTGCTGCGGGCCATTGAATCAGGTCATGTCTTTATAAGACCAGATGAATGATTAGATCACTAACCTTTGTCTTGTTATTTGTACCGTCATCCGTGGTAACAGTTTCATCCGGTGTCAAGACTGTTTCTTGTTCCGGCGCATCATGTTCCTGGACGACATCTTGCCCTTGATCCTCTGCACAATCTTGATATGCCCTAGATTGCCAGGAAAAGTGATCTTCGCCCAGCCTCTCACTCTGAGTCGTACGCCACGATGAAGTCGCTGGGCTCTCCGATGAACCAGGAATAGCCGAGCTCCTGCTCCTCGAATTCCTCCTTGCACTAGGCGACGTATAATCTACCGAGGTATCCGGAGAAGGACCAGTCGGATTAAGCACGGAATTGATAGAGCTCACCGCAGCCGGCGTCAGGGTATTCAAAGAACGACGCGCTGGGGATAAGCACTTCCCAACCTCCCCTCTACCCTTATGACAGCACCTAGTAGCGCGCCTCCGAACAGCGGGGAAATTGCCCGGTTTCCTAGGATCCGAAGTCTCGCATACATCGCCTCTGACACTGCAATTACGGCAGCTAGGTTGCTGCGCATCACAGCGGACCTTGCGTTTTCGGCATTGGTTACAGGCAAGCGCCAATCGAATCGGCTTAATTTGTGTAGAAGCACTTCCCGTGGCAGGGGTCTCGTGTTCGGCGTGACCCCCATCCTCTTGCGGGAGAGGTATTGATCCTGGAGGGGCTTCGAATGACATCAGCTGAACAGGGGTGGGATTGCGATGATCAATGGTATGCAGGCGAACCGAGATGGGAGACGTTTCGGGGGAGAAAGCAGTTGTGAGCTCGGTTGGGTGTAAACCGAAGAGCCGAGGTGGCTATACCTATCATATACCAATATTACGGTACGGTGGGGGTGGCTTTCACTGAATCTTTGAGGGTTGTTTGTATTACTGATACAGCTTGGGGTTCCCTATCTGTGATGCGACATACTTTTAATTTAGTAAAGAGTGAACGAATCCTGGACCATTAACTACAAAGATATCGATGTACATGTCGGTTTAGAGAGCCTCTTTCTGTGAGCTCATCATCTCGTTTCGCTGCGTATTTGGAGTGGCCCGCCCCCGCATTTTCCGAGGACTCCAGCCGAACCGAACTTTATTGCATCCACCAGCATATTATTGGAGCCCGCTCGGCACGTCAAGTTAGCCTGCTATACCACGGAGATTCTCCGAGAAAGCTGGGTATGCCGAGCTTGAACTGGGCTATCACAAAGATTTTATTGTGAGAAAGTAGCTATGATTAACATTTTACTCCCTGACCAATGATTCTTGAACTGGTCTCTTCAGTTACTTGTTACATGTATTAACCAAACTATATCATTGTAAATATAAAAGTCTATGCTATATAGAAAACAAACAGAAAACAAACAGACACAACTCTCTAAAGCGGGGTAAAGCTACAGAGGCACGAAAGGCAAGATAACCCGACTAGGATAGTCTCCACCAAAATGAATGATATGCTCACCCTTATTCTGCTCATGCTCAGGTCTAGGCTTAGAGAAAGCGGCAACCTCATCAAAGCCCGGCCACTGGCCCAGAATATCCACCTGGATACTCTCACCCTCTTCATAATCAACTCCCATAGCCCAAATACCAATCTCCAACTTGACAATCTCTCCCTTGGGAACCTTTTGCACTTCGTCGTGGGGGTGGAATGGGAATTGCGAGTGGATAGACCGACTAGAGTCGATCTTGCGCTGAGAAGCGCGGAGAATGCCGATCGAACCGTTATGCAGGGTCACGCTGCCGCGATCCTTCTCGGAGATTTCGTCGATCGAGTTGACGGGGGCACGGCTGAAGGGAAATTGCAGTTGGGATAGCTCTTTGCCATCTTTATCGAGCTTTCGCATCTGGATGAAAACGACCATATCGTCTAGCGCGTCGCAGCTCATGTAGAGCTCTGCTTTGGGGAGACCCAGGAGTCGACTTTTCTGAGAGAAGGTATGCTTGAACTTGGAAATAGACCACCGATCTTCCGAGTTGTACACCGAGGTACCAGCTTGGGAAGGAATCTCGGATGAGAGGGAACCACTGGGAGCGAGGTATAGCGTGCGGTAGTCGGTTCCTGGGACAGGGAAGTCGGGGAGCACGATGTTGCTTGTCACGTCTTTGTCGCCGAATGGAAGGGTGGTCCAGCGAACTTTGGGGGTCTCTTCCCAGTCGTTGTCAATTTCCTTGAGGTACTTATCGAAGAATTTCTACTCCTGGTTAGTGGTCTTATCCCCTGCAAAACACTGTCATGTTTCTCACCTTCAACTCCAGATAACTCTCATGTTCCGAGTAGAGCTCGAACCACTCTTGGTAACCACTCCACTTGATCCACTTCTTGTCGGTATTGACCTCCATCCATCCTCGAATAGCACCCATGGTATGAATTTGGCTGAAATCGGATCCAGTGATAAAGCATGGAATGTTGATCTTCTTCATATCCACACGTTTATCGTTCCAGTAGATGTTGGCCTGTGGATGGCGGCGGTACATCTCCGCAAAGTCCTCTACTCCAGCCTGACCTCTAATCACAAGAGTCGTAATAAGATCATAATTGCTCATATTGAACCATCCTCCTCGGCAGAACTGTTCACGGAAAATATCACCCGAGCCCTCCCAAGGCGCAATAGCCTTCAGAGATGGTGGGTTCTGAGCAGCCGCGTGCCACTGCATGATAGCGAGGTATGAATTGCCTGCCATACCAACGTTGCCATTACACCAGGACAGCTTCGCAAGACCTTCAATCACGTCATGCGCATCCTCAGCTTCCTGCAATCCCATGCAAGGGGTATCGCCGTCGCTGTTACCAGCTCCACGGACATCGACGCTGGCAATCGCATAGCCATGCGCGACCCACCACGCCGGATCCAGACCCTCGAATTTCTCCAGTCCACTGACGTCGCCACGCTCGATACAGCAAGCCCAGGTACAGACATTGAAGATCATATCCAAGGCAGAGTATTTCTTGCCGTATGGAGACCAGGAAATAATGACTGGGACTTTCTCGTCGCCCGTTGGACGGTAGATATCGGCGTGAAGTCGGCAGCCGTCTCGAACGACGATTTCGACATCGTGGTCAATGCGGACGTCGGAGTCTAAAGTTCTGGCATTGAATGGTGCAGAGCCTTTTGGAATAACCTCTGTCTTGCCGGGTGTAGGTTCGACATAGCCATTGACGCCGATTTCAGGCTTATTCAATGGCTTGTATGCGACTTGGTAGGGGATAGGCATGGTGATGAAAGAGAAAAAGATAATGAATGGAGTTGGAGGTAGTCAGAGTAGCGTTCATACCCTGGAGGACTTTGACAAAGATAAGTAAATAGCAACGATCAATCTATCCTTTTGACAGAAAGCTGTGTTAGCGCGGGGCTTCGGTTCGTGGAGGTCACTGAGCCGAAATTCCTAGCAAGATCAAAGTGGGCGCCAATCTGCCAAGATCACTTAGAAGACGCCATCAAGCTCGGCTGGCACATTGGCCAAGAACATCCCCACGGCCATCAGAGTCATGAGCTGGCCCATGCGTTGGTGGCGGCTTGTTGATTGAGGCAGTTAGAACACCCGGAATTGCGGGGGATCGACGAATGCAACGAACCGAACCGAGCATGTTGAGCCGAACCGAGTGCACCCTCCATCTCTTGCGATTTGCTCGCTAGAATTCTTCTTATACAAATAAACCATAGAACAAATCTTGAAGTTCCAGGACTATCATCACAACAGCCATAATTTTCATTCTGCAAACCAAACATCATGTCCACCACCACCGAGACCAAGCAGCGCACAGTTGCCGCTCGCTTCGAAACCAAAGACTTGATCACTTTCGACAAGGATCACGTCTACGGTGACTGGCGCGACGAGTTCCACAAGAATGGCTGCGTATTGATCAAGAATGTCATTACCCCCGAGCGCGCACAGTACTACTGCGACAAGCAAATCCAGTGGCTGAAGAACTTTGAGCTTGGCTTTGACGAAAAGAACCCGGACACCTGGACGGCCGAGCACCTTCCCATCAGCTTCAAGGGTGGCATGTACTATGCTTATTGTGCGCCTCATGAGAGGATGGCTTGGGAGGCTCGGACTGAGCCGAAGGTTGTTGAGATTTTCGAGAAGCTCTGGGGTACTAAGGAGCTGATCACGTCCTTTGATGGAATGAATATTTCTCTGCCGAACCGCAAGGATCTTAACTGGAGTCCTTGGCCGCATTGCGACCAGAACCCGGAGCGTAAGGGGTACGTATCATGTTAACCCCTTCAGACAGAATGGTTGCTAATTGTCACAACTATATAGTATGCAAGCAGTTCAGGGTCTCCTGAACTATGCCCCTAACGGTCCCAAGGATGGCGGCCTTATGCTCATGAAGGGATCTGCAAACCTGTTCAACGAGTTCTTCGAGCATAAGCGTGAATCCGCTGACCACGAAGATGCCCCCCTCCTGAGCTTCAGTACATGGATCTATTCCTCTTCAGCGAAAAGGATATCAAGTGGTTCGAGGAGCGAGGCTGTGAGTTGGTCAAGATCGACATGGAGCCCGGTGACTTTGTCCTTTGGGATTCCCGTACTATGCACTATGCTTGCTTGCCCGAGGGTGAGCAGATTCGCCATGTGCAGTATATCTGCATGACGCCGAGGAAGTTTGCAGATGATGAAGCTTTGAAGGCGAAGAAGTACTGTTTTGACAAGTTCATTGGTACTACCCACTGGCCTCATTGGTGAGTTTTTGTTTATTGAAGCAAGCTGGAGTGCGGCTGTGACTAACTTTGATCTAGCAACATTCGTCCTGCCGAGGAAAAGCCTATGAGAGATGGAGAGGTCTGCCCTAAGTACAGGACTGAGCCATTTGAGAAGCCGATAATCACCGATCAGGTGCTTCAATTGGCTGGTGTTAAGCCTTACTAAATTGTTTGCTTGATGACTTGAATTAGATCAAGTTGTCTGTCGATTTGGAGAGAGTGGATTTCAAATGTACATCGATTTATTAGACTGAAGAATGCAATGTTTATACAAAGTTCAAGATACTCCTGTTGCTAGACTCTCTCCCGGTATTTTGCTGGATATCCTACAGTACCGAGCAACTTGGCTCATCGGATTGGAGTTGGAAGGTTCTTTACACCATGTGCATTTATACGGTGTGAATCCATACTTGGAGTTTCAACAAACCTCAAGATCAGCCAATAGAAGCACATTCAATCTACTCATTCAATATTCAACATTCACAGTACTGCGCCACAGTGAAATTCGAGAAATCGCATTGGCCAGCTAATGCAGTGGTGAACTTAACCCAAACTCATTAAATCTGTCGGCAATTCTAGCCCAAGTCACTCCCCATTTCTCGGTACTTGAACCTTAATCTTCTTGACACCTCGGGTCGGTTGGGTTTCCACCCGAATCCCTTCAACCTCACTTCTCCCCTTCTTCCCCATTTTTCCCCACAGAATCCGAAGACATAAAGTGCGGGGGATTTGCTTTCCATGTGGGCGGGCGCAGGGTCCAGGTGGACGAAGACTCGGTTTACTCGATCGAGAGGTTGGGGGTTCACTCTCACTAACGAGGAAACGGCCCTAGTCCAGCAAGAGGGTCCCCAAGCGACGAGGCGAACCTATCCCTGATAGGGTTTCGCGGTCACTCGCAAGCGCTATAAACACTCGCCGTTCGCTCCGTGCTTTCTGTCCGTTCAGACGAGTTTACTGCGCAGTCTATACACATCAATTGCGTCCAATACCACCCCAGCGGTCGTCATGGAGAAGGAATCCCCATCGAGCCACGTGGAGAATGCTACTGTTGAGAGCCATGGCGAGGAGATTCATGTCTCTCAGTCCAAGGTGAATATCAGTGGAACTGTGCAGCTCACTGCAGGCACTATTGTCTATATTCCAACTCCTACTAGTGATCCTCGAGGTTCGTCTCTGACTCAACCGCTTCTAACCCGTATCACTCAACTGACCATTCCCAGATCCATTGAACATGAGCAAATGGCAAAAGGCCATGATCTTGATTGCCATCTCTATATGTAGGCTTTCTGCTGATGTCTAACCGAGGCATACTGACTCGTTTAGTCTCGACTATTGGATTGTCACTCGTGTCCGGTTTTGGCGGCCTGCTGGGCTTCTATATTCCTGGATATGCGGCTGCTGGTAAAAACTATGCCGACATCACTTCTCTTATGACATACCCGACCTTGACCATGTAAGACATACGATACTGTTGCCATTTTATGTGCTTTACTCATATAGCCTAGGGGTATCGGAAACCTGATCGGCATGCCATTGGCGATTGCGGTTGGCCGACGCCTCGTCCTGATCGTTGCAACGGCTGTCATGGTCGTCGGTGCCATCCTATGCGCCTTCGCAACGGACTTCGATTGGCACCTCGGGTCACGTATGCTCATCGGTCTCGCCGCAGGCCAGAGCGAGGCTCTCGTTCCTATGATCACCCAGGTAAGTCGCGATAACTCACTCTCAAATTGCATTCCTATTTCCACAAGTCAATGCTAACTCATTACATCACATTAGGAAATCTTCTTCCTCCACGAAAGAAGCACATTTCTCATGCTCCAACAGTCCATCCAAACAATCGCCACAGCAATCTTCGTTCTCTTCGCAAGTCCCATCGCAGAAGCCATCACTCCGCAGTGGTGGTACGGCCTTGGCGCATGTCTCTCCGGAGCGTCCCTCGTCCTAGCATTCTTCTTCGTCCCAGAGACAAAGTACCACCGGTCTCGCTCCTCATATCAAGAAAGCTCATCTACCGAAGGGCTAGATGAATCATCCGAGAAAGAAGCCCACACAGTCGCTACAGAGCGACCAGCTCTCGACTACGTCAACTACGAAGCTCGTACATGGCGTTCCGATCTCCGTCTTTGGGTTGGCTCACCCGAGTGGCGCAAGGGAATGGAAACATTCATCGTAAGTCCATCCACATCAAAATTAACGTCCCTATCTAACATCCCCCCAGCAATCCTTCCAACTCCTCCTCTTCCCCAACGTCCTCTGGGCAATGGCCCTAAACGGCCTCACCCTCGGCGTCAACATCGCAATCGGTACTACCTACGGCACAATCGTCACCTCCGAATACGGCTGGGCCCAGAAGTCCGTTAGTTACGTGAACTGCGGCCAAATCGTCACCTCCCTTCTAGCCCTCCCAGTCTTTGGCTTCGGCTCCGACAAACTAATCGCCTGGTTCGCCGCCCGACGAAACGGCATCCACGAGCCTGAGATCCGCCTCCTCCCTCTAATCTTCCCCGTCATCGTCGGCACATTCACAGCCGTTTTATACGGGATGGGCGCGACTTACCCATCGTCTTATCACTGGTTTGTATACGTCTGGGCCGTTGCGGCGTACTATTTCACGTTTGTGGGGGCGAATATCGTCGCGATTACGTATTTGCTGGATAGTTATCCGCAGAGGGCGAGTCCGTTGTTGATTATTATCTGTGCGTTCCGGGGCATTATTTCGTTTGGTGTTAGTTATGGCATTTCGCCGTTTATTGAGCGGAATGGGTATGATGGGGCGTTTGCGACGTTTGGTGGGTTGACGGCTGCGTTGGGGTTGTTGGGGGTTCCGGTTTTTGTTTGGGGGAGGAAGATTCGCGCTGTTACTGGACCGTATACGGTTGATAAGGAGTGAGGTTGGGATCTTGGGTCGTTCTGGGTTTCTCGTTGTGTAGGCGTGGATTCGGAGAGGTGGCTGGGTTGGAGATGTTTATTGTGGCTCTCTGCTTGGTACTACGCAGTGTACATGGGAGGGCGAGGTCCTTTCTTTTCTTAATCGGATATAGCAGTTCCAGTGGAGATTGTATAGCAGCCTTCCTCCGGATCTACAAGTCTCTAATACAGTTTCTTCATGCTATTTGTATAATGCACCACTATGTCCTCTCAATATTCTATAACCTACGAAAGGAAACAGAGTAAGCGATGACAAGTTTATACCTCTATTCCATCATCATCCTGACAAGAACAGTCTACTCCGTGAAACATTCAACATCGACTAAAGCACTATATTCCAGATAATACCCCCACGCCTGACGCCACAACTCTCGGCTCGCCATTTAATATGATACCTCCCGAGTTCGGATATACCACTGAACCGAGCCGTTCCATCTCGGTTCGGATCGCCTGTTTACACCCACTTGACAGCCGAATACCTCGACGAGTCAATAGTTACTTGAACTCTCTTACAGCCGAGTTATATTCTGCTAACGTCATCTACTCATTCACAACTCCAAAAAAGATCTAATTGCATAAAAAGGCTGCATAAGCCCAACATTGACAATGCCATTTCAACTTTCAAAAAACAACTAAAATTTCAAGTCGAGACTCCCTAGGAATCTGAACAAGCAACTTTTTCTAAGCCATACATTCATCACGTAGTTATTAAAGGTATAAGAGGGGGGCATGGGCATCAAGCTTCCCATCAGGAGATGAGGGGGGTGCGCCCACCGGGTTTAGGGTTGGGACATGATATGGGAATCGGAACGAGATCCAGGTACAAGGACACCTGGGATAAGACAAAAACAGGATAAAGACGGAAAGGAAGAAAAGATGCAGATCCTCTAAAGCTGTCTAGGAGGACTGGATCTGGGCGATGCGCTTGGTCATGCTGTGATTGTTATTAGTAGGTGGTTCGATGGAAAAATGAAAGGAGATAGAGAAGGGTAACATACAAATCAAAGAAGGAGAACTGGCTCGGCTGGTTACCATACTGGTACACGAACCGACTGGCCAGGTGGCTGCCGAAGATGGCACGGAGATAGTTCTCGGGGACCTGTAAACACAAGGTTAGTCATTAAATCCACAAAACTAGCAACGACATTTAGGATAAAACATACCCGCTCCAGAATAGTCTCCAGGCCAATCTTGTTCAACAGCAGACGGGGCAAGGCATCGCCAAGCACCGACCTCCGCAGGGCAACGTTGTGCCACAGCTCGGTCTGCTGCAATTCCTCGTCCAACTTGGTAATCGCCACACTGAGACGATCACTCAGAACACTGCGCAGCACACCGGTCTGCTCATGCTCGCGCCAGATAGCCTCGAACTCGAGAGTGGCATTCTCCTTGATAATCTCCTGCACCTGCTTGACGTAGGCTTGGTAGAAGTCAGGGACGGTGCCGTCCTCGTGGACGCACATGTTCTGGACGAATTCCTCGTCGTTGAAGGAGAGCGAGGCGAGAACCTCCAGAGAGGAGGAGGTCACACCACCCTTGTTGGCAGAGGCATCCTTGAACAGAATGCAACCGGCCTTCTCAAGACGCAGCTTGCTGTCCTGGGTGATGAACAGGTTGGCACCCTCGACAATGTAGGGGACGATGCACTTGTTGTCCTGGATGAGCTTGCCAACAGTAGACAAGTCGATAGACTCGGGACGACCACCGCAGGGAACGAAGACGTCAAACTTCTCACCCTCGACGTGGCGCAGGTGGAAAGTGTTACGGAATACCATGCCGTTGTGGACAACCTCGCCAGAAGGCAGCTTGACGTTCTTCTCGTCAACGAGAACACGGTAACCAGCGGGGGAGAGCTTGGTCATGTCAAACTCGGAGATCATGACACGCTTCTTGGCGAGGCGGGTCAGCTCCTCGTGGTTGAGACCGTTGGGGTCGACGATGACACCAGAACCGTCAACGATGGCACCGTACTTCTCGTTAGCGAGCAGGATCTCGTTAGATCCCAGATCACCGTCGGGACCACCAGTCTGCAGCTTGAGCATGGTGGAGGGGTCGATGTTCAGCTTGCGGTAGATGCCAAGCACGTATTGACGGACGGACAGGGTGGTCATGCCGTAGGTGTCGTGAGGAATACCGCCAAGCTTGGGGCTCTTGCCGGTGAAGAAGGACTTCCACCAGGGAGCACCACGGGCGCGAGCGTGCTCGGTAGCCCAGTCGACCAGCTCGGCAGTGTTCTCATCGGGACCCATGAAAAGGATCTCGTCCTGGCCATGCAGATCGACGATGGGATCCTTGATACCAGGGCTGACCGGGGGCAGGAGAAGATCCATGATAGAGTCGATGTACTTCTCAAAGGCGACCCGCGCCTTGTCCTGGTGGTTGACATCGAGCAGGATGACACCCTTGGCACCACCCTCGGGGATATCCTTGTTCTTGCGCTGCTGGGTGTTGGCAAGGTTGTAGTTCTCGTCAAAGAGCGAGCGCGCGTTGATGCTGTAGGCCTCCTTGTTGCGGGACTTGACAATGCGAATACCACCACGGGCAATGTCACGGAAGCGCAGGTGGAAGCCACGGAACTCGGAGCTGATCACGAGGAACATGCCGTAGAGTGGCTGGGGGTACTCGTGCTCGGGAAGGAAGTCGGGCTTCAAGCGGAAGCTCAGGGCGACCTTGGTCGGGGTGAAGAAGTTGGTCTTGAGGATGGAGTTGTTGAAGACACGGAAAGAGGTCATGACCATCTCGTCGTGCTCGTTAGCGGCAGTGTTGCGGATCAACTGCTTCAGCTTCTTATCATCCAGGACCTCGTCCACCTGGAGACGCAGGTAGCTGAGCGTGGGGAGGAAGTCATCCCCAGAGTCCTGAGTCTGGACATAGTGGGTGTTGGCAAAGTCGAGGTAGAGCTTGTGGATCAACTCGGGGTAGTTGTTGATGATCTCGAAAATGTAGTCTGCGGTAAAAGTCTCGGTACGCAGACGCTTCTTAATCTTGGACAGCAATTCAGCGTGAACACTGTTGTTAGAATCAAGCAGGGCAGAGAGCGAGGTGTACTCGGAGCCCAGACGGTTCAGGAACTGCTGCACAAAGACCCAGGCGCAGTGCGCGTAGATGGTCTCCTGTAGACTCAGACGACCAGTGGCAAAGTGACCCTGGAAGCGGTTCTGAGGGATACAGTACAGAAGGGAGGCCTCCTTCATGATCTGGTGAATGGCAGCCTCGATAGGAGGGTACTTGGCCGAGATCTCGGGGGAGGCCGAGGGACGCAGGTACAAGGAGATGACGGTGATACCGTTGGAGAAATTCTCGAGGTACTTGCGGGAGCTGGTGAGGCGATAGTAGTGGTACAAATCAGACAGAGCGCTGAACAAGCCCATAGCAGAGCCCTGACGGTAGGCAATGACGAGACGCTTCTCCCGGCTGCCCTCGATCTCGAACATCTCGATCACGGGACCGTGACGGCTGACCGCGGTGGTGATGATCTCCTGGTAAATAGCCTTGGTGTTGGGGGTGGCCTTTTGCAGGAAGCGCTTCTCACCGATGATCTCAATGTTGGTCTCGTTAGGGTCAGGGTTGGGGTTGGCGAACTGGCACTTGTACACGAAGTAGCAACGCAGCTGCTGGCCGTCGTCACCGGGGAGAGTAGTAGGGGAGCGGAAGGTCTCGACACGGTAGCTGTTGGCACCCTTGGAAGTGTTGATATACTTCTCATCGATGCGCTGCTCGTAGCGGGGGCCATCCACGGAGGAAACACCGGGTCGGCTGGTATCAATGTAGACGGCGTGGTCCTCGGCCTCCTTGTCGAGGCGAATCTCCAGCTGCTTATCATCACGAGCATAGGCGGCGACCTTGGCGGCGTAGAGGGAGAGAATCTGAGTGACAATGTTCTCGACGGACTCGGTCTGGAAGTAGGTGTCGTCGATACCCAGCATGTTATAGAACCAGGTAGTCTCGGAGACGACGAAATCACTGGGGAAGAAGCCCTTTTCTTCCAATTGATCCATCACTAAGAAACCTCGTAGTTAGCATGCCGATTTTCCACCCAAATGATCGTTCTGTGATATCCTTACCTTGCTCCATCTGCTTCTGCTTGCCCTCGAAGGTGGCGGCAATGTAGCCCGGATCCTCCTCGGACAGAACGCGGTGCGGGGAACCGGGAGTACCAGGAATGCCCAAGTGCGTGGGCTGCGGGGAGGGTTGCCGCAAAGCAGCACCGACGACATGATCGAGGTGCTTGTTGTGAGGGAATCGCTGGAAGCCAATGGGGGTGCCAGAGCCCGAGCCACCCTCACGGCCGTTGAAGAGGCCCTGTGCGGGGCGGGGAGGTAGGGCGGCCCCATTGGAAGCCTCGGAGGGAGGAGTTGAAGGTGTAGGAGACGACATGATGTGTGAAGAAGGGGGGAGGAGGGAAAGAGGAGGGAGGTAGAAGAAAGTCGAGAGAGACTCTAAACACGAGGAGAGAAGAAAAGACGCTGTTTGAGGGCCAAAGTCAGCCAGCTGAAGGGCACGTGGACTGGGAGGTGAGAGAAGGAGATAAGAGGCAAAGACAAGCAATGCGCGCTTATCAGTTGAGCGCGGGCAGTCGCAGTCGTCACCGGCGAATTGAGGATTCGGCGGACTGCTGCTGCTGCTGCTGTTGCTGCTGCTGCTGTTGCTGCTGCTGCTGTCCGCAATTCCTTGATGATCTCGAGGAATTGCGGTCGCGGATAACAATGCAAGGGGAGAAGTAGATAAGGGAGAGAGATAGGAGATTCGCCACTCTCTACACCGTCATACTATACCACCACGAATAGTAGTATAACAGTATAGTAGTATAGATGTAAAGCAGTATAGTGGAATGGGTATATATAGATATTACTCACCGGCGCCATCAACTATCAGTCGAAGTTATAGATCGCAATGATCACAAAAAAAGATAGTTTGGATGGAAATCCGGGGAACAGCCAGGCACTTTAAATACAACAAAGC